GTTCATCAGAAGGGAAGCTGCCGGCCCACTGGGTGATGGGTCACGCTGACGCTTTGACTGACGGAGGACTGAGATCCTTGGCCCCGTTTTTCTGCCACATTAGCTCCACACCGAGGGTGGCGCTCAGCTACCATTTTAGAGGAGAGAGCTGATGTGTGTGTACAAGGTACGCTCCACTGAAGGAGGGTACAGAGAAACACAGCTGTGTAAACCACCAGCTTTTTTTCACGTTGATATAAACTGTTGTTTTCTCAGGATCATTTTTCCACGATGATGAGAAAAACAGTCTCTGACTCAGTGGGGGGGGGCTTCTTCTTGCTTCTGATGCGCTTTATTTTTTTGTCTGTACTTAACCTGTATTTATCCAGGTAAGTTGGTTGAGGAAAAAAAAAAATCTCATTTTCAATAACAAACATGTTCAGAAAACATCAAGTCAAGTTTATTTGTAGCTCACATTTCTGCAGCAAAGTGCTTTTTACATCATAAAAACATTATAATTTATAATTATAAAATAAGCAGTAAACACTACTTTTTGTAAAATGTAACAATCAAAAATGATCAATTCACATAAAATATGTTGATCAGTGTTTAACTCTAACCATCTGGGTGTTTAGCCTTGATTTAAAGGAACTCTGTCTTTCAGCTGTTTTGCAGTTTTCTGGAAGTCTGTTCCAGATTTGTGATGCATAGAAGCTGAATGCTGCTTCTCCATGTTTGATTCTGGAACCAGAAGACCTGATCAGTCTGGAAGGTTGATACAACAGCAATGGATCTCTCATGTTTTTTGGTGCTTTTCCATACAGTGATTTATAAACAACAGAATTTCAAAAGTCTATTGTCTGAGCTACAGGGAGCCAGTGGAGGGACTTTGGAACTTGATCGAAGTATTCTCCAGGTGATGGAAGACCGACTTTGTGATTGTTTTATGCGTCTTTGGAGGTTCAGTTGTGTTTCTAGCTGTAGCAGCTGAAGCTGCATACTTTGTTCCTCTTTGGATCCGAATGTGATAACTTCAGTTTTCATTTTAGGACATCATGCAACAGAATATCACACAGCAGGAAATAGAAGAATATCATAAAACAAAGAAAAAAGTAAAAAAATAAAATAAAAATGCAACCATACTCATAATAACTCAATGCACTATAATACACATTTTAACTTTTTTTTAAAGTAGTTACATTCATCATATGCTTTGGTTTTTACCAAGTTGATAAATGTCAATTTTGGAAGTTCTTGCACTGATATGTAATGTATTTTGCAAGTTGTTTCAGTCACTTAGTGATGCAAAATGAAATGAGGATTAATCTAATGATATACAAACCTTTGAGACCATAATGGTCTCAAAGGTTCTGCAGCTAAGTTAAAATATTGATGAATGAGCGATGGTATTGCCAAGTGATAGTCTTACAGAGAAATTTGCAGAAATATATTAATCTTGAGCATTTTATAAAAGATAGACGACATCTAACTTATAGAGTTGAGTTTTAGAGGCAGATTTGTGGATGATGTCACTATCGACGAGGATAGGCAGGACTGTTATTTTCACCAAACCGTGCTTTGGTCAAAATGACATCAGAGTAGGAGACGTGGCCAAGCAGGGGGAAGAACAAGTGGAGTCAAAAAAAAAAAAACTAGAAAAAATAGAAGTAGCCCGCAAAGGCTTAAAAAAGATTGGAAAGAAACGGGAGAAACTGTGAAGTGACAGAAGCAGAAAGCGAGACAGAGAGAGAGGTGAAGAGGAGGAGAGAGTGAAAAGAAGGTGGAAGGAAGAAAAAGCCGGGCTGCTTGCCAGGCTCTATTCCACCTTTGCTCTCCGGGTCTTTCTGAGCTGCCACCTCCCCTGCTCTCTGCAACGTCCTCAATGAAAGGGCCTTTAAGGAGGGATGGAGGACTTGACTCTGGGTTCACGCTGTGACCGACACCAGCTGAAGCTGCCAAGCCAAGCAGCTTTCTGTTCAAATTAATTGGATGTCACTTTCAGGTGCAAGAAGCAGGGTGGGGTTTTTTTTTCTCTCTCTCTCTCTGCCATTTTTTTTTCATCTTTCATCTTGTCCTTTTATGTGTTTCTTGTTGATTACTGTTTTCTGTATTTTGCAATTTAATTAATCGGCACCATCAAAGTTTTGAAATCTCAAACAAAACGGCTTGTTTTTGTTCTTTTCACCTACCTGGTAAAGAAAATAACGCTACATACACAATTTACTGATGTGGATGTCATATTATTTTAACTTTTTTTATTTTAATTGTGTGAATTAGTACTTTTCCTGGATTGACTGATTTTGTCTAAAAATGTCATGGCATAGCCATAAAAAAGCAACATTGCTTTCCATCCAAACAACATGAAGTAGATTAATAAGTGAAATAAAATCAACCCAGAGGCGTCTACCACAGGGGCAACCCTAAACGTGGGCAGGCGGGGGCACAGACCCCCAGAAAAATCATCTTCAGTTCATAAAAATGAACAATATGTATGACATGTTTGGATTTTTTTGGTTGATTTTTAAAAAATTTTGCAAGCCTGACATGGCCACCAATATAAAAATATAAAGGCGGTGCTATTGGTCTACTGATATGACAAAATGGCTGACATGTGGAATCTGCATATTTGTCTCTGCTAAATCAATTAATCATTCTTGAACTCAAGCTTGATGCAGAAACTATCCCCCCATCCAGAACCATGAACTTGATTCAGAACTCTAGACTCTTGTCAAATCTTCTATAATAAAAATCTGTCTGTGATGATTTTTATTTTAAGCAAGTTACCATGCCCATCGTCGTCATTGACATTTTTCTTAATACGTTCACGCTTCAGTTTGAAGTGAGGGCAAACTAACGTCAGAGACTTGGGAGAAAAGATACAAAACTATTTTCCTTCCCACTTTCTTGCCATAGGTGTTTCGTTTAAGGAAAGAAAAAGTGCTAATCTCACATGGAAGAAAGCGCTCGGGTGTTGGCTGAGAATCTTCGTTCTGAAGTAATTAACGGAGCAAACTTTTCACCACTCTCTGTCTCTCTCTCTCTCTCTCTCTCTTTCTCTCTGTGTTGCACATTAAGCTTCAGGGCTGACATCAGTGTCAGAGCAACAATATGTGCTTATGCATACATACGCATGGACCCGCGCAGCCACCCACCACACCGCAAGCTGCGAGCACCTCAGCCTCCAGTTCTGGCTGTGAGAGTATTTCACAGCTCTGATGAGGGTTATAATGTGCAATATGTTCACTAATTCATTCGCATCCCATCGTCTTCTTTCAGCCCTAATCTCTCTCCTCCCTCCCTCGGTCTGCGCGTCTGTCGCCGTGGCATCTGTTGACGTCCTCTTAGCCGCGGCGAGCCTCAATATGTCCAGAAAGGCCCCTCTGCGGCGCCGCTCTGATGCCGCCTCCCGGCGACGCGTTTTGTGTTTTTTACAGTTGGCACGGAGGCAGCTCGGAGGCTAAGCCCTTAATTACGAGCGGGGAAGCTTCTGGAGAGGCGCGTGAGTGTTTGGCGCTTTGGCAACGTGGGCCAAACGGAGTCGATGGGCGTCCGATGAGAGGCGTCGGGCCTGGACGCGGCGCTGGGACGACTTTGAGGGCGAAGTGGAATTTGGAGGCTTTTCTGGAGTTGGTGGACGGGAGTGAGCAGAAGAAATAAAAAAATATATGTATCATTTTTGTTAGCTGGAAAGTAGGCCTGGAGAGTGCCACCAAGTGGCAGATGGTGGAGGAAATGAGGAGTTGATGTGTTTGGTTCACTCGAGTGAAGCCAGAGCGAAGGCAATCCACTCCGGGACAAGACCCAGCACACTGTTTCATATTAGGAAATACTGGCTAAAAACGAAAAGATGTTTCTAGCTGTTACACCATCCACTGCGGTGGACATAATCAGTCATCAGTAGACTGGAAAACCTCTTTAAGTGATTATTTTCTGCACATTATGCCCTAATGTGTAAAATTCTTTCAACGCTGTATATAATTAATCAAATAACAAGAAGAGCCTCATTTTTTTATATTTAGAGCTTCCTGAAATTCCCACAATAAATCTGTGTAGAAATTTGTCTTGATATTTAGCCAGGCTCCTGCCGGTTAGTTATGATTACCATGTTTATTTCTCTTTGCTAAATCTAGAATATTTGGGAGATTTTTTTTTGTTTTGTTTTCCAGAATATTTAAAAGTCTTTTAAGTCTGAAATTCACACAGTTTTGCTTGGTGTTTGGTATAATTGCATATGAACTGTACGTCTCGGGTAGGAAAATCAACATGGGTATTTTTTCACAAGCTGTTTCACCATAGTTTGCAGGAATTGTGGCCCGATCCTCCTGCCTGAACCGCTGTAACCGAGTCAAGTTTGCAGGTTGCTGCTGTCATTCTTTTAGCTCTTCTCTAGCAACTTTATAGCTAATTTTGCTTTGACTAGGAATACTTAAACAGGATATCCGTTTGAGCCAAAGCTTTAACTTACAGGCCGTTAAGTTTTTCCAGACAGAGAGCTTTCCTGATGTCTTTTGGTTTGTAAACCAGACCAGTCACTCCTTCAGCTAAACACCCACCCATCATGATTCTGCTAACCCCATACTTCACAGTTGTGATGGTGCCATAAGGCTTGCAGTCTATACCTACAAAATAATTTTTGCTCAAGATACTGTGAGCATATTCAGTTAAGGATGAACAAAATGATTCCTTCAGCAACAAAGAAGCTTCACTGATCACTGTTAGACATCATTGTGACCCCAATAATATGAGGTTATTTTATCCAAAGTGCTTTTTTCTATTAGTTTCTATCTCTTACCAACATGAGAGAGTAGCTCTGTGCTGGTTTTTAAATTCGGTTAAGGTAAGCGCTATCTGCTCTTCCAGACGTCATCAGAGTCCTGTTAAACAAAACGTTTCTCCCCTTGCTGCTCGCCGTCTCGCCTGACACATTCAAGAAGTTAAACATCACATGGCGAAATGTCACATGGGCGCCCGGCCTGATTGATGTTGAAAATAAATTAAGGCGGCGATTCTGCTTTTTCCAGGACTTTGCCGATTCAATATTCCACCTGGTGAGGGAGAAGTACCGGTCGCTGGTGGGCGGCTGCAGTCCGGCGCACGCTCGACACAAATCCCTGGCAGGCATCGTAATGACCCGAGGTATGGCAAATTTCATTGACTTTTATATATGACTTTGAATTATTGAAGTGGCGCAATATAGACAGAGTGACAGTGCGCGTGGAGGGGAGGGTGACGGGGAGGGAGCAAAGAGGCACGGAGAGAACGAGGGCGGGGATGGGGGAAGGAAAACTAGATAGAGAGAGAAATTATGAAGTGGGCGTAGGAAGACAGAGTTTCCATTTCGTGCTGTTCCTTAAGCTCATGCTGGAGAATGCACCTACTTGCTGAATTATTGACTGTTCAGAGTCTCTGAGGAGAATGAGACATAGGAGAGTGTCAGTCATCCCCGCTGCATGCTGGACTCGTAGCGTCGAGGCAGCCTTGACAGCAGTCCCAGATGCCACCGTGGGAATCCTAACTAGATCAGCCTAATCTAAAACCTGACGGAGTGACACCCTGGAGGAAGAGGAGGAGAAGAAGGAGGAAGTTCTGCACTGCTCCCCTGCTGCAGCATGAAACAATCGCATGGCCATTTATCTCGCTAGGGATTTATCTACTGAGTTGTTGCACCTGGAATTTTCATGCACGTACGTTTCCTCGCACGTTCCTTTGTGAATTTTCAACCGTCCCAGACATCCAACATTCATACACGTGAAAAGTGACTCATACATACAATGTAGAGGTTTGGTTTATTCTCCTGCTGCTGAACCTTTCTGGTCGTTGTATCCCAGTGAAACTTTCAAGCTCATTCAATGCACAACATTCATTGAAACCACTTCCTTACATTTGTTCCTCAACACCTCAACCTTGAAAAAAGATTGTAATACTAGAAAAAAAAAAAATTAAAGAGGTTTTAAAATGTTTAAAATGCTGAAATCCAGAACGGGATGACGTGTGAAAAAAATCCACAGGCTGACACTGACATCATTATTGTACAAGGAACTGCTTTAATAGTTAGCCAAGCTGAATGGCAGAAGTTTTCAAGAGTTACCAAAATTATCTTATCAAAAATAAGAATTGAGCTTCTCAGTTTCTTCATAACTTCATTTGTCTGTAGAACTTGGCTGTTCTGGATTACAACTTGTAAAATCAAATAGAAATAGTCATGGTTTCTTTTGAAAACCACTGGGAAAGTGGTGGATCTTTGCCCCCTGAACTGGGTAACCCAGTCAGCAGCTGGACTGTGAACCCGATCCTGCCAGTAACAGCAAATTAGACCAAATAAACCTGGAGCTATTAACAGTCACTGAAATCTGGAAAAGCGGGGAACATGTGAACCAAGAAACGGCTCCATTTCTTCAATGCATTTCACATAAAAGTGTTTGAAAGAAGAAAAAAAACTGAGTAAAATATTCAAATAAAGCCATTTCAAGTGTGGATTATTTCAGTGGGAACCTTATAAACAAAGCAATATGTATGATAGTATCTTCACTACTTGTAAAATGAATAAAAAAATGTTGATAAAATGATGCATCTGTTTACCTGGATGTGTCTCCTTGTGTATGCTGTCCGGAAAGACTTTTAGCATACAAATGCACACACACCCACACACCCACACAGAGGAGTTTTATCTCTGAGCCACTGCAGGCAGCAGGGCTATGGGGGAGGTCAGTGAGAAGGGATCGGTATCTCAGCTGTCTTTGGAGTGCTGGAGCTCATCAGTTTGGACTTCAGTGAGATCGGCGCTCATCCCGAGCTAATCCAATCCCTCTCCTCTCCTCTGCCTCCCAGTAATTGCTTCTGTTTGTTTATTAATACCAAATGTTATCTTCAAATATCCAGACCACGGGCTGCCAAGCATTCGCAGCGAGGCGGCGGCGGCGGCGGCGGCTGTGGCCAACAGTAGACACCAAAACTTGACAGGAACTCTGGGGGAGTCCTGTTCAGCCCTCTCTCTCTCTCTCTCTCTCTCTCTCTCTCTCTGTGTCCCCATGCGTCTCATGCCCCTGCTTTTGCCACAACAACATGAATCAGGGTTCTTTTTTTGAACTGTGGACTCACAGCAAGCATCCCCACACTCCTTGCCTCGGTCCCTCCAAGACAGTTGAGCTCCATCCTGAACGAGATTAGCCCCGCCGCCAGGCTGAGACTGCAAGACGAATGCCAAAGTAAACTGGAAGCACATGGCGTCAAATAGTGTGGAAAATCTCTTTTTATTTTTTTCAACTTATCTGAGATAACACTGGGCATCTGGAGATGGTAAACAGTGTTCAGATGTGTTCAAAGAGTTACAAAAATCCGGATCATACATATGGAACAGCGGTGAAAGACACGCAGGCATCCATTCCCCGACTTAATTTCCTCACAGAGATGAGAGAACCTTCCCAAGTTTTTTTTGGTTTAGTTTTGTTTTCTCCCATCGAGCGCGTTGATGCGAGAGACGACGGCGAAGGAGGAACACCACGGGGACTCAAAGGAAAAGATGAGAGTAAAGGTTTTCAAACAAGTTGATTACAAATGACAGTTAAGCCTCAGTTCTTAGTCGGCATATCCGTTTTCAAATGGGGACTTTTCTCCGCTCTTTATCTGGTTTTCCAGCCGTCGCAAACTGTAATGTTCAAGTAATCACATAAGGCAACCAAACAGCTTGTCAGAGGAGGGGATGTGGGGGGGAAATGAGGAAAAAAATAAGAATTAGCAGCGTGTGTGGCAGCAGAGAGAATCTCACAAAGACACCCTTATGTGTCGCCTGTTAAAGCTGATAGAGATTCAACAGGGTGCCTCTTTTGCTGACTCCAAGTTGCATTTTAACCCTCAATGCATCAGAGTTTTTCCAACGGCTCAGGCGACGGGGTGCTGGATTACATTCGGCGCAATAGTGCAACGTCTCCAAGACACGGGCGCAGGGAGGCTCCACCGAAGCGACATTTAAACGAGTCGGCACAGGAGCGGCGCGTAGACGCTGACCTTGAGAGCTCATTCCGCCTCGGAAGAAAATGTTTTAACGTCTGCTTTATGGTTCCCAGAGATAATGGTTGACTTATTAGGAAATATTTTCCCCTGTTTTTGAGCCATGAAGAATAAAGGGATTCCGGTAATAGCTTCCCAACGCCCGTCACTGGTGGCTGACAGCCGTATAATAACGGATCATTTCAAAGCTCGCGGCCATTTCGTTTACTTGGATTCTGTTTTACTTTTAGTGTCCGTATGTCTTTCTTTTTTCACTGAAATAAAACTGTTTCTTCTTCCGCTTATTTAAGTTTTGGCCTTCGAACTCTCAAATGATTTTCCTGCCAGTCTGTGGAGTTTTAGACCTTCTCGGTTCTTCTCCTGGGTGTGTCGTTCATCCTCTTGTGTAGCGTTTTATTTGGTACCAACGCCATAGAAGGAGCTTTAAAACATTTTCCACACTGAAAGATGTCAGTGGCATTAGTTCTCATCTGCTCTTGAACTTCTTTAGATCAGGGCACAGTGTTAATTTTCAGTGTGTTAAAAGTTTTTGATAACTTTTGATCTGTTTGCTAGACAGGTTTTCTTTCACATAAAAATAGCAAAGGAATCAAATATACTTCTTGAGCGTATTTAACTGTGATTTCACTCTCTAACTGGGACAGAAAATGTCAAAGTTTGTTGCTGGATCTCCTCATTTTGACCTAACAGAGACAATAGAAACTCAGCTGTCCCATTCCCACTGGACGTCACCATGGCAACCAGACTGTAGTCAAGTAACATCAATGAAAAGTTGCAATCCAGTCCAAAATGAATGAATACTTTACATTTAAAACAAAATGCAACTGTAAGCTGATGGGGGGTTTGTCCTTGGCCTAAAGGAATTCAGAGTTTCAGCAGTTTTACAGTTTTCTAGAAGTTTGTTCCAGATTAGAGAAGCATAGAAGCCGAATGCGACTTCTTCTTTGCTGGTTCTGATCCGGGGGATGCAGAGTAGACTTGTACTTGAAGCGGTTACAGCCGACTGCTGTGTTGGTTTGTCGTCTGAATGACGCTAACAGATGCTAATATGGCACGATTTGATGGGATCACTCCTGAAAACCGATCTGGCAGAGGATAGTCTGTTCCAATCGCACTGATCTGTAAACTGCATTTATGGTCTGAAACGATGAGGAAGAATGGAAAAAAAACTAATGTAATATCACCCAGGGCATCACTACAGAATGTTGATGCCCTGGATTGGATTGGCAAGAACCCAAATATTCTTGTGCAAGATGAAAAGCAAGACTAAGATGACTAAGATAACCTTAAAATTAAAGAGGAAGAAATATTGCAGCAGAACCGAGAATGCCCTCAAAACTAAACAGTCCCCCCAAAAAAGAGAAAAGACCCTGGCTAAAAAAAAAAAAAGACTAGGAACATTCAGGACTGTAGGGGTTGAATGGCAAATGCAAGAGAAATTAAAAGCACACATGCGACGCATGGGCAGCCGTGCAGAGGAAGTGAGCTCGTCAATCGGCCCTGGGAGGGCGCGGGGGTTTGTTCAAATGCTTTGTCAGTAAACACACACCTATCTATTTACAGTGCTGTTCGTCGTAATTGGTGCTTCCTGCTCTCGGCTAAATCAACTAAAACGTGATGCGGCACGTTCAGGAATAATTGTTTTATCTGCCCTGTTTAGACTAATTCCAGTGAATGTGTCATTTGCTGATACGCGCAAACAGAATTTTACGGTTGAATTGCAGCAAAGTGGGGGCTGAAAGAAAACACAGAGCTGCTCCAGTTGTTTCACTGATTTGATGCAGGTTACATTTATGAAAGTGTTTGTTTTTATAACGGTTTTATATCTGATTTTCAATCTGTGTAGGTCGCTTGAGTATCTTTGTTTCTGTAAATGTTTTGTGCTAGTAACGTACAGCAATTTGCATTGTTTGAGGTCTGAAAGCTTCTCATTTTCACCATTCCTCATTTTCTGCAAATAAATTCTACATTTTTGCTTGGAAATTAAGAAACATGTTGCCAGTAGTTCATAGAATAAAAGGACAATGTTCATGTTACTCAAACATAAACCTATGAAGAGTAAAATCACAGAATCAGATTATTTTAAGTGCTCTGTTAACTTTTGCCAGAGCTTCATACTTATCATATCAATGAAGTTCAGGTCAGAGTGACTAGCGAATTTTATTATGTCAATCAACTAGTACAAGTTGAAAATGACCTTTGAACTGCAGTGCCTAAAATTTTTTTTTTTTTTGCCTTTCTTTTGCTTTTGGAAATCAGTCATAATCAACAGAATTTGGTTTTCATTGGAAAAAGACAAAGTGTTGATGTCACAGTGGACACTAATTCCTACAAAATATTGGCCATAAAATAAAAAATGTATCACATAAAATAAGTGGTTGCATAAATATTCAGGTTATCTTTGTCATGTCTGAACATTTTGTTGGATCTGAAGCATGCAATAGTAACAAAAAAACAGAAGATAGTTCATAGATTGGTGCTATATATATATATATATATATATATATATATATATATATATATATATATATATAAATATATAAGAAATCACCTTTGTTTCAACTTTAATATTATTAATTTGCCTAAATATTCTGGATGATGTGGTTTGGTTTGCTCTACTGGACACAGTCACAGCGGCCCCGCCCACCTCCATAAACAGGCCAGATCATGACTTCATTCATCACATTTAATAACGACGGCAGCTCTGTTTGTTCTGGAACAATGTGAGAACCGTGGCGGGGAACCTAACATCTTCATTTGACTGCAGTGTTAAACGATTAGGAAGAGGTTGATCCAGAACACTATGTGACAAATCAAAGAGGCAGCTGGGGGACGACCAACACCACGCAGTGTCTTTGTCGGACATCTGCATGTTTTTTCAAACTTCTGACGTAATTGAGTCATTTCTTATTGTTCGGAGACTGAGCTCTCCTGGTTGACATCAGCTGCATCCTGTTTGACTCTGAAATCTAAACCCAGAGACTCAAAGTGGCTCACAGTCAAATGGCCCCCAGCCTGCTGCGGCTCTGTGTAATGTAGTGTGATGCAGCCTGGTGGTGGGAGGCCAATTTGCCAACATGCAGACAGAGCAAGTTAAGTGGACCGGTGTTGCAGTCTGAAAGTAACGTGACATTAAGCAGGAGCGCAGAGGAAATGCGTACGCCCGAGCTGTTTGATTAATGCGTTGACTTCCACCCTGATGAAAAAGAAACAGGAAAAAAATGATACAAACCAGCTAGTTCAGCAAAACCGGATCCAGCTCTCTGATTGTCCTTACAGCTGAGGGGGAACTGTTGGGTCTTTACAGCCCAGGAGCTCTTTCATTCTCTCTGTACCTCCATTTTGGGTCACTAAGAACGTGTCATCAACAAATATCCACAATAATTCACCGACCTCAATGTGAAACCTTGTGGCTGCATCATGCTGTGGGATTCAGTAGAGACGCACCGATTCCATATTAATGTCTGCATTGGTCTCGATGCTGAAAAACAGTTCTAGACCAGGTATTGGTGGCAATGTGGCCGATCCATGAGGGCAGATCTATTCAGTCTAATTCTATGCTTTGCTATGCAGACATCATGTTTTCTTGGCTGTTTTGCAGTTTTCTGGAAGTTTGTTCCAGATTTATGGTGCAGAGAAGCTGAATTCTGCTTCTCTGTGTTTTTAATTTGAGCAAGGACCGTAGCGTTTCCTGTTTTTAGCTTTTGTTCGACATCTTCCGGCTCCATTTTGTGGCTTGTACCCGCAGGGGGAGTCAAATGCAGATCTTCTGGGATGTGATAGATAGGAGCGGAACAAGGCGGGGCTGCGTGCGGATCTATTCTTACAATTGAACAAACTTTGTCACCTGATTTTTGTTCTTTCCTCAACAGGATGAGCTACCTATATTTAAACTATTGTAAGTATGATCGACACAACTTTATGCGTTTGGTTTTCTCTGTCCTGTCTGTATTATGGGCTTATTAAACGTGCCACAGAAAGAAATCCTTTTGGGTCAGTTCGGGCCGTAAATCTAAACTCTAACTGACAGGAAAATGACGCGTTGTTGCCCGATTGTTACGAAACCCATTCCCTCACTTTTCATGTCCAATTTGGTTATCAGGAACAGCAATCAAAGCCCTGATGGAGCAAAGCGCCTGGCAGAAACTAAAAAAGCTTTAATTCTGTCTGATGTCAGAGAGTTAGTTTATCTCCTGAGTGTTTTTTTTTTTTTGTCTTCTCATTAAAGGTTTCTGTCAGTCCAGTTGCCATAGCAAGTGGTTCCAGGTCTGAGCCTGTGATGTACGCGCTTTCTGACAGAGCTTCTATCCTCGGGTGTGACATTTCTGAATCACCAGCGATCAACAGATGTATTTGTGTGTGAAGAGCGCTCTGGGCCTTCCACTTTACTCCACCTTGTTCCTTCTGAGCGTCCCCTCCCGCTTCTTCTTCTTTTTTCCTTCTCCTTCTTCTTCTTCTTTGATGCAGCTGATTATTCTTCCTTTTAAAATGGCGTGCCGCCCGTGGGGCTCTGTCCCTTCCTCTCTCCGTCTCTGTCTTTCATTTATCTCTTCTCTCTCCTGCAAACTGGAGGCAACCTCAGTGCCAATTTCATGGCAGGCTAGCGAGCAGCGCGGCAGAAATTATCCACTGCAAAATTGATCTAAACAATCGCAAAGTGGAACGGCAAGGAAAAGCAGGAGAATGAAATTGGGAGAGTCTGTTACCTTTTTCAACTCGCTTTATCACCAAAAGTGGGATGGCGGCTTCTTGCTTACAGGGAATGCTAATATTCCCTGTAAGCTCGTGATGTGATAGAGATGTGTGCCATAAGTGGCTTAATAAGCTTCAATATTTTTGTTTCATTCTCTGTGTCCTGTATTCTCTGCACACAAACACGATTTATAAATAGGCCCGCTCCGATCCACTGTTTTCACTTTCGATACCGATATCTGGGGTTAGATATGTGCCGACACCGATCCGATGGGGCATAACAGTCCAGATTTGACTCAAAGTGTTTCTTTTTTAAAAACACAGACGCAAATGCACCGAATTACAAATTTGCTTGATGACTACACCGGTACGGCTCACTGAAATACTTGAGATCCAGAGGCGAGGTGGAACAATTTGTTGACGGACCGCTCCACAAATACGAAAGTCATTCCCCGACAATAGCATAAAAATAAAATCCATGCTCTTTTATTTTATTCCCCCCAGGAGAGCTGCACTGAGTCACATGGCACCTGAAATACTTTCCGACTTTGTAGATAAAAAAAAAAAGTTGAACCTGCTCTACTTCAGTGATCTTTCCTTTCTTCATCTCATGTGCCCGTTTATTAACCGGCCCCATGCCACACACACGCACACACTGCCCACACCTTTCCCTCTCCCAGCCTCCATCCCCCCACTATTTCCCCTGCCCTTCTTGCTTCTCCTCATCAGTGGAGGTGTCAGGACTCTAACACCGCAGTGCCATCTGGGCCGAGGCTGATAAAAGCTCACGTGCCGGTCCGGCGGCGCCTGCAGGACTGCCAGGAGCTGACGAAGCCTGATTTTTCTGAAGAGATGGGGAGAGATTTGTGGCAGCCAGGGGAAGAAATGGCGAGGCGTTCTCATGCTGATCCGTTACCCACCTTTAACCCTCCTCTAAACAACCTCTGTCTGTCTGTCTGTCTGTCTGTCTGTCTGTCTGTCTGTCTGTCTTTTGGGTCTGACCTACAGAAGTCTTTTTTTCTAAAAGGGGAACCATCATGAGACGGGCTTTTTGTTTGATCTTTCTATTCCGCCACAGCATTTTCTACTTTTTGGTGTTTTGACATAAAATCTGTAGATGTTTCTTATGATCCTTCATACATTAAGCATTAAAATGGCTTCTCGTGTATCAAGAGACTCATCGTTGGTCGGAAACGGAGGATTTTCAGCTCTGTTCTGACCGGCGAGTTGGACCGTCAGAATCTCAGCAGGTTCCACTGAGGAACCCTCCATTCTGAGCGCCAACAGTTTGTGCTGGAAGCAACACTCTTCAGAGTAGATGTTGTCAGTAGCTGCATTTCCATTGCAAACGAGCACAAAACGTTGTTGGTATTCAGCTAACGTCGAAAAAACGCAATTGTTTAACGCTGGTGTTTCTGTTTTAAAAAAATCTGTTAAAATTGCACATAAATAAGTTTATTAAAAGCTATTAGAAACGTTATTAAAAAAATATTATCCTCCTATCACTTCCCTGTGTCTTGTTTGTATTTTCCTCCAATAGTAACATCTGATCATCTAAAAAAAAGAACAAAAAAAGCCAAAACCAGAAGAGATGTTCAAGGGTGGAAATATTTCTTTCACACTACAGTGTAAGGATCAAATGGGCTGTGATGAGCAATATCTAAATAATACATTGTATTGATAATCCATACCCAAGCCTTCCTTAAGTAACTCATCTAGGATTCTTTCAGAAACAAAAGACAGAAAACATCAATGCCTTCACATTCTTTACTCAAACGTTAAAGCTGAAGTTAAACATTGGTTCTGTTACTTCTTGTTGCAAAAAAAAAAACTACAAAAATACAATTACATCCCTAGACAGAGCAAAAAGATGGCCAAGATTTGTTGGAAACAAATCAATGAATTTCCAGAATGTCCTTTACGTTTCTTTCTTTGTGTCCAATATAAATTGTTCCGACTTCATCAGAACAAAGCCAATGAAAAATCCAGACTCTGAACCCCAAACACACCAAAAAGATTTCATGAGTTGAAGAACTGATGTGTTCAAGGAGCTGAGGACCTGTCTGCGTTCCCTCAACAGATCTGGACCTGAGGCACGCCCAGGTGGTGGCGCTATCCACGGGAACCAAATGCATCAACGGGGAGTACCTGAGCGACCAAGGACAAGTCATCAACGACTGTCACGCCGAAGTCACGGCGCGAAGGGCTCTGATACGTTTTCTCTACTCTCAACTGGAACTTTTCTTGAGGTAGGACACCAAAGCCTGAACCAAAGCCTGAACGTATTAGCATCTTTAACCCCTTGAAAAGCTCAGATACCAACAGTGACATTTCCAGTTCCATCCTCGAGCGAAACCCACAGTTTGCAGGGAAGTTACAAAGAATCAGAAGGATGTCAGTGAACAATAGATGAGTCAGAAGAAAGGGTACATTAATTATTGACTTGAAGAAAATGTGGGACATCTGGGTCATTACAAACTGCGAACATTTTTCATCAAATGTTTGAAGAGACTAGCTTAAACCTGGCTTACAAAAAATGCTTAAGGTTTTGAGAAGGGGTGATTGTATTCTACATGTGGTAATAATATCTTGTGCTCTTAATATGAAGCGAAAAACTCACAAAAATGAAACGAAACTTCAACTTTTGGGCCAGTGGTTCATTCAAAGACCTTCTGAGAAATCTATGGGGTCACCTACACTGCAAAGGGTTAAAGTTAGGGTTAAAACAAAAATACTTGTTTTAAAGTAATTCCTTAATATTGATGAAGAAATGCTGGTTCCCTTGGCAGAGAAACTAACTTATAACATGGGAAAATGTCTTGTTACAAGTGAAATAAGCTGAGAATGAAACAAGAGATTTTTAATCATTATTATGGATTTATTTACTGAAAATAAGCTCCTGTATCTCTTTAACAATCAATTGTAAAAGCGTGCCAAGATATTTGCACTAGCAACTAAACCAAAATTAGTTCTGGACTACACATTTCTTTGCAGTTTGACAGATTTTTATATCATAATCTACACAAGAAAACTGATTGGTGAAGTTGTACAAAAAAGCGCTGGCGCAAATCTTTACTGGTCGAAGGTTGAAAATACTTACTTAAAAATGGCTTTGATTATTTACACTTAACTTGTAAATAAAACCTGGAGGAACTGGACCTTTAGCAAATATTCTGCATTTTTCCCCCACAGGATATTTGACTGACTGTCACATTGTTTCCATTGTTCCATCATGTGCTGATTTTCATATGCAGGTATCGACATTCATCACATTAAAGCATAAGCTTAAAAATGATGAGAACGATAAGATTAATCAGTAAGCTATACTAATAATATTAACAATATATGGATGAAAATAAGTCAGGTTAAAGTAAAATGGCAGGGATAAAATAATTTGAGTCAGTCACAACAGCTAATGACTTCCCTTGAGTCTAATTATCTTGTGTTTGTTGACTTTTGGATTCTCATTTAAATTTCATGTTAAATTTCCAGATAGTTAAAACAGAGAAGTTAGTCCTTTGACAATAAACTTATTTTATACATAATAAGGTCATTAAATCTGATACGTAAAAATGCAGAGAATAAAAATGTAGTGTTTATTGTTTGTTGCTGTCAGACAAAAATACAGTTTTATCTTTTTATTATTATTATTATTTATTTATTTTAGTTTTATAGGTACAATACTGAACCACATGAAGGGAGAAAAAGAGCCAGATGGCATCTCAATCGAACGAAAGACTTAAATAGTGAAGAGATTCTAAGTTGACTTTCTTTAGGGGTGTTTTCACACTGTCCGATTTGGGACCAGAATTGCAACATTTCTTGCATTTTCAGCTGGTGTGGTTCTGTTTCACGCTACACTGTATCAAAAATCTGTTGCCCCACTTTCACACCTCCCCAAATGAAGCGGATTTTCCAGGCATGCAAACTAGAGTTGGATTAAACAGGGATGTTGTGAATGCACCCTGAATGACATGGTGAATATTGAGAGACTCCTTAAGCCAACACACACTTGTTGACTTCAAAAACCCTGTGCGACTTGAACATCTTTATTCCCCTGATTTTCCCTTTTCTGTGTTAGAAATGGAGTAGTCTAAACGTTAGAGCAGCTTACGTCGTTCCACTTCACTTTGGGCTACATGAGATAGTCAGTCAAGTTTTGTGAGAGTTTCAAACACGACTTTTTTTAGTATTTACACAGAAGGAAATGGCGTAAAAACCGTGTTCAGAGTGCGGCTGTTTCTAAATGCCGGCTCAAAATCTTACACAGCTGCAGAAAGTGAACAGAGAAACTAGTCAGTGAAAATCTTTTGCCATTGGTTTTAGTTTCCGGTGAGCCTCCTGCAGTTTGAACATGCATCACATTACGTTTTACATGACACTTAATAACATCACATCTTGTCAGTTGTGACCCCCTGCTGCAGCCGAAGCATGCTAACTCCTCTATAAAAAGCTCCATGGAAACAGCACCGCTTTGTTCACGAGAGACTTTTCGATAATCAACGGGCCATATGTCTGCTGTTCTCTATAGCTTACGAAGCATACGGTCACACTCAGCTAACTCAGCTAAGGCTCTCTTTGTTTCTGCTCTTTTCTATACAGTTTCTTCCAGAACTAGTCAGGCCCCCTATATTTTAATCACATAGTATCGCATTAAATCCACAAACGTGAGTATATGTGATAGATATTTGAAGAGATAGACCAACACAAAGTAGTTCATCAATAAACATGGGTCCAGCAAGAATTTGCTACATACAAATGCCCTCTTCAACTTGTTATGAAACCTGTTTTATTTTTAAAACATTTGTGAAAACCTTGTAATTTTCCTTCTGTTCAGCTGTTATATGTTGGGGTTTCACCTGAAATGTAAAAGTTACACACTGAAGTTTAAAGTCGTAACGCAAACAAATTGGAAAATGTGTAAAAAGCATTAAAGTTTCTGCAGTTCATGTGGCATCGTCGAGCCTTACCAGGTCCAAGATGATGGCTTTGATGAATTTTGACTTTTCCCAGCGTCGACTTTATAAGAATATATTACCTCCCTGTTCTCCCCGGGGAACTCAGCTGGAATGCTGATGTATCAGATTAGTGGATGGAAGTCCAGATCGTTGAATGTCATATTTGCATACACAACACTGACTTTTTGTCTTAGGACAATGCAAGATGGCAACCACGGAGACTTTGCAGCAGAGTAAAACGGCTAATGTGTAAGATAATTTATAATGAAATGACCAAACAAAATGCCACGACTGCCACATTCACACCCAGTGAAAGGACATCGGCGGCGGAGGAGAGGTTATATAAAGAGGAACACTCGTGCTTTGCGTTATGAATGCCATGGCCTACTTTGTAAAACAGAGGAAAAGTTGATTTATTTGTTATGTATAACCCAGACCTTAAGAAAACACTTTTTGAAACGTCTGACTTATGTGTCTTGGATTTGGATTTATGATCGTGTTACACTGGTTATGCCTAATTTTAGGTCTACAAAATGTCAAATCAATATGTTTACTTGGGTAGTGCAGCATAGAAAAATGATCAAGTCAAACTTGAACTAACTTTAAAGGAAAGGTGTGATGGAATTTTCTCAATTTCTTAGTTGTCTTGCACCACATTAACATACGCATTCAATAAATGTGATGTATAAAGAGTGTAATAATCTTCATAATTAACTCTATTAATTATGAAGACATTCCACTTACAGTTAACAAAAACGTGACATTTACGATTAACATATTACATCAAAGCAGTAAAAAAAATTTGTCTGAAATGCAACTTTAATGACAAGTATGTTTAACACCTGCTTAAATGTTTTAAATCTTCAAAAGGCATCTTCTAATCTTGACAAATAAACCTAATTGAAACGCATATTCCAGTTCAGTGAATACCAATATTCTGCATCCTTTCATAGTAAGCTAATTATTAAGTTTTCTTGAACTAAGTGTGTTTGTAGCAATCTGTAAAAAAAACAAAATCTGCTGTATCATCTTCATTATCAACAATGAAGATGAAAACAATCCTCTCAGATAAAGCTGGAGTTCACTTAGCAGGAGTTAAACCAGCTAAATGATCTCTAACCTCTATTTCTTTTAATTAAAGCAAATGTCAAAGATGTTTAGAGTGCTCCAGCTAGCCGTGCGCTGACCTCTACAAATCCTCTCATAGCGGTTTTACAAGTATTTATCACCTCAGGTAAAAAAAAAAAAAAAAAGCTGCAAATTTACTTCATCGCATTAGCTTTAATGTTGCTGGAAGCGCAGTTGCCAGGTCATGCTTTCTTACTGTCGACACGACTGGCAAAGAGGTGGAAGCTACACAGCCCAGAGGTTTATTTTCGCTTTCTGTGAGCTGCTAATATCAGCTGCGTTTGGAGTCTTCTTGTAGTTTAGTGCTGTTAAGGTGATTTTTTTTCTTCCCATTTGCCAATGTGTAATGCCCACTTTCTACTACATACAAGTGAAAATGTCCAATTATTTCTATAACCATTTTTGTACCACAAATCGCTTTTAGCTTTTCTTTTTTTGGAGGCTTACATATATGTATATAAATATATTTTTCTTAATGTTCTGCCTTTCTAGTGTCTTATTTTCTTTTAAAAATGTTTTCAAAATCATCATTTTTTTTTACTTTCAGTGATAGATTTATAATTTTAAAAAACTCAATTACGAGTTGCAAAGTCATAGTTATGACCATCAGCGTCATACTTATGAGATGATCAATAAATTTCTGAGTTTGAATTTCAATATTGCAGCATTCAGTGTCTTTTTTTTTTCCGCTGTTTCAAGTTTTGGAAAAGGGCGTTCATACTTCACTGTCCCAAGGATACATAATTAGCTACATAAACAAACATGAAACTAAATTTCTTTGTGCATTTTGAGGTCGCCAAGGTCAAGCCAGCATAAATGACCTACTTTCTGCTTCCATCATCGTTGATTTAAGTGCTGCCTGTGTCAGATGGTTGTCACGTAGTCAAACGAAATCCTGTATATCTATGAGTTCAGTAGCCGAAAGAACGATTGGTCCTCGTGTTTAAACAATGGTTCTCTCCAGCAGAAAAATCTAAATTTGCACAGGACTTGTTCAGACCGGGTTTAGAAGTACAAATAAGAGGACCTTAAAGGAAGCCCTGTGGGATCCCTTCATGTACAGTAAAATAAAACTGAACAGGGAGAATGTATACAGTGATGAAACCCATTACTAAGTAAAAAGTTTCGAAGCCTGTGATCACTACCAAAAAATACAGTCATCTGTGATGCTGAATGTTTTTGTTTATCAAGTTCAACTGTTTCATTCACAGCCTGGTGGTATTTCAATCTTTTATTTGGATATTATTGCACTAAAAATATTTTTTGTATTGAAAATCCTTCTATGCTACTTTTGAAACGGAACTTACTGATTATTTGAACAATTATAAATCAATGTTGTCCCTTTTGTTGTGCCTTAACGTTTGACCCTGTATGTTATTGATCTAAAGGATCACAGTGTGATCATTCTGAAAGTATGCAGTTTGAACCTGAGTAATGTTCAGGACTTTGACATGAGTAAAATAGGCTGCGGTCAGAACGTGAGCCCGTGTCCATCCCTCTCTGTCTCTGCTTCTCTTCATCATTTTAGAGGGGGGAGAAAAAAAAAGTGGAAATCTATTTCCTATACTGTGATGAATAGTGCCGCCTTTCTCATCAGTCTTCCTCACTTTTGTTGCTTTTTCTCATTCTCTTTTTCTTTTCTTTTTTTTGGTTCCTGAAGTAAAAGGCTGGAGGACTGGGAGGAGTCGATATTTGTCCGCCACAAAGAGCAGAGTTACAGGTTGAGAGACAACGTCCATTTCCACATGTACATCAGCACTTCGCCATGTGGGGACGGGAGGCTCAACTCGCCTTATGAAATTACAAGTGATCGTAAGAAGCCAGACATTCATTCATTCCACCATAGTGTGAAACATAAAAGCATATTCTTGTCTTATGTACTGAAAATGAATTGTTAATTAGTTAAAATAACTTTGTAGGGATGCACGATATTGGATTTTTGGTCAATAACCGATATGCCAATATACTGAAACTCATTTGGCCGATAACCGATGCCGATACATATATTTTTTCCTGTACCTATTCACTGAAACCATATGGCTTTCTCTATTGTGTACCTAAAATACTACATCGTCTTTTTCAATCTAACCTGCTGCCAAATGCTAAAAAGGGGGCTGAAAATGATGGAACATTTTGAACTTGCATTATGTTTAATGTCAAGTTCATTCATGACTTTTGCTCTCTAAGACAATGACAATGCTGACAATAACAACACTCAAACCGTGCAAATGTGACGTCATGCTGCAGGCATCATTGTAAAATGGTTTGTCACAGCAAAACACCTTTTATATCGGCGAGTTTCTTTGACAGAATGTGCAATTTTACATTTTACAGCTAATATCAGCCGACATGGATACTACGTTGATAATATTGTGCGTCCCCGCAATTTTGGTTTATTCTGCAAATTTAGAAACATCTTGACTATTATGCAAGGTTATTATGTCAAGACTGTTTTTCATCTTTCCTCACACATAACTGCAACCGACTCCGTCGGTATCCTCCGCATGGAGAAATATTCAGGAAACTCGTACAGAGGAAGAGAGAGTGAAGACGCTACCATCATCAGAGAAGCCTTAGAAATATTAGGCATTAAACCTCATAAATGCTGTGCAGCGTGCCCACAGAGATTATGAAATTTCAGGACACCTTTGACCGACTGTTCTTAAACATTTCAGAGCCGGAAGCTACCGGCTTAATTTTTAGTCTCTGTCGGATCATAGGAACAGCTACATAGCAAGAGAGCAGACCGACGGGAGGAACTGCTTTAAGCCCTAAGAAATGTGAGGCTATTAAAACATAAAAAGGAATTCTCTTGGGTACATTTCAGTAACATTTTTTTTATTATTTCTTTGACAGGGTTGTAGTTTCTGAGTCACAGATCTGACAGCTAGTAAGTAAAACCAAAGTACACGATTTAGAGCGAATCCTGAAGGATGCAGATGAAAAGATCTTGTAAACCTGCCACTGATTGGACCTCAAAAATATGAGCAACTCTCTCCAGTCCATCACCAATGTTCTCTTTCTTTTATATATTCAAATACTTTAGACCTTTACTAACAGTACAAGAACCTAAAGAGGTCCCTTAGCTTTGCACATTCCTATGAAGAGACAGGACATGTCCAAGATAAAATACAATCCCCCCCCCCCTATTCAGACAGAGCCTACTTAAACAGACCTGTTCTTATTTCCCTCCTTTCAAGTACACAGCAGCAGACACCTCATGAGGAAGCATCGAAGCCACCTGCGGACCAAAATCGAGTCCGGCGAAGGGACGGTTCCTTTGCGATGCCGGGGGCCCGTCCAGACATGGGATGGCATTCTACAGGGGGAGCAGCTCATCACCATGTCCTGCACAGACAAGATCACCAGGTCAGTGCTGTCACATGACCCATCTGGAGTTAAAGCTTTAGACCGCACAGCATTGCTCTGATCTAACATGACCAGATTATTTTAGGTCTGCTGTCTGTGATCTCATGTCAGCTGCACCAACAGTGAGTTGAGCAGCTGTATTTTATTTTTTTTTTAATTCACTGCTACTCGATTGCACGGTTTTCAAAACTGTATTATAGTCTATGCACACTACTTTGCTGATCTTGCAAAGGTTGGGGGTTTTCTTTTCTTCTGTTAAAAGGATCCAAGCAAAGTAATGGGGACTGTATTGGCTGATGCAGCTTCCTGTCTGCGTCATGTGACCTGCTTCGTACGCTGTGCTCAGACGTCTGATGGTGCAGAAGACAGAGCCGCTGAAGCATTAGATTTTTACACTAGCCCCGTTTAGTCCGGTTCAATCAAACTCTAGCTTGTTTGCTGAGAGACAGGACGACACAATCCAGAGTATAAGACAACAGCAAGCAATGCAACTGCAGTCAAATGTTTATTCTCTATTTCTGATTAAATGTAGTATTAGTTTTTCAGCAATTAAAAGATAATGAGTTTTCTAGCTCAAACATGAAATTCAATTTATTAACTATTGACTCAGCTCAGCAGAGGAGATACAAAAACATCTTCTGCAGGAAATTCTTATTTCTGAGTTTTAAGGCCTCATTTCTATTTTGTACACACTTTTTTTTCAGTGAATCTAGAGAGAAGTTTTTACTTGAGAATAAAAGTGGTAATATTGGCATGTATAATACTGCTCTGTTTAAGTCTATGCATTTTAACTTATTTTACAAAAATCACAATCTTAACTTTCTATTTGCAATTACTATTTTTACTCACTGGGGCACAGATATATGTATATATACATATAGAGAGAGAGAACCTTCAGCATTCAATCACTTGTGAAATTTCTGGGGTGCTTAAACAAAGAAAGGTAACCCGAGTGGTGGAAAGGTTAACTTTATTAGAAGATTAGTTTCTCCATGAAGAGCAGAGATTTAGCAGAATGAGGCATTTCAAAACGGGCTTTCTGAAAGCCGAGCCCAGACTCGTCTAATATTTACCTAATCCATTTCTCTGCGCATGTGTCCAGGAAGCATGCTAGTCTAGGCAGTGCTTGCATTGATTTCCCATATGTGTCTGAATTTGGTAATCCTATTCTAATGAATGAGTGCATTAATCGCAGCTTTGCTGTGATCTCTAAATCTGTAGCGTTGACTCTTTATCATGCTGGTCAACGACTTGGCCACTATATTCTAACAAGTAGCTCATAATAACCCTTAATAATCCGTGGCAACTTTGTTCAAACTTTTGGTTTTGCTAGTTTATGAATCACTGAACGGATTGGCACGACGATGCATTAAAGATCTGCTGCTGCTGTTCCAGCCTTCCAGACCAATCAGGTCTTCTGGTTCTGCTCTGCAAAACCCGAACCAAACATGGAGAAGCAGCATTCAGCTTCTACGCACCGCAAATCTGGAACAAACTTCCAGAAAACTGCAAAATAGCTGAAACACTGAGATCTTTTAAATCAAGGCTAAAAACCTTTTAGTCACTTTCGACTCATGATAACTACAACATTGATCAATGTTGACTTCTGAACCAGCAGCCCTTCATTTTTAATTGAGAGGCATCAGTTATTACCATAGATGCACAAATTATTTGTTAACTTGATGCATGATTTTCAGGTTGTTTTTCTTGTACATTACAAATATGCCTTACTTTAAAAAATAAAATAAAAAAGTCCCAATGAAATACCTTGAAGTTTGTGGTTTTGCAATGCAAAAAAAATAATTCCAAAAAAGTTTCCTGGGCATAATTAACTTTCTCAACACGCTGTGAAAGTGCATCTAGAAAACTAAGGTTTGCACCCCCACTGGCAGGGAGCCTACACACCCAGAATGTGGTTGTTTTTTTTTCTGAATTGTCTGAAAACTATTTTGCTTTCAGTTTTTTTTTTTTTTTGTTTCTCCCTCCTAAGTTTCTCTGCCAAGACGTGGCCTCTTCATGAGCTGAAACCATGAATTTAGCTTCGTAAGCATCTCACTGTGCCAACCGAGCCATACAGAACGACAGCTGAGCTGCAGCGGTGTGTGTGTGTGTGTGTGTGGGGGGGGGGGGGGGGAGGGGGGGGGTGTGCGTGTGTGTGACAGAGAGAAAGGACTGGTAGAACCATGCAGAGAAACGGAGCAAAATGATGCAGAAGACGGTTAGGAGTGGAGGTGAACCCCTCTCCTGTGTCGCTACTGTTAATTTGACCAATTTGATTCAGTTGGCCAGGGTTGGGGACGGTGTGATTAAATCTACCCAGGTCACCAACAAGGGTGAAAGCAATTACTTTACAAAAAAACAGAGTGACGGGGGAGAGGCGGAGGAGACATCCTGCCTTTCATCCCTGCCTCCTTCCCTTCGCCCTCCTCCCCGCCTGGAGAAGATGGCAGACGTGCTCTCTTTGCTCCACAGCTTGCTCCTCCTCCTCTTCTTCTTTTTTTTTTTTCTTTTAATCGCTGTAAATGATCAGTGGCTGCCGTTAAAGTGAGTGGGTCACCGAGGGCCGGTTTATCAAGGTCAGGCGAGGAGGGCGGAACTGAGAGCAGCTGAGGGCTGCGCGCTCCGGCTCTCTGCTACAACCCTCCCCCCCACCCTCCTCCTCTGGATACTCTTTTTGCCCTCTGTCCCGCTCATTGCGCAACCTCCCATTACTTTTTATTTTATTTCCTCACTCCCTGTTACTTCCCGCACTTTATGATAGTTATTCCAGCTTCGACCAGAGAGGACATTAGAGATCCCGCGCGCTCATCGTAAACATCCCCAACATGACGACCAAAACGGAGAAAAGGCCGCTTTTGTTTTCTTAAGCGGTGCCCAGCCAGGACACTTTTGCAAATATTTGATTTCGAAGGTGACAGCTGGATTTAATTGAGGGGCCTAAATGGCTTTCATATAACGATGATGTTCTCAATTTCACTGCGGTTTTATGCAGATGAACACATTACTTTAATGGCTCGGCATTTACTGGAGGAGCGAGAGGCGAGGATGCAGAGAGGGGAGGAAGGTCTCTTCCCGAGCCAGATGGCTGTCTTTTCTTGCATGAGATTAGAAGATGTCTCAGATTCACGGTGTTGCATTTGGAGTGAATTAATATTTCAGCCCAAACTACTTTTTTTAAATATATTTATTTATTTTTAGCATCATCAGAGCACTTAGGATGCGCATGTGTCGGCGTTTAGAACAAACGCCAACACAACACATTTTCTGTTGGGGAGGGAAAGGCAGATCTTGGCGACAGATTGCAGGTAAACTGGATGCAGACTCTCAGCCGCTTAGTGATTTATTTATTTATTTATTTCCCGAAAGCCGTTGATGTTAATTGACTACTTAGAAAGCAAAAGCAGCTGTAATGACTGATTATTAAGACGGCGAGTGCCAGGGAGGGAGAAAAGGGGAAAAACAACAACAACAAAAAAGAGGAGACCATAATTGCATCCACAGAAAAAAAAAAAAAAAAAAAGAGGAGGCAATGATTAACAAAAAGAACGATGTAAAGAAATTAAGAAATGTCTGGAGCTCAGGTAAAACAGCGGACCTCCCCTACCCCGATAAATGGCGGGAATGGTAATAAACACGGTAATTATCATTTTCCATCCTCAAATTGGCATCTGCTGGTTAAACGGGAGAGGGTTTCCACGGTAGGTGGCACGACCAGCTGGCTGCCGAGGCTTCCTGAACAAAACTGAAGGTGATTGGCCCTTGCGCCGAGCAGTCGACGGCAGCTCTCCTGCAGTGCATTAACCTCCGTGGCACTGATGGATGCACACATGGTAATGTGTTGTTCCATGTAATGAGCGCTGATGTACTGACCTTTGGCTGTATTGTTTTTGGCGCTGACGGTTTGGGGATGTGTGTGTTTTGCGTGCGTGCATGTGTGTGTGTGTGTACCCAACCAGTGGCTGTGATTCATCACGTCCCACATCGAGATAATGATCAAATTGTCTCTACCTGTCATCGACGCGCTCGCAGCTGTCTGTCTCCCGTCATCCAGTCCCGTCTCCTCGTCTGACGCCTCGTCTTGGTTTTTGTCCTCCTCTCAGGTGGAACGTCTTGGGCCTGCAGGGGGCGCTGCTGAGCCACTTTGTGGAGCCGGTGTACCTGCACAGCATCACTGTGGGAAGCCTGCGCCACACTGGTCATCTGAGCAGAGTTCTGACCCAGCGGCAGGAGCGCCTGGGCCCTCTGCCCGCCACATACAGACGCAGCCAGCCTCTGCTTAGTGGTATGGCTAATTATTATTTGACCTCTGTTTAAAAGGTGGCTACACAACCTATGCCAAAGGTACTGAAAAGTATTTCTGTATTCGCAAAATGTTCAGAATTGGCAGCAAAGAGAAATTTTCTCGCTGGTACCATGTAGGACATATTGTTGTTGGCAAAGTAAATATGAAAGTAAATATCATTGTAAATATGACTCTATTCAGAGACGTTTTGAAACGAAGTATGTCTGCAAAGATTAGTTCCCGCTTCCTGAGTTGAATTTTACATCAGTTTCCTCTAAAGTCTGACCATTACCTTCCTATGTAATCCTCCTCAATCTCCCGTATCATTAGTTACTTATTCAACAAAACCAAAGATGTTACCCTGAAGTGTTTTGGAAATCTAGACTGTCACTGGTGCTAAAGACTGATCTGCCATTGACATAGTTACCCAGGCATCACTTTGGTAGTTTGTCACCTGAATGCTAGTTTAATTAGCAGCATGGCCGCTTCAAGATGATTATTTCACAGTTTCTGCACAATAAAAACATTTCGTCTGTTACTACAAATATGTTTGCCTATAATCCGTCATTATCACCTTTTTAAAAAGAAATGCACCTGGATAGACTAAACATCGGTTTTTGCGAATGATGGCTCACGGTAACGTAACACTGGTTGTGAAGGACAACCGTGACAATTCAGCACCTGCTCAGCTCCTCAACAATCCGTCTTAATAAACCAGCATCAGTTTCCTGCTCCCAGCCTGAAGATTGTGACACGTATACGAGATTCTTCACGAAACGTATGACTCATCTTCAAGCCAAGCGTGCCACATCAGATCATTTCTTACACCCGGCCTGCAAACGCTTCACAAACTCGTGTTCCACTGCCGCTCCGCACTGTCATTGTTCCAAGGCTGAAAAGCAACAGCTTAGATGTCGTCTGGCAAGTCGGCGTCCCGGGCTCCGTCGAGACCCCAGGCTTCTGTTTGTGGGTACGATGAACGCTGGCAGACGATCTGAATGACACCCAACTAGCAGCGACAGCGTCAGCCATCACTTCAGATCTAGGCCAGTCGGCGAGGTGGCGTGGCAGACGAGCAGAGAGATGTAGGGCAATGTTTGGTTTCTGGGGGATCATTGATAAGAACAAAGGCAGCGACAGTCACAAACAGGGAAACACTTTAAATCATGTCAGAGACTCTGTATGGATATGGAGCGAGCTCCACTTTCCCCATCTATCTTTGCTGAAAGGAAGAAAAAAGACATTTCTCGATTGATATGGTGTGAATTTAGTCGCCTAGGAAAAGTCAAAGAAAACCTAATGAGGGCAAATTAATAGAACTGGGTAATAAAAATGAGACAAACGTTTTGTTTTTTATCATTTATCTCACATAAGGTTTGTGCTAACCTCTCTGGGACGTGCTGCAGTTTCTCCGGGTCCTCCCCCCATTTGACACGTTTTAAAACGATTCTGTTCTCCTTGTGTCTGGATCTGTCAGATCTTCACACCTCCTGTGCTTTGAGTGGCAAAAGCCTATTGAAGAGCACTAGGGTGAGGGAAGGCAAGGAGATGGACAGACAGGCCTACACCAAATCAATGCAATCAGACCTCTTATCAGCCAGCCATTCAATCTGAAGGGAGACCCGGACAACGAAGGGCGGGAGGACGGAAAAGAAGGGAAGACGGATGTTCGCTTGCATTCAGATGTCCACACACCTCAACAGTCCTCTGCTCTCCTCCATCACCCCAACGTTGACTCTGATGAGTCCAAGCCCTTCCCCCTGCTTTATTTAAAAGCCCGGCCCCCAGAGGATCGTCCAGGAGCTCGCCGGGGCCGCTCTTATCGCACGCAGCCAAAGCAGCGCCACCTGAACCCCGAGGGCTAAACTCCCAAACACATCGATAGACCGACCGCCTTGTCCTTGGCTGTTCAACAAACACAAACCGGGACTTTGTTGTTGTTTTGTTTTTTTGGGGAGGATAAAGGGAACCAAAGCAGCAGCATTATTAGCGATTATTCCGTTATTAATGTTTGATTCTGATTGTCGGAGCTGGACTCGCTTTAGTACGTTTTGATAGAAAACGAAGCTTATTGGGGAAAACATCAGAAGACTTTTGAACTTTTTCGCTTTAGGAGGAAATGAAAACATCACTAAAATCAATTACTCATTAAATTCTAATGTCATCTAAGTAGAAGCACAGAGGCTACATGGATTTTTTTCTTTTTTTTTAAACTTTCATTAAAGGGCGAGCCTCCAACAAAGTCCGCTTTAAACAATAATCAATCAAAAAAAAATTCAAGTTTCCGCTGGTCCTGGTGTTTCCCAGAAGGCGTGTGGTGGCCCTTTAACTTCATCACCTTGAGGAAAATTCTTATTCCTCACCCTGATCTTCACATACTCATTGAAAATCTACAGTTTCTTTCAAACTTGTTGCTTCAAACACACCAAGCTGCTATCTGTAGTATCAAATATGAAACCACATGCATGGTTTGAAAAAAAAAAAAAATCCTATATGCAGATGCTCCCATTGAGCTTCTCTCACTCTGCCAAGCATCCTCCCAGTGGAGACATTGATCAAGTCTTCATTGAAGGGAAAAATCAAATTGGCTATTACAGAAACACAGGAGTCAAGGCCATTGAATGGATGAAATGAGCCGTGAATGGAGCGAGAGGGAAGGCAAGAAGGCACGATGGATAGGGGGGCTCTTTTGTTCAAAGAGGTGCATCTGCACAAGAGAGGAGAACGATGGGTAATAAGAGACTCTGAGGATTGTTCCTGTGGCAGGTGATTCATCCAGCTCCGTGGAGCGGAGGAAAAAGAAGAGGTGAGGACGGTGAATGGAAGACGAGCGTAGAAATGGGGAAGCGGGTGGGGAAGGGGGGGCGATCCGCAGGCGTGTGCTGAGGCATTGTAGTTCCGGTTTTGTGTTATAACAAGCTGCCTGTCAGATGATGAGATCAGAGGCATTTGTTGCCGACCCGTTAAAGAAACCGGCTTCGGAAAAAGGTCCACCTTAACGCAGCGTGTTACAATAAATAACTGGGTTGGAAATCAAACTGAAATCCTCGCAGCTGTCCCTTTGTAAAGACGGTACATGGACGGGCATAATGTGAAAGGCCACAAGGCGCCGAGCGTCTAATGTTGATGCTGCGAGGGATTGTGGGAGAGCACATTTCTGGTACTCTCTCATTTTTTGCTTTTCTCTCTCGCTCTCTCTCTCTCTCTCTTGCCGTAGGAGACGGAGAAAGAAACAGTCAAGATGTTATTCAGAAAACATCCAGAGACGTTGGCTAGCTCATATACCACAGTCAAGAATAATATTCATAACCTTTTAATGAGACATATAGTCCAGGGTAGAGAAACATTTCTTCTCATCCTTAAAATGTTTTAATGTATCCAAAACGAAGGCCTTTAAATGTCTTCATTTAAAGAAATGTAATTTGGCCTTAAATGCATTTAAATCGCTTCCTCCTCTGCGTTGCTCATTACAAATTTATCACAGGTTGGCTGCGTGTCTTTTGACGACCCACACAATGCCAGTTGCATTCTGAAAATCTAAACTGGCATCAAAAGTCTGAAATTCCAGACCAAACTACCAGAACCAAAAAGCTGAACCTACTCCTGAGGCCACCTGCAGTCTAGACCTGGGGCATGCACCATGCAATGAGTGAATAAAGCACGTTAATGAAAGAAAATCTCTTTGCAATCTTAAGAAGGTCTTTAAAAGTCTTAAATTGGAGTTGGCGAAACCTGCAGAAACCCTGATCTGGCTCTGGTGGTCAGTCTGGGTCAGTCTGGGGCTTGTGGTTATTTTGTTTATGCCAAAGAGTTTTGGCATAAACAAAATAATTTAATGCTCCTCTAAAACACAATAAAAGCACAGGTAGATGTATAATAATATCATAGTTTTTGTCAGTCTCATATGCATTTGACTCTAGTTACAATCACGTTGATTTATCTTGATTCAACTCTTGATAGAACAACCAAATAAATCATTTTGTATGAACAAGAGAAATAACACGTTAGTTGACGGCTCTGAGTTACAGCCTCACAACAAGCTCGGCTAAAAGAAAGGAGGAACAAATCTCTGGAACATTAATCTGTGCCTGTTTTTCCATCTCTTGGCGAGGCGGTCCGGTTTTGTTTCTTGTTCGTACTCAGCCATGTTTCATCCAGCCCACAAGCCGCCATATGTCAACGCAGAACTCTACTTGCTGGAAGCTAGGTACTGCATGTGTGGTATAACTTCCATACATCTCCAGAATGTTGTTTTTAGGTTTTTTGCTAAGCATAATTAAAACTAAATGAATCAATTTCAGATCTGTTGCTCCTTCTCTTGGTTCGAAGCTCATTCTCTCCTGTTCTCTGCCTGTGCTTTGCTGGAGAGCTTCATTATTTCAGCGAGAACACGGTAATGGTCCAGTGTAGGTGCAGCAGCTGATATTTCTGAATGGAGCTAATATTTACAGCAGAGCCAGCATATCTGCAGCAGCACCAGAGCAGACAAGCTGTCTTACACAGGCAGGAACACATGGAGTACTTGATTGATAGCCCTCTGCTTTTCCCCCCCCCAACCTTCTCTCTCTCTCTGGGGGTGTATCAAAGCTCCATGGTAACAGCCACACCGTTTAGCGCTCAGGTCCAGTTTTTGCAGCGCTGCAAAACTTAACATGAGCTGTTCGCCTCAGGCAGAGAGAAGCAAGGATGGAGGAAGGTTAAACCGAACAACAAAGTGAAGGTTTGAGGGGCTGCTAAATTTGACTTAGAAGTTTCTGCTTTCTTTTTTTTTTTTTTTTTTTTGTGGATGTTTTCCCGCGGTAAATCTGCATATGGATCACATGTCGGGTCACAACAGTCAAGCCTTCGTGTTAAAGTTGTTTGTTTGTTTTTTCATCCCCACAGGGCTGAGCAACATTGAGTACCAGCAGCAGGGGAAGGCCACGTGCGTCAGCATCAACTGGACGCTGGGCGACGCGCAGGCGGAGGTGGTCAACACGGCGACGGGTCGGCGCCGGGATTCAGGGACGCCGTCGCGCATCTGCAAGCACGCCCTGTTCACCCGCTGGAACAGACTGCACCGAAAGGTGAGGGCTCACCTCCAGGCCGGACCTGGACAGTCCGCTTTAACCGAACTCCGGTCCATTTGTGTGGAAAGTCCAGGTCAAGTTTCAAGAGGCGCGAAATGCAAATTCGGGTTTGCTTACAATCAAAGCTCGGTCTCTGTCGGGTTGAAGTGAACTCTGATGCGATTCCAATGCTTACATGAAAGCTGAGCGAACTATAGTGCAGGGTATTCTGGGTAAATGCAACCACAACGACCGCAAGTGAAGCACTAACAGGAGAAATTTTTCCCGGTCTATTTAGCATCAACAAAATGGAAATGCTACAACCACTAAGGTCTGAAACCTTCATTCTTCTTTATATTATATGAAAAAAGAAGTTTCAGCCCATGTCTTCTGAGTTTTTTTTTGTTTTATTACTTGCAATTTTATATTATTTCACTTATAACAATGGACAATTATTTTGATATATGCAAAATAATCTTCCAATTAAACTGTTGTGTAATTTAAGTGTGCTAGGATATTTCCACAAGAAACAAGAGGAAAAAAAATACTTGATAAGATTTTGTTTCTGCAGTGAACATCCTCAAAACTCCCATCAGGACCTGCTGGCGCCTTCGAGTTGCTCACTTTGACTTCGACAGAACATTTCGAACTAAAGTTTAGAGGAAACCCAGTTTAAAGCCGCGTCCAAAAAAATTGCTCCGCACACCGTGCGGGAACAGTCATGGCTTTAAACTTCTCAGATGTTCAACATTTCGTGCCGGAAACCTTTCTACAAGTTTCCTTTCACAGACGTCAGCAGCAGCTCAGCTGCTGTCCTGTCTGCCTCACTTAGCACAGTCAGATGCTTGCTAAGCTAAATCTGTGGTTTCATCCGGACAGAGAAACAGACGACATAAAACCATCTCAGAAAATAGATCCACAGACTGGAGGGGTTGAATTCCTACCAGAGTCCAGAAATGTATCCGTAAACAGCCAAACATGAACGGGGTGTTTTGGAATAGTGTTCGCACTTGAGTGTAGAGACTCATTCAATAAATTAGAGTATTATTAGAAAGTTCCTTAATCCAGTTATGAAGAATTATTTTTCTTTCAGCTGATTAAAACACGGCTTAAGATTACAATATTACATTAAGCCAATAAAAACATTTTTAATACAGAAATGTACACTCAATGAAAAGTGTGTTTAAAGCTGCAGTGTCTCATTTTTCTAAACACTTTTTTTACATTTTGGTTAAAACTTCTCACTGTTTCATAACATCGGACAGATAACCTGTGAAAATAGAGATCTGTGGTCTCATCATTGGTAAAGTTTATTGCTAATTTATAGTCCATTATTGTGTTCTGTCACAATACAGGTATTATTTTATACATAAAGGTCTTTAAAAGTCTTAAATTTAAAGAAACCCTGTTTGGAGTAGAGGCTTAAAACCAGATACAGACTCAACATTACAGAGACATTTCTGCTCAGAACAAAGACTCCAGTTCAGTTTGATGTGAACTTGGTGACCTTTTTGAAGAGGTTGAACGTTTGCGCCTCCATTCCTAATCTCGCACGTTCAACAGGAGGTCGTCTGTTAGCTCAAACAGCCTGCAAGTAAACAAGCCGTCCGCTGCGATTCGCCGGCTTCCAGCCAGAAATCCAGAAACATTAACTACCGAGACGCTTTCCAGCAATCAAAAGCCACACGTCTGTATTAAACTCCAAATCACAGCGCGCGCCGCGCCGAGGAAATGTGGAATTTCCTCTCTGCTGCAGATAAATTTTGTCGTCTTGGCAACATCTGCCGTCTGTGCGGCTTATCGAAATCTGGCAGCTCGGATCTTCACCCGCCCGCACTTTCATTTCCATCCTGAAACTTTATGTAACAGACACCGCCTGCGTCGGCAAATGGCGAGCCGTTAAAGCATAATGACTATGAAACCATAATTATTTGGAGGAGTTCTGGAGGAGCCCCCCGCACCCCCGGCCCCTCTAAGTGCTCCCCGCGCGCCGCGCATACGGGGCCACGCTAGAGCAGTCGCACTAATCTCCAAAAGAAACTTTTGCTCTCCTCGTCCTCCCTCTCCCCGCTTGTCTCTCTGCCGATCTTCCCCAGCCCTCACCCCCCCCCCCCCCCGCCACACCCCGTTCCCCCACAGCCCCCCGCGACAGTTCGACTGCACAAAAAAGCACAGAGAATGTGCAATTGTTGTGAAATTTAAATGGGGAGATTACACAGCTGTTGAAGCCCCCCACCTCCCACACACACCCACCCCCTCCCACAGCCACCCACATGCATTTGTGCCGGCTCATTCGTTTTGTTTTGCTCGCCCCTTTTCTCCCACCCACCCTCATCCACACCACCACCCACACACCGCCCTGACTAAACCTACCGCACCTTTTTGCCCTGACTGTACAGAGCACAGCGCCACATTACAACAACTTTTAGATCATTTTTAGATAATGGAGCAACAAAGTGGCACATTATGTACAAAAACCCATCATTATTGAACTTTAGGTTAAAATCTGAAAGGTGTGGCATACATTTGTATTCTGCTTAGTCAATGCTTTCTACGTCCACCTTTCCATACAGTCTATTAGACCTGGGTCTGGACTTTGACTGGGCCATTGGAAGACATGTGTATATATATTGATTGAAGCTGATCAAAGTTGTTATCCTGTTGGAAGCCTAAGGACCCCAACCAATAAATCAATTAATCAATCACCATATAGGCGGATTGGGAGCTCTGGGCTCAATAAGCAGTGGTCTCAGACATTAAGAGATCTTCCCACAGACTGGGTGGATTATTTTCTGACCCGGTTCTCTTTGGGACTGAGCTGTTTAGGAATATCCCGGTTTCTCTTCTGGACCCGGGGCAGGGTGTTACCCCGCCACCCCCTGCCCCGGCACCATGGTCTGAACTCCAAACAGTAAATTACAGGATTGACCCAAATTTACTCCTCAACTTTTCAGATTTTCTCAAGCTTTAACGCGGCACTTTTATGTTTTCTCACGTATTTGTTAAAACTGTCGTTATGACAGTATGAGGCAATCTCTGAACAGATCGGCCTCCTCCACCTCCTCCCTGCCATCTGCAGAAACATAACGCTCCCGGTGGAAAATGACCAATCAGAGCCAGGAGGAGGGTTTGATGTAGGTGTCATCATCTTAGGGTAAGATGACACTTCACAACATAAAAACCGTCATCAACTTGTTCTGAGTTGCTTTTGAATCATAAGGGAACATTGATCAACATATTTGATGTGTAATGACGGCTCTGAAATGTCTGTAGTTGGTTTTAACGACTATATGACATGTTTATGATGTTTGAACTGCTATGTTGCTGAAATGAGCCGCACAAATAAACTTGATTGCTTGGCCGTTGATCATGCTAACCACGTCTTTCTCCCATATGCTTCTTATCATTCCTCTCTTTCAGCTGGGGCTCCACGTCTCCAGCTCAGCGACAGACCCTCAGCCCATGTACAGCGAGGCCAAGATGGCGGCGCGTCCTTACCAGATCGCGAAGCAGCAGTGGTTCAAGTCTCTGCAGGAGACGGGCCTTGGTACCTGGGTGAAGAAACCTCCGGAGCAGGAGCAGTTCCTGTTGTCCATCTGAGCAACGCCGTGTGTGTGTGTGTGTGTGTGTGTGTGTGTGTGTGTGTGTGTGTGTGTGTGTGTGTGTGTGTGTGTGTGTGTGTGTGTGTGTGTGTGTGTGTGTGTGTGTGTGTGGGTGTGACCTTTATTTTTTTAGGGTAAGATAACGCCCCCCACAGCTTCATACCAGGAAGTGCACCCTCCAAACCCAAGATTACCAACCCTTGTGCGTGTCCGCAGTTTTCATTCTGTTTCGTGTCGCCCTTTCATCCCGTCACTGAAGCCACCAGCAGAAGATCATGTAGGAAAACTAGAGTTGAAAAGCTGGAGTTTCTTTCCCCTTTGAACACAAACAAGTTTAAGCAAACACCCATCTAAATACACCCGCCCCCCCACCCTCCATTCCCGTCCGTGGCTGTCAAGGAAAAAGGGGGTTGGGGTAACCTTGAGCAGAATGAAAGGCAGCCGCTATCTTGTCATCAGCTATTTCTGGGCCCTGAGGCTCCCGCTGAGGAGCGAAGCCACGGGGGAGAAAGAGAACGAGGCAGGCTGAGCAAGGGGAAAGGATGGGGGAAAAAAAAAAAAAGAGGGTCCAAGTCCAATTACCGGCCCTGTCAGGGTGACGGGTGATAGAGACGAAGGCAGGGAGTGAGGAAAGAGAAGGACAGGGTGGTTCACCTTCTCCTCTTTTATTACTACCTCCATCCTTCTTCGCTTAATTCACCTTTTTAACTCTCCTGTGCCCTCTCCCTCCGTCCGAGGGGAGCTAAACATGACACAGCGACAGGTTAATGCAGCCCTGGAGGAGGTCTGGGGTATAAATGACATCATTACTTCACAACTAAGCACAAGAACGGAGGAGGAGACGGACCGGAGAGTTTCTTCTTTGCATTTTTTCCTTGGTCTTAACAAAAGCTCAGTAACAACATTCATACTCATCGTTTCTTCCCCTTCAGTCTGATAACAGCTATTAGTGACGCTTTTTTTTTTTGTTACCCTTACTTTCAACTCCCATCACCGTCAGATCCGAGGTCCAACACCCGATAGGTCACCGTCCGCCCCATGTAAATTAGCACCTTAATGCATCTGGTCTTTGCATATTTTGTCTGTGTATCACTGTGATGTCTTTCTATTCATCATGATCATGACTCTACTGTTCTGTCAGCGTTCTCTATAAATAATTGAGCCGCAGCATCAGGCCGCCGGCGGCAGCGAGATCCAAGCAGTGACATCAGTGACATCTAGTGGTTTCTCTGAGTACTGCGCCCTGTTCAGACCTGGTGGTTTCACTGGGACTGTGTGAGCGTTGAGATGACAAACAGAAAGATTTACACCAGAAAGCTACCTTATGACTCATGCTCCATTATTGGTTTTCCCCTCATTCATTGAGATCCAAGAGAGACCTATTTTGATAAACAGTAATTATCGTAGCAATGAAATTGGGATTTAGTGATATATATTTTTATAAAAATTTATAGTGAGACTTGAATCTGTTTGGGCTGGACTGAACATGGCGTGATCAGATGAAGTCACACTAACAGTAGAACCTGCATGCTGTTCAAATTCAAACAATACTTTATTGATCCCAAAGGGAAATTAGATACACATTGTGTGTATTGTGTGTAATTGCAAAATTACAAATGATGCATCTTATGCAGTGGCGGATGTGCATATCACTACTTATTTCATTTTGAATGTTTTACTGTTTTGTTTTTTTTTTGTCAATGCAACAATCACAAACGATTTTCAGGTGGACAAGTGTTATGTGAGACGCACCAACTCAAAATTATTGAACCAGAAGCAAAACAATATTACATCTTTTAACATTTTTACAGATGAAAATTTGAAGGACATGGCACACATTTGCTTGCATCCACTTTTTATTCTAAAGCCCCTAAATCAAATCCAATTCACTAGTTTGGTCTTTAATGGAAGAATAGCAAAGAGGAAGCAGGGGGGTAATGGTCATCAGCTTGTTCTGCTAACAGTAGTTGGCAATCATTCTGGTTTTGTGACTTGAACTGGCACTTGTTAATGTCTATGTGATGCTTAGTATATTTGTTACATTCATATTTGACTTCTTTTGTTGTTTTTTTTTAAGAATTCAACATAAACACTTCATCCCCCAGTGAAAGCTAGAAGTTTTGCAAACCTTGTGATTTAAAAGGAGCTGAAATTTGCCTACATTGAACCTGGAAAAAAACAGAACCAACTGGAGAAAGATTCAGCTGCGAGCAAAACGAAGAGGATTCAAAATCTCCAGTCACTACTTTATATTAATTCAGACACCAAAAAAACTCCACTGTGGAATAGATTTTATGTAAAGTACCGTCTGTATGTCAGATCAATATCACTGTTTAGGTGCAAATCTTGGTTTCTCTGGCAAATGTGACATTCATTACCATCACGCTCCCCAATGTTAGCAAACACAGAGTTTCACCAATTTATTTTTGAGATAAAACATATAACGTTTGTCTGAAAGCTGTTTGCGTGTAAATATGTAAAAACAAATGTACAAATGATGTTGATGAGGAAGGAATCTAAAAATGTCCAACTATGTAAATCGAGGTACAAGAGGAATTGCTGCTAAGGTCTGTAAATTGCACTTCAGTAACATAAAAAGTGAATGTTTGTACTGTATATGTGAATAAAACCACTAAATCTTGTAATTTTACTTTTGCCTGTCTGCTTTATGGTTTTAGTATTGGTGTATTTCTACTTTGTCACGATCAGCTGTCGGTGCGTTAATGTGCCGACCCCAGAGAGCAGTCGGCCATTATTAAAGGTGCCTCCCACTGCTGCGCCTCCCCGGGGAAATCCACGGGAAAATGGTTATCTCAGTCGGGCTCATGGCAGGTGGCGCACAGAGCAGTGGGCAAATTAGTCTGGAGGATGAAAGCGGAGACCGGTGGAGGCAGCTACACCTCGTCCCCACCGGCCCCCCCTACAGCCACGGGTAGCTCACCCCGCCACAATAAACTCCACAGTTGACCATTTGAACCAGCTCTAACCTAATGGTTAGTCCAGAGACATGATACTGGAAGGTTCCACCATAAACCCACATGGAGAATGTTTTACGGTTCACGATCTTTTTGTCGTAAATCGGCTCCACTACAAACGTAAAACCCTGGAGAAATTAAGATTTCTATTGAAGAACACAATGAAGTGTTTGTGTAGCTCCATGTCATTCCAGATATTAAATTTTTTTGACAGCAGATAAAATGGTAAATGGCTCATTTTAAGCACAGCTCTAACGGCGGTCGCTATTTGTCACTACAACTCATAATTTTTTTAATTTCCAGATTGGGGAAGCAAGGAAATGGACCAAATTCTAGTGGTGAACTAATGATGTGGTTTTGTTTTGGCACCTACAGACTGACTGTATTAAGTGCTTCATTGTGTTCCAGATGCCAAAAGTGACGTCTGTCATGTGTTAGCCGGTGACCTGAAAGTGAGTTCTGGACTCTGACCCTTAAAAAACAGCAACCAAGGCTGGGAAAAAAAAAAAAAAGATGTGTTGCAACATCTCAGTCCAAGTCCAGGCCTTAAACTCTGAAGCACACACACACCACCCACACCAAGAGCTGTGATGGAGCCTCTATGACCCTAAACGTCCCTTAACGCAGGGGCAAGTGGGATCCTGGTCCTCCAGGGCCGGTGTCCTGCAACTCTTGTCACCCTTCTAAGAAATTCAGGTCACCAAAGTGAGTGTAAATATGTAAACATTTAAACTCACTTAGGTGACTTGAATCACCCCCCAGGTGTAATCAAGTTCTCCAGAGTCCTGCTAATGACCTCATTATTTGACTCGGGTGTGTTGAAGTCGAGACGCATCTAAAAGTGGCAGGAGACCGGCCCTCCAGTGTCCCACCCCTGCCTTAGATGTACAAGGAATTCCCTATTTTGATGTTTTAAGAGAAACCTTAAACCTGCAGACAGTTACATGTACTTTGCTCTTAATGAGAAAGAATCCTTATGAACAGACATCAGCAGTTCCAGGTTTTGCAGATGAATAAAAACACAATTTTCTGAGAGATAACCAGCCTCATTGAAGTGAATCAAAAAAAAAGTGTGGGCTGAATAAGATGAGAGAGATGCGACTAGCAAAAGAAAATCACATCTTTTTTTTTCTTTTTATTGGAAAGTGTCAGGGAGAACACAGCCATCACAAAGTATGCAAAGAAGATCGCATAATGAAGTTAGGCGAATATAAATTCACTTCAGTGAGCTGAAAGCTGATCCACTTTAGAAATGTAGATTTTACTCCCGCAGACTGGCTGTAATTTAATGTATCAATCTGAAAATCTGATTTCCTCCAGGTTGGTTATTCAGAAGCGCTGCGTTTTCTGAATTTAGCGATCCGCCTGCGGAGGACCGGGACGGCGATACCACCGGGCAGGAGTCCCCGCCGCCACCCCGACGAAAGACACAGACAAAACAAACCCGTCTGAAGCACAATCACTTATCGAACATGTGGAGGAGCCACAGACAGATGACAGTCATACGCCGTCCTCGATGCAGTAGTAAGGCATTTTAATTCAGGTCCAACATTTCTCAGGTTCATGCTACTTTACAATGTGATCCTGGTTCTGATTGTTGGAGGAAACAGCAGAGACGTGTGCGTTCTGAACACACTGGATCTAAACTGGTCACATATACAGACAGGCAAGTTGTATGGAGGTTTACAGCACTGGAATAAGTTAAACATCTGAAGGAGATTTAAAACAAAATAAAACAAAAAAAACAGCATGACTTCAATTCAGAACATTTCACATGTAACATACAGCATGTTTCAGGAATCAGGTGGAGCACAGTAACCTGACGACAAAACCCACTCTGTCTTTTAAAGACAGAGTCGCCTGGTTTAAAACGCACAACTTCACTCTGTGAATGAGTAACATTAAGGAGCTGAGTATTGCTTCCATTTCTTTTTTGTGCTACAGACAGACAGATGGGTGGGTGCAACACAGTACAGAGCTGAAAACCACTGAAGCACACACACCACACACACCAACCATTTTGGGCTCACGACTCAACAGCGGCAAGTTCTGAGGCGGCAAAAGGAGGAGCGAGTCCAGCTCAGGTCAGAGGTTTACATACGGCCACGGTGACGGTCGCCATCGGCGAGAATGGTTTTATTTTTGATGATTCAACATCCAATTTCACTGAGTTTTTTTTTTTTTAACAAGAGTGCAGAAGTTTGAATTTGCAGTATTGTTTAGGAGCAAAGTACTTGGTTAATGGTCACAAAGAAAGCTGCACCTGAACTACATGTCTTTTTCGCCATCGACACTCTGGAATAAACCTGGTTGGATTCATGAGATTAGATTTTTATGATGAATTATTTTAGCTCGTTTGGTTTCCTAGCATCAGCCTGGATGTTAAAGCAGCAGTACGTAAATTTATAGAAAATATGTTGAGTTTGGTGACAGTCTGTTGAGACTATGTATAATATGAGATGGATAATCTTAATAAAGAAATTTTAAAGATGCGAAAAAAAAAATCCCAACAAGCTCTTATAACCATCTGCAAATTGTACAACCAGCGCCGTCAATCAACCTCGTCTATTTGCTGCTCAGTGTGATAATGGTGGAGAAATAACTTCCTGTTCCTGGAAAACTACTTATGTGTTGTCATAGTAGCAATGCTAACTAGCTTTAGCATTTATGTTGGGGTGGAAGCTTGCTGTAGATTAGCAGAGTTTTAAAAACCCTTCATCCTGCTCTACTGCATGACGACCGTACGCAAACTTATGCGCAGCAACACGTTGTTTCCTCTTCGCCCTGCCAGAATAAATCTCCGTCTATATATTTCAAAATCTCCTATGTAAACACAAAACATAAAGGCAAGTAACAGAAAGCGAGATCTGGAAATACAAAGGCTAACCGTGAACCGAAGAGAGGAGGCGGGGCGTCTGGATCTCCGCCTGCTGAGCTCTTCGTTTTAAGACGTGGCAGACGTTCGTCGCGATATGTTTGGTTCTGTGTGAAGAAACGCTCCGGAAGGATAAAGACATCTCAAAGCTCTGCCATATTTGACAAATTGCACCTCCCAGAATGCGGCTAAGACACTGAATCCGTCACTTAATCAAGCCACGACATCTTATGTACATACTCTACAGATTGTTCTGCGACTGCTTTTGAAGCAACGTCTGCAAACCTGGCATGCAGGAGAAACTATTTGGCAATGACAAAAAAAAAAAAAAACAAAAAAAAAACAGAAAAAGGTGACGTGAGCGGCCGCCTGCACACACACAAAACCGAACACGTACTTCCACACAGAAATGGCACGAATCACAGTCCATGCAAAATAAGAAGAGCCGGGTCCGGATGGGTCACTTCTCCTGCAGCAGGGCCGGGATGTTGATGTTCCAGCCGATGGCCTGCCGGTCGAAGCCGCAGGTGAACAGGTTGCACGCCTGGTTCTCCTCGTTCCACGCCGTGCAGCACACCATTCGCCTGTGACCCTTCACACACACACACACACACACACACACACACACACACACACACACACACACACACACACACACACACACACACACACAGATATAGTCAAAGGTTTTGTTTAAAAACAGCAGCAGATGTGATAGTCATTTCGGGTCCCGCTCCCGTCCTCTCCTCACCATCCGGTTGCTGCGTGGAAGTCGGGCCAGCCTCACGCCGCTCATGTCGAACAGGCGGACTTGTCGATTGTCGTGCGGCAGGGCGATGATCCTCTGGTTGGCCGAGACGCTTATCCTGAAACGCCACACAAAGTTGCACTGTAAAGCCGATCTCTTTGGGGGACAAAAAGATCCAAAAGATTTTTTTTTTTTGTCTTTTAAACTTTGAAATCGACGCCTTTCACCCACCTGTTGACAGCCGAGTCGGTGCGGATGGTTGCTATGGGCGACCGCATGTTCTTCAGGTCCCACACCTTCACGGTGCGGTCGTCGCTTCCCGAGACGACGTTGTCCCCCACCGTGAAGACGGCGGACGTCACGGTGCTGCAGAAGGCAGGACAGAGCGGGACGGTCAGACAGGAAGAGGACCGGTCAGAGAAAACGGTCACTTATGAAGCAGTTTCTGCAAAACGCAGAGAAAGCCTCGATTTGGACCTCCGTTTTCTTGAAGAAAGGATGGATCTCTCGCTCGTCAGAATGCGACAGTTGTAAAAAAAAAAGTTAAAAAATTCACAAAACGTGTTTGGGATGTAACGAAGCCATTTTATTGTAAAATAATCAAATCACATCTGCCATATTGGGACATGTTTTCTTCTCTTTCCTGCTTTGAAGAGTAGCTAACGGGCGTCTCTTTTTTTATATGACGAACATGAAACCACTGAATCCATTTCTATAAAGAACTGACTGCAAATAAGCTTCAGATCCATTATTTGTCAAGACTGAATTCACTTCACCCCTTATTCACTCTATAGGGAAAATTAAATGTCGTCATAACTCATTTGTCCTCAAAGAGCCGCGGCGCCTGGTGATGCTGTGGTCAGTCCTGTTAACTGTCCAAACCGAGACAGCAGAAACCAGAGGGGATGTTTGTCCAAACGTGAACCCGAAAAAATCAGGACGAAAAGTAAAACCTAAACAAGAAACCAGACCTACAACAACTTGCTTATTCTTATACGCTCGTGATTTGTCATTCAGCTTTTCCCTTTTGTTCCTGTCCATTCATGGGGTGAAACTTACGAAAAAAAAACAGAAAAAGGAAAGAACAGAAAAAGAGGGGAATAATTATAGAAATATTGTTCCATCACGCCTCTCCTTCTTTTCAGCATCTATATCTCGTCTATCCTGCTTAACCTCCTGAGACCCGGGCTTTTGTTTGATGTGCATTTTTTATGTCTCCTTACTATTTGGGATTAGTCTGACCTAATTTTAGTTGAAATTAAATTTTAGCTTCCTATGTGCTCTTGAACTATGTCAAAACCAATGTCCTCATATGAGGACATTGGGTCTTTCTTTGCATATAATTTTTTTCCTTGCCATTTGGGATCATAAGGACCCAATTAGCCTAAGAATGAAATTTTAGCTTTCTACAATAAGTGGTTATATCAAAACTAAATGTCCTCATACGAGGACATTGGGTCTATCTGTGTGACGATAAGATCATTCAATCAATGTTATTATTTACATCTATGTTTCACAGTATGTACATTTACGCTGCTTTCTGTCCAGACTTTCAAAATGAAGACACCATTGGTTAACAAAGTACAAAAGTTTATTTTATACTGTCAACAAACAGTGTGTTGCTTTTGTATGGAAAAGTGCAAAGTGTATTAACATGTCATAACAAACTCAGTAAATAATTCAAGTATTCCTGCTTGCCTCTGTGAAAGGCTTTGCATGGAAAAGTGCAACATTTATAAACATCATTATGAACGTGTCATAGCAAACTCAAACAAACATTCAAGTATTCAAGTAGTCCTACTGGCCTCCATGAAAGGCTTCAAAGCAGTTGCGCTGACTTTGCAGGCAAAGGAACACATTGCATGTCAGACAGCGTACACGGGATTTCCCATGGCAGCCTTGTTGTCTGCAACGCATCGGGTTCTTGAGATCAGCAACTTCCGGCAGATGAGCAGCAGAAGTTGTGCGCGCTGAGATGTGGGGGATTGGAGTGACCAGGGATGTTTGGCCAGTTTTTGGACAGCATGCACTCTCTTCCTCTGCATGTGTGACATCACACTTGTTGAGGAACACCTGAGCCACGTCCATGCGGAACGTGAGGAACGTCATGATGGCCTTTCTTGGGGTATTGTGTTCTTGATGATCTCTGCGATACTGCAGCCAGCTGTTGGCCAGAGCAAGATCCATGAAGTGCATAACCATGCGAATCGTCCACTTCTTTGTTCGCACCCTCATCCTGTAGTAGCTCATCATTCTGTCAGACAAGTCTACCCCACCCATCTTTGCATTGTACTCTTGTACAATATTTGGTCGTGTGATGGTTAGGTAGCATTTGTCCTTCTTGGACCACCGCTGGCAGGTATCCTCTGGCTCTTTAGCATGGACAGTAGAGAGCATCAGGACCGGCTTGTTGTCAAACCATTTTACAACATTAGTTTCCCATCTCCCCTGACAACTGATGCGGCGGTACCTCTGCCTTGCTGCTTCATGATCTTGTCAGTTGGGAGCTTCTGCATTGCTTTTGGGATCCTGTTCTTCATAACTGTACCAGTTAGGTACACTTGCTTCTCCAGCATGGATTCCACAGCTGATGTGGTGGTGAAGAACCTATCGCAGTACACCTTTGTACCAGGATGTACTGTTTTTGTCAGGCGTTTGAGAACCAGGGCTCCCAAACCCAATCCTTCTGCGTCCGGCACCTGTGCAGCCAGTGCCTTTGAACCTTGGTAAACTTCAAAGTCAAGAACGACACCATCTGCTGTTGCCAGGACAAAATTCTTCATGCCAACTGGATTTGGCTTCAGCGGCACATACTGGCGGAACGGACAGGCTCCAGTGAATGGTATCATCTGTTCATCTATTGAGACGGATTCTGGTCGGGCCTGAGCATGGCAGCCTTTGAGTATGCGATTCATGAAAGGCCTCACCTTCCAGAATTTGTCTGTTTTCCTGTCTTCGGGAATGTCGTCATCAATTACCACCTTCAGATGGCTCCTCAGCTTGAAGAATCGGTCGCGTCTCATTGTGTCACTAATGGAAGGGATTCTCAGGTTAGTGGACCAGAACATGCGGATTTGTGGGTAAGGGATACAAGACATCAAGATGGATGCTCCAAAAAAGTGGTACATCTCTTCAACCGATGTGTTGAGAGATCTGCCACTTTTAGCTAATGACATAGAATTTGTACAGTCGGCAAAGACTTTCATCAGTTCTATGTCAACGTACTGTTCCATGTACTGCACCGGCGACATATCTGCTCTCTTGTCTTGTTGTTCATCAGCTCCTTGAAATGGGACTAAAACAGGGTTGAATGGAGCACACTTCCAGTACTCTCTATTTCTATTTCTTGGTCCTGCCCTGCGACCTTGCACATCCTGGTGAGGTTCATCAGAAAAAAGATGCTGTTGTTTATGTGGTGGTTCACTCGCATCGCTGTCAGTATCTTCACTTATGTCAGCAGCATCAGGTTGATAATCTGAATCAGAATCATCAGGTTGCTCCACAGTTGCTTCACATGGAGTGATTTCACCCACAGCAGGGTCATCCTCTTCACCATCTGACAAATCTTCAATCTCAGAGTCATTTGTGATTGCAGTTAGCAATCGTTCAGCTCTCGAAAAGGACATTCCCCCTGTAATGATAAAAATGCACAATCTATTTCCTTGTAATAGGAAATAAAAACTTGCTCCACTGGCAAATTATTCTACATATTTTTTAGTGAAAGTTCACTTGAAACAAGTGGTGATTGTCTAAAAACAAGCTATTTTTGGAGAATGAGTCTTATTTTATGTAATAAGACTTATTTTGACTAGAAATTAGACATTTTGTCTAGAAATAAACACAAATGCTCTTCGAAAAATTTTACGTTTTTGCACTGAAGCTAGACCTGATGTCCTCAAAAGTACGTCATGTTTACAGACGTCGTAGCTTGCTAATATTACTCAAATATATCAAATAAGCATGTCAGTTGAAGCTACAGACATTATTGTGCATAAATAAACTAGTTTCAATCATAAAACTCGATTAGGATTTTTACCTTGTCCATGTTTGTGTCGGGAGCTGCCGTAGAAGACGTTCGCTGTCATTCCCGCCATGCCGTTTTTTTTCAAATGAGTGTAATTTCATTATGAGACCAGTAGGTGGTGCGGGCAAGCCCCCCAGATGAGGACAATTGGTCAAAATTCTTACAAATTAAATGTCATGGTGCAGAGCAGCAAAAATGTAATGTCCTCATATGAGGACGCGGGGTCTGAGGAGGTTAAACGAACCGCCGCCTTAATTCAAATTGACATGGCATTACGGGCTAATTAGGCACCCAAACCTGGCCCCATTAAAGGCTGCGGCTCCAGGAAAGTGTTGCGCCGACACAGGCACCTCCTGACTTTGAAGGGTACGGCCCAGCTGGGAATACGAGCGGCGTGGAGGGGATGATGGGAGGTGAGCACGCAGCGTAATCAGACAAGGTAATTGATTATAAGGTTGATTAAGGTTAAAGGGTTTCTCACAACGACGGCGAGGAAGGAAAAACGGGGCGGGGGGGAGAGAGAGAGAAGGTGTTTGGTGGTACTTAATGCTCGGCTGGTCTCTGACAGCCAAGGTCAAGAGACTGAAAGACCCGAGGAAAAAAAAAATACAAAATACAAATGTAAAAGCATCTCATTAGTGGAGAAAAAGTAAGATATTTATTTTTTTATATATATATGTGTATACAAAAAAAATTTGATGCAATCCTGTCATAATGAAATAATTTTTATATTGAGTCAATTTGTTTGATTGTTTTTGATTGCTTGTGTTAAAAAGACACTAAAAATATGTAGAATTAATTCATTAAAATTAACATGCTAAAGATCACTGCCCAAGTGGATTTAATTGGGATTCGATGCAACAGATGAAGATCAGCATCATCCCACAGCATGATGCTGCCATCACCATGTTTCAAAGTAAATGTAGATCACTCAGGCCGATGAGTGGTGAAGGGTTTTTTTATTTGACAACGGTGGCTTTTTGCATGTAGACATGCAAACCGTTACTTCTCCAATAGAAGTTTAATCAGAAATGATATATTTTATCCTTGTGGTAATTTTAAGTTTTTCAAAAGTTGACAATCACCAATTCAATCGAAACCAGAGTTTTTAATTCCTCAGGATGAACGGAGGACTTTTATCTACTTTGATGCTGAATCATATGGATCTTAAACGGTTGGTGTTTAAAGATAAAAGCTAAAGATGTAAATGAAACCAGTCAGATGGAGACTAAGTGCTTTTGCAGCTTTGTGTTAATTCTCCAGCGCTGCAGCAAAGCTGACAGTCCCTGAAGTGATGGAGTATTCCTCAGCAGAGACGAGATATCAGATCTGCATCTGACGCACACACACACACAAACACGCCCGCACACACACACTCTCTCTGCGGAGCGCAATCAGGATGTCTGAGGAAGCCGTCGACGGGAGGGGAGACAAACCCGACATGGCATCCCGTTTGTAGAGCAAGTGCGCTGTCGTTTCTCGTTTGCTCTCGGCCGTTTTGTTAGCTCGCGCGCCGTTGTCATTACACTGCAATTATGGCGGGGCGGTGGGACGGAGGGTGGATGCTGCACTTTTAGCCGCCGCGCTCCGCTGTCAGCCAGCGTTAGGCGTAATTGCCGGTGAAGGCGGTGGAAACGAGAGGCTTTCACCTCCCCACCCTGTCCTCCCTCCTCCGGCTCTCTGCCTCTATTAAACCGTTCTCATTTATCTCTGCGACTGCAGCTTTTCACAGGAATGATGCCGTGTTTATGTCAGTCATGTTGCAACATTATGCCATAAGGAAGATCCCGGGAAATGAGAGAGAGAGAGTGAGAGAGACGGCAGCGGATGTAGCTCATGACTAACAAGTGATGACAAACTGGATCAGGAAGTGACCTTTTAGGACCCAAAAGAGGGATCCAACTTGCGCCTGGTCTAAAATATCAACTTTAGTTAAGAGTTTCGACCTGATTGGGGAAAATAAACAGAAATTCATCAGCAACTTTAATGGAAGATCTTAAATCTGCTGCATTTTACACATTTTATCACAGCACATTTCAGACTACTTTAAAAATAAATAAACAAACACAATTTAAGTTTTCATGCTTTCACTGACGTTTTGAACTCAAGATGAGCCAGCTGGTCCTCATCCAAACTTAAAGTGAAGATATTATAAGCTGCTGCTTCATCCTTCCCAAGCTACTTCATGTATTTTTGGTTTAAATATAAGATGGATTGAAAAGACAACAAGCCATGATGATTATGGCTTTCAGATCATCAAACTCCACAATGGATCAAAATTCGAACCCCAACTCTATTACTCAGGTGAGTAATCACATTTTCGGCTGATTTTTTATTTAAGCATTTATGCCTTTAACACAGCAATGGAATACATTAAAATATGCAAATCAATAATTAAATTCAATTTTAAATAAGAAAAACAAACATTTCGCTGTCTAAAATGCAGTAATAGCATTTCTTCATCATTTGTAGATTTCTTGATTGATATCTCCATTAACGATTAATGATCAGTGTGGTAACGGTCGCCTATGAAAGGAGATTTTGCTTTTTTTTTCACGTTAAAGGCAAAATATTTTTATGTAATATTTTACATTTTTTGAACAGTTTTGGCTTAATTACTGCTCTGAATATATTGAATTGACGACTAATCGATTACTGAATTAGTCGACGATCGTGTCAACAACTGATTAATCATGATTAATGCGATTTACCATTTCAGCCCCAATTTTTCCTCTGGAATTGGTGACAAAACATATTGAACGTTTTCACAATAATTGAACTTTTCTCCGATGTACCTGTGGATACATTTCTCTTCTCTTATTACTGGCATCTTTTTCAAATGACAGTCTACATAATAAACTAATCAACAGACCTGTCGCAATAAATCAAATGAACAATTTATTATTTTTCCTTTTCCTTCCAAAAACTGGATGTCAGAAGTCTTCAGTGTGGTCTCAAAATTGTCTTTTTGGAAAGACAATTTTGTTTACAGACACTAAATAATTCACTTTATTTGTTGATTTATTTTTGGACATTTAAAATGTCTTCCAGTTCCCGTGTTAAATGTTTGTTAGAATTTATAGTTTATTGATCTTAAAGAATATGTTTTCACCTAAATATGCTATTAGCACTATATTACTTGAAAATGGTGTCAAAACAACAATACTATGGTTTATTGCAATAACTTCTGGGACAATTTATCATCCAGAAAAAATTGTTATGACAGGCCTTCTCATTAAGCCTACAGGTCGGCTTAAAGTGTTCAGATGGACAATTCCCACAATTACCAGCAGTAAAATGAATCCGCAAGCTGCTCCAAGTTAGCAGTTGAATAATACAGTAGAGTTAATTTAAGCACATGATTATTTAATAAGCAGAAGATGAATGATTTTTGTCGTTTCTAAAACAGAAATCTGTGTCGTATTTAAATGTTTTGGTGGGTTTGGTGCTTTGAACACATCAGGAAGGGCAAGAGGCAAGAGAGGCCTCATGGGAAGGACATGAGGACGGAGGAGAGGAGGCGGGGATGTTAACTGTGAAACACTGGAGTCTAATCTCATTACTGCAATTGTCTATGGGAGGGAATTAGTTTGGGATCTGCAGGAATTATTCATGTTGGGATTGTACGTAATGAGCTCGACGTAATCCCTCGCCTGCAATCAAAGGCTGCCAGAGCGCAGCAGCCAGCGGACGCGTGTAGGCATGCGCATAAACACACACGCGCAAACACTACCCCTCCTCTTACGGCTTTTAAAGAGCAGCGCGACTGAAAGCCACAGACGAGCCTGACAGCCGTCGCTTTGAAACGGGCGGCTGCAACTGAGTGTTAACAGCGAGCGAGGAGCCAAATTACACAGAGTGGGGGGATTAACGCTGAAATGGACAGATAAATGAACAGGAGAGCGGGGGAGAAGGAGAGGAAGTGATAGGAAACAGAGCAGCGCACTGTCGGAGTGAAGAGAAGTGCTCAGTAATGAATGAAAGGCAAGTGGAGGATTTGGCTTAGAGCAATAAGGTCTGCAGATTAATGCTAAAGGAAAGAGGAAACTGGAGGGGAATTGGAGAGCTGGAGGAGGAGACAGCACCACCTAGTGGACACTTGGCTGCAAATTGGTCACAATGAAGATTCAAAGTTTGGCAACATGTTCATAACATAAAGTTATGAACATAAAGTGTTCATAACTTACTCACATAATGTTGTCATAAACTTAAAATAACACCTGTTATGAACATGAAGGAGTCTTCATGAAGGAGTCTTCATGAATGACACTTTTAATGCACTTTTTATGCAAATTTTTGCACAACTTTACATTCAAAGTGTCATTATTTACCAAATGACACTTCATGACAAATGTCAAACATTCATAAAGACTAATACATGTTCATAACACGTGTTATGTTATTTTTATGACGGTGTCATGTCAGTCTTGTGCACACCCCTTCAAATAAAGTGTTACCGAGAGTTTGGGCTGCAGGCAAATGGACGTGTGAATGAAATGGGAGGACAGAATCTCAAACCCTGAAGCCAAAATAAAATAAAAATAAAATAAAAACCACCAAAAAAAATAAATAAATAAATACAATATGTGAGAGGAGGGAAAAAAAACAAAACAGATGTGGACTCACTCTGTGTGTCCCTGGAAGACGTTGACGGAGTGGATGGACGGGTCCCTGAAGTCCCACAGTCTAAAGGTGGTGTCCCTGGAGGAGGTGACCACCAGGCGCTGGGTGGGATGGGTGCAGCAGTGGGTCAGCTCCTGGTCATGACCTGCACAAACACCAACAAAATGATTCACGAAAACAGATTTCCGTCTGGCTTTTCCGTCGTTTCTGTGAGCACACACAGCTCAGCTTTTGGTAACATTACAAACACACATTTCAAAATCTTTTATTAGATTTCAGATTCTGAATATGTAACAAACCATTTATTGATCTATAATCCACATCCTGTTCCTGTCATTTGTTTTCAGCCCTGTTGACGATTCTTTCCATGATTTCTAAACCTCTTGCTCGTTTCTGCTAAGAGAACACTGCAAAAACACAAAATATTACTAAGTATTTTTGATCCAGTTTCTAGCGCAAATCTAACAAACATAATACTGTCATAATCTCAATATTACATTAAAATGTTTTGTTACAAGTGACATAATCTGTCAGTTGAACTAGTACTTTTTAAAATCAATTTTAAGGAGTTACTGACCTTTCATGTCTTATTGAAAAGTGACTTGTAATTTTTGTTTGTTTTATTCCAAGTATACTAAAAAATTTGCACTATAAATTAGATCAAATAAAACTAGATAAGATTTTGTGTTTTTGCAGCGAACCATCTTACTACCCTGTTTCACCGATAGCAGAAATGTTTCAAGTTTAGGCTGAAAAGTTCAAATTTGGACTTTTTCACACCGTTGAACGAAAGCCAAAGAGGCCACGAACAGAACATTTTGTCCTCTGTCTAACTGAATCTTCCACTCAGGATTGAGTGTCCTGAACAGAATGCATCCACTAAAACACTTTCATACCGGTCAGAGTGTGAACCAGTTCGGACGTCTCCACCTCGTACAGGTTGGCGGCGCGGTCCCACGAAGCCGTCACCACCTGTCGGCCTCCAACCAGCCAGTCGGCCGCGATCACCACGCCCTGGTGGCTCTTAAGGGTTGCCGTGGCGACACGGACCGTGGGGACCTCAGAGGGACCGTCTCCTTCCGTCTCGCCCTCTTCTCTGTCGGATGAGTCCTGGTCGTCGTCGCATGGAACCTGCAGAAGGACGAGACACGGTTGAAAGCAGATGTGTGTACACACAGTGAACGGACTAAACCTTCCTGGTTTTCAGTCAGTTATTGTCAAAAACTATTTCTGGGTCAAAAGACAGAATCATGAGAGAGAAATGTTTTGCTTTTTTTCCCCACAGATTTTTACATTTTTGTTTTACATTCATCAAAAAGAGAAATTTAAAACTTTCTCTAAGTTTTAGGTGAATATCTGGTTCCAAATGTACGCCAGAAACGAAAAGCTCTCAGCTCGTGCCCTTGAAATCTTTTTCGCTTGTAGCAAAAATCTCAGTCCGAAGCTACTTACGCTGACATCTGGCGGTGGCTGCGGCGCCGGGAGCTGCACCATGTAGCGCCAGATGTGAGCCGTCTGGTCTCCGGAGGCTGAGAAAAAAAACACAGAGAAAAGCTCGTCAACACAGATTCCCACCCACATACTCCTGGAGACATCAAACCTGTTGACACAGATTCTGTTTAAATCTTTAAAAAAAAAAGAAAAAAAATCTTTCATGAATTCAGATCCATACCTGTGAGTGCCATCTGCTCGGTGGGGTGAAATTTGATGGAGTTGACTGCAACAGAGATGAAACATCAAAGATTCTTCCAAAAGTGACAGAAAGATGATTTTTTTATGCGTATAGAAGGATGATAAAGCCTAACAAATAATTTTTTTTATACATACCTGATCCTACATGTCCTGCATACCTCAGCAGACATTTCCCCGTCTCTATGCTCCACAGCAGAGCTGAGTGATCTGTCAGGACAGGGAAATTAAATCATTTCAACTTCATGGAGATTTAAGCCATTCTGGCTCGACGAGGTTCCTTTTGGGTGAGCCGTGTACCGGCAGAGGCGGTGCCGAGCACCACTGGCTGAGTCCGGGTGACGCTGAGGTCCCAGATGCCGTCCCGGTGGCCCACATACTCCTTGAGCAGCTGGCACAGGGCGCGCGAGCCGGTGGTGGCTTTGAAGCTGGAGACGATCTGCAGAGAAGAAGAGAGGAGGGACTGATGAACAGAAGAAAACGAGCAGAGGATGGAGTTTAGAATCTGCATAAAGGAAACCATTTACAGCACTTTGAAAAAGTATTTATAGACCTTAAATCTTTGCTACATTTTATCACATTACAACCACAGGCTTCCATGTATCTTAATAGGGAGTTTTTAATAGATCAACACAAAGAGTCATTTATTCCTTCCTGCAGGTCAACCACAATAAAAAGACAAAAAAGAAGATTAAAGTGGTGTAAATAGTTACTGTATGGTTACACATATAGTGCATGCACCATTAAAAAAACACACACACACACACAAGCATATGTAAATGGATTAGTTGAGTTGCTTATTAATTCTCTAAAGAAATCGTTGATTTAACAGAGAACCGTCTACATGCTGAATATGTTTTGATTGCATTGTGTTGCTTTCTGCCAAGATAAGATGGTGTTTGGTATTTAGGGCAGAGTTGGTCGCCTACTGTGGATAAAGGTCAGCTTTGCAGCTTTTTCCCCTGAACGCCTCTGCAGCAGGTTAACTTTAGATCAGAGCCTGGTGAAAAACCTAAAATCAGCTCTGCTGCACCCTCGCAGAGGGTGACGGCTATAAACACATTTCCATGACTTCTGCTTCCCGGGGTGTTTAACGAGATCGGATCTGCACAGGTGAGCTCGAGTTCTTGTAATGAGGATGCCGCGTTCAAACATCAGAACCCCGCTAACCTATTCTACTCTAAAGTCTTAAACAGAGAAAGCTCAGTGTGCGCGCCCGACTTCTCTGATCTCGAATATTAACGTCGGCTCTGCTTACACGTCAGGAGCTCCAAATAAGACGGGCGCATGTCTAAAAATATTGTGTGCTCTGGTTGCGCGTCGGCCTTCGCTGCTGAAGGGCCCCCACACAGGAACAATCTCGAGAGGAAGGTTTGACTTCTATTTTCACAGAGCCACAACAGCTGAGGCACATGACAAGATCAGCAGGCTTCGATCTCTGGCAGCTGGCCCACACCACAACCAATTAAAAAAAAAAAAGAAGCAGCAGCAGCATGGGTCATTCTAGCTAAAAGTGACCAAGCAGACCCACAAACCCAGACTTGGTGCATATTATTAGTTTTAACCCCGTTCAGTTTATTGTAACATTAGACTCAACATTCTGATGCATTAGCTATGCAACAGATAGCAGACGTGTCTAACAGGAGGTTAATCTATGCTGTCCTCCCTTGATCCCTTGTTCTCTTTTTTCTTTCAAGTCTTATCTGGATTCAGATTCTCCATCTAACTCAGGACTTGGTTGCACTCAGATTAATATACGTATGTTGAGAGAAAAAACAAAAGAAAAACAAAACACCATTTTGCACAGCTGAGTACAGAATAGCAGAATGAGAACAGTTCTTCCCTGGTCCGACTACCAGTACCTACAGAACCCTCAAGTCTCATTAGCAGCCCAGGTAAAGATGTGAATGAAGTATTACAGTGAAATAAATCAGACCTTTTAGCTTATTTATTCCTAATGCAGGAATGGGAAACTCTTGTGAATAAAAATTTGAGGCAAACCACTGGTGATACATTCAAGCATTTTGCATTTTTAAGTATATTAAGGAATGCATGACTCTGCATTCTTCCTGTGGTAAACGTCTCACCCTGCACACAATCCAATTACACTTTGTTTTCAAAATGGGAAAAAAAGAGAAGACAACTCTCCATTGAAGCGAAGCAGGTGTTGAGCTTCACAAGTCAGGAAAAGAATATAGTCATTCACTTGCATAAATACAATGAGTATTGAATAATCAAAAGGTTCAATCCACTACAATAATCAAAAAGTTTAATTATTATCCTTCTAGAAAAACACGTTTGCCATGGGTGCTAAAAATTGTGGCAGACGCTACAACATTTTGGAAAAGGTGAAAGTTAACTTGGCACCACCTTCAGTGCTCTAACATGTTATCTTATTGGTTAAATCGACAAGAAAATAACACAGCTGCTAAATGGTAAAAACTGTAGGCATTTCTTTAATGCAACCAATCCTGATATTTGGACTAATGTGAAGAAAAACAGCAAAAATCAAAAGCTTTTTACCAAAATGTGCTGCTAACCTTAAGGAAATTTTTAAGCACAATTATTAGTGAAGCTCTCTTGTAATGTCTTACCCTGTTCCAGAGCTGGCCAAAGCCATAAGCAAATTGTGACCAAAGGTTGTTCATTTCAGAACATACTACTGAAGGGAATTAAATGTTTTTTTGTTTATTTTTTTTCTGTAAAAAAGACTAATTAAACAGCTAAATTCTACTCGCCAACTAATTTGGGCCAGCTCTTTGTTTTGTCACGGCTTTGGAGTAACAGAAAAGTTTGAAACATTTAGGCTCTAGCGTACAAATAAAACGCACGTCTTCACCATTTGGTGGCTACAGCCGCCCAACCGAGTCGTTTCCTGAGAAGGGCGCAGAGTGGAAAAGAGACGAGGAGTCAAGGTGAGACTGCAGTTAAGATGCGACTCAGCCAGCAGCCGTCTGCTCAACGCTCAAACAGAGCATTCAGGAAGTTACCCAGGAATCTCCGCCCCACAACTCCCAGGTTGGCACGCTGAAGTTGCGAGCTCCGCCTATTTTGTCCTGGAAAGCGTACAAGCGCTACCCTCGGCAAAAAGATTCAACATTAAAAAGTCACTTTGTGGACGTTAATATGTGGGGGGATGTACAAATATAAACAGCATGCATTCATTGGTAGGGATGGACTCTCTCGGTTCACAGGCTAGGACTACATTATGACTTTATGAGGACGTGGAACGAGCTTTTCCACTCCTTCTGTCCCCCTCATCAGAGAAGCTGAACCCTAGCCGCTCAAATATTTACACATGAGAGCTCTGTCGTGCTCCGCGGAGCAGCCAGACATGGCTGGTGCCAGGTACCTTGCTGGTGGAGGCTTTGTAGGTCGTCTTCAGCTTCTGTGACAGCTGACTGGTGCTGTGGCTGGCTGTGTGACACAGACACAGAAAACCCATGAATAAAAACGCCCCGGTGAGTGACGAGCGCTCTGCTTGGTTTCACTGCTACAGAGGCAAGGCTTACAATAAGAGAAAAGACACAAAAAGCTTTGCTGTGGCGTTCGTCAGGCATCATAACTCACTGCAATAAGTTCATCATTAACTGAAATTAACAGAGACAAGGATAAATCAAAATTCTTATTATAAGAAATGTTTCATTATAAATGGCTACACCTTGCCTGATCTGGTGACTGCTTTGTAAAACTCTTTAAATAAATGAATACTTTATTCGTATTCCAGTAATCCTAATGTGAAGCCGAATATTTCATGCCAATAATCCTAAATTATTTTCTCTTTTTTTCTAGATCAACTTAAATCCTCTTCCAGTAGTTTTGTTTTCTAATTATTGTTCTTAAGATGTTTTTTTTTTTTTGTATTAATTTTTTTTATTTAAACCAAAACGCTCTCTTCTTCTTCCCATTTTGGAAAGAGAAAGAAGAGAAAGAAGCTAAAAAGAATCATAAAGTCATGGATTCTCAAAACTGACTAGACAATCCAGGCTTGTAATGTTTGAAAATGTTCAAATATGAGAAAGTGATTGAAACTTTAAAAGCTTTGAGAAAACCCCCAAAAACCTCATATTGTGGACAGGAATAAATGTTGTCCAATTTGAGGCTGGAATTTTTGAAAAAAAAAAAATAATAATATTTGAACAAAGTTGTGCTATTGCAATGAAGCTGAATTTTTACCCATCTTTAAACAGTAAATGTAGATTGCGTGTAGCTTAAGGCTGTCACACCCTTTTATACAATACCTCACAGGTGGTTTGTGCTTTTATCTTGATCTATGACAATAAAACTGAAACTTTATGTGCTCCAGTAGAGCCTCCCATTTGTTTGAATGAGCTGTGTTGCCCAAAAAAAAAAAAAAAACTCTATTTAATTGGCTTGATGTGTTTTCAAAGACAGCTTGAACAAATGTCGCACCTTTGGCTTTGAGGGCTCCCTTGGAGGGGTCTCCCCCGTCGATGGCCTGTCCATCGACAGTCAGACGCTCGTTGAGAGAGTCGATTTCCCGGCGCACTGCGACATGGGCACAGCATTAATGATTGAACGGAGATCGCTGGGTGGTGAATCAGCAACTGAGGCCTGACGGAGGAAGGGAGGTGAACTCACGTTCAAGGTTTTCAATGTACAGATTCTCAAACTCCCGTTCGATCTGGCCGAACAGGTCAAGGAGGTTGTTCCGCAAAGCGAGGGGCAGCTTGGAGTCCTGGACACACGACACACAGACCAAGATCTTTTAATACATCTAAAGCTTCTAGAAAAACACATGTTTGCCATGGGTGCTAAAAATTGCTACCACAAATGCCAGTGTAGTTTGTTGGGATTTTATGTGACAAAAACTTAACTTTTTGGTTCAAATGAAAAATAGTATTTAAATTTTTTTCATTTTAAAAATTAAAAGGATGGAGAAAATGATAACCGAACAAGAAGACAAATTTAAAATGGAACTAAATGTAATCAATTACAGAAAATCTGCAAGTATCCACAACTTTTAAGGCCTGTAATTTTAGCTTTTTTTTTTTGTAAATTCAAGACAAAGACAAACCCAGAAAAATAATCCTAAAAAAACACCTGTTGGGTGTAAAAATCTGGATCTGAGGTTGGGTTGCGGGTCAATTTTCTGCAGAATAATGAAAACCTATAAGTCGAAACATACAACAAAAGTTGCAGCGGTTTTATTTGGTTAAAAGTGTATTTATGGATTAGATCGAAGTGCATTAGAAAAACAGTGGGAAAGCTTGGCACAGCAGCTACATCTTGACATTTGGTAAAACTTGGTGGAGACAATTTCTAAAAGTATTGCAACTAGAGTTGTGACTCTAGAGAGTTGAATAGAAGTGTACGCAACGCTTTTCATCCAAGTCCTTTTTTATTTTCTTCCCAGTTTGCAGTAAAATACCGACAGAATGCATTAACGTTTGCTGTCGTAACCTGACAAAATCCGAGAAACTTCAAGGGTTATAGAGACTTATAAAAAGCCACAGTAACACTTGTAGAAAAAAAACACTACAGAAGATAAATGACACACCGCTACCACAAAAAGAAAAAGTGAATGAGTCATGAAATAATAATCACAAAAAGATAAAAAAGAACTTCCCACTGAGCCTGAAGCAGACGACTCCTGACAAACACAACCAGTGTGGTTACTTTCAATAATGGATGCAGCAACAGCAACTGTCTTACCTCCATGTCAACCTGCTGCTGGTGCCCAGTTAAATCCAGGTCACCAGTCTCCACCACAGCTCTCACGAAAACACAAAATGCTACGAGAGTACACAGGGCTGCATCTTAAGATTTTAAAATCAACTGATTCAAAATGTTTGCCTACCAAAGGCCAGAGTTAGTCATGGTGACGTTAACACCACATGTCACCATGCTCTGGGGTGGGTGGAAGACCTATGAGGGAATAACGGGCGGTTCTTATAAGCTGCTTAGTTTTAGTCTCTTAAACCTGCAGCTTGCGACACACTTTGGTCATTTAATGCCAGCATTAAAAAAAAAAGGACGAGGAGAATAAAACCTGCTCTGTGTTGCGTTTGGGCTCATAAAGCCGCCTGGGCATGTGCGAGTAGTACGTAAACACGGGGCGGCAAAGAAAGGACTGTTGAAAAGACTAATCAGACCCGGACAAAGCAAACCCGTATTAAAACTTGATGAGACGACACGGCGGTGGCAAGCTGAGCTCCGGTTTTAGTGGCTCAAGCCTTACATTTAAGGGAGAAAGTGAGAGCAGAGGCGCACTTTCCACTGACACCAATTTTACCTGTTGGAATAAATGATGAGTGTGAAACGCGTAAACGTCTCGCACTGTAGCCGCCTCCTAAAAGCTAACAACTGCTGCATCCTTAATCAAACAGAGAGAAGATTTTATTGCCCGAGAGGCAAAGAAGGGGGTAAAAAAAAAAAGTCACTAGAACAAGTTTTAAGGAAGTTACGCCTTAGACAAAAACTCTCTGTCCTTCATTTGTGGGAAAGCTAAATCAACTGTAGACTTAATTCAAATAACCTGGTTTGGAGCGAGTTAATCACCAACTTTATGGCGGTGGAGGAACATTATAGTCGATCCCTTTAAATCAGTAACTAAAGGTGCCACCGCCTAGGATAGTAAACGTTCTGTAATGACTGATGTTAAGTTAGTATGGGTTAAACATTTTCCTTTCGTGAAGGGAACAAACTAAACTCTGATAGCAAAAAGTAAGTTGTCAATGTTGCCTTACCACAAACCTTTAAAAATGCTGTTGAACAGGCTGGTGCTGCAGAGGCACAACTGATAAAAAGCCACATAGCATAGCAATCACTTTCATCTTAAAAAACAAAGAATAAACTTCCTGATCTCACATTTCAAAATGATAAAACCTAATAAATGTAGGATTTCCCTCCCCCCATTTCCCTCTCTCTACTGACCTGTCCCTCCAGCATGTCTCCTCTCAAGATGCCCGGTGGCCGCTCCTCTGTGCTGTTGGTGCGCCGGATGGACAAACTGTGTGCCTTGCGCTTCTGCTTGGGGTGACGTGCGGCCGAAGCCGAGCCACTGCTGCTTCCGCCCTCCACAGGCATCTCTCCTATCCCGTGTGAGGCCCTGACCCCGCCCCCCCAACCTTACCTGCTTGCAAACTACCTGACGAGCAGGTAAACAAAGGCCAGGCTCACCGGGTGGCAGGCAGGTAGGCTGGATTTTGTCACTTGTCACCACCTACCTGTAGATTTAAAATTAATTAAAAAAAAACTGGGATAAAAATGGTTGTTTACAACTCAGAAGTAGGCCCATCATAATAAACAATAAATCAACTAATATCATAATAAATGACCCTGTCAGAACAATTTCATTTTAGTGGGAAATGAAGTATGATGGTTACATGAATTACATGAACTTCCTTAGCACCCACAGAGGCTGACCACAGAGTTGGACCAGAAATCACAGTATCAGGCTTAAAGAGAACCAACCACAAGATGCATGCATAAAACCTGCATTTAACTGTGGAACAGAATGGTGGAGGGTCCATAATGTGGAGCCCTGCATGCTTAAGTGTCCAAGAGTCAAACATGACTCAGTCTTTGTGAAAGCGAAAGATTTGGCAACACAGCCGCAAATGTGCAACATAAAGGCCAAGAAAGCAAAACCAATCCAGGTGCAGAAACAGCCTACGACGTAAACTAACCTGGAGGAAGCTGCTGTACAGGAAGGGAGTTAAAGAGAACTACTTCCCCATTTTCACTTAGTTTCATAAAAAGACCTGAGCTTTTTTACTGTGCGTCCTGAAGCATAACACTTATCACTGTACATCTGTTTACATGTAATAATTTCACAGCCACAACCAGACATTAAACATTATGGGAAAACACCATGCTACAAAAAAATAAAGAGAGATATAATTATGATTTAAAATAACTGAATATCCCTCCAGTCTTTGCCGGATGAAGGTCCTAATAATGTCGCACAATCTGATGGGTCACAGAATTTGGTGTCACACCGGTAAAAAACCCAAACTTTCTGTTAAAAGACGACCTGACCTTTGCTAAAACATTATACTTCTGCTTATATTTAGAACTTATATAACGTTCAGCTAAACAGTGGCGGTAATTGTCGACATTTTTGTCGTTTTACTTCAACAACCCAACCGAGGACAGCAGAGCAAATACAAGCCGAGCACGGAAAACAGGAGCCTGGCGCGCGGTGACATTTATCATTTTAGACCATTTCCTCCCCAAAGATGATATACAGGTTACGGTCACATGTAACATGCGTCTAGTAGTCTAATGCTTGAACTCCAATATTTGTCTGTCTGTAGAGGCAACGCTGTCACTCACCAATTCTGCTGTGTTCCTGATTTCAAAAGCATCTTCCAACAGCCTTGAGCCGAACAAGCTAGCTTAAATAGCCGCTGCCACATATCACCTTTATGCTATCGGACGTTCATGGCTGCTGGGAAACCTGAGTGAACTTTATAATGGGCGTCTATTGATTTAAAGTTTCCACAAGGTTACACTAGTTTAACGCCACACATTAAAAGGGACGTCATTTATGTTAAATAGCCTATTTTAATTACGAAATTTGACACATCGCATATTAAAAAAGTGCTTCCGCACCACGTGGTCCGTGTTTGCAGCCTTTGAACCAATGAGCGGTCACGCCGCCGTTGAGACAGCGAATCAAAGCCTGGACGTCAGAAGGAGAGAGCGAATGCGTGACTGTTCGTTGCCAGTCTGGAATAACTGTAGCAAGCACATCTAAATTGGCTTCAAGGGCGTATTTTGATTCTGTAGCTGCAAATTACGTACTTGGTAAGTAGCATCTCATAGCATGTGCTTTTGCGTGGTTTGCATGTGTCCCCACAGTGGATACGTATGTTAGGTCTTTAGAGGCCTGGGTGGTGCAGTGGGCTGATGGCGTGTTTACGGTCTGCGGTGACTTAAAAACCCGAAATGGAATACATTGGAATGGATTCTACCGAGATAAATAATATCCAATCTCAGAAATGTAATAGCAGCTTAAGCAAAAGCTATTTTGCTTAATCTTTAGAAACATTTAAATCATAATCACATTTGCACGGCAAAGATATTGTCACATAAGTGGACATAGAAAATACAGGTAGGGAAACACTCAGACTGGCAAACAGTTTAATATACTCAGAACCTGCAGCAAGTAAAATATTAAGTAATCAAGATTTTGTCGCATAATCATGCGACAAAACCTCACTTCCGTCATTCAGGAATGAATGACCCTTTCTATATCGTAAAGCCACGTGTATGCCAAGGATAACACTTTGGCCATGTGTGTGCAGCGTCACCCGATCCATTCCTTGGCGCTCCTGTCCGCGTATTACCATCAGCAGGGTGTTCCGACCTTGTGATTGGTTTTGTGTTTCTGTCAGGCCATGGCCCCAGCTGTGTGGGCGGTGCTCCGGGTGCTAACCCGGGAGGGAGTCGGCGTGTTGAAATCAAACGTACCTGTCAGCAGCAGTGTGTTTCCTGGGTGGCGGAGGCCTTCTGTGACGAGCGGCTGCAGACGGATATCCAGGTGGGTTAAATTCTCTGTCGTTTAAAGACGCTCGTGTCTCTACAGTACGAACTGGTCTAAGTGAATAGATAACCCCTGGGTCCGTTGAAATCCGCTGTCTAAAAGGCTACGAATACTTTTAATACCACATTTTGCGCGTTGAAGTTTGCTCCATTCCTCCAATCAGCAAGGCGAGACGCGCACAGGCTGCAGTCAGGATGCCCGAGGTCACCACAGACCACCTGGACGAGAAGCAGGTCCAGCTGCTCGCAGAGATGTGCATCCTCATCGACGAGGACGACCAGAAGGTCGGCGCAGACACCAAGAAAAACTGCCACCTCAACGCCAACATCGACAAAGGTACGGCCGCCCGCCCGCGGTCCGCTCTCTCTGCTCCGGCAGCTCCGACAGCTCTGACCTCACCCCGTCTTCCCTGAAAACCCTCGTTCAGGTTTGCTGCACAGAGCCTTCAGCGTCTTCCTGTTCAACAGCGAGGAGAAGCTGCTCCTGCAGCAGAGGTCCGATGCCAAAATCACCTTCCCAGGTGAGGAACGCAGGACGTTGTGCAAGGGCTGAAACACTGATCGCGATTAATCGGCTATTGAAATAATCGCCCACTAATTTAGCAATCGATTAATCGTTAACAGTTAACAATTGCGAGGACGACACATTCAGAGTAGTAATTCAGTCAAAACGGTTATATATATATATATATATATATATATATATATATATATATATATATATATATATATATATATATATATATATATATTGCATTTAAGATGTTACAAAAAAGTTTTTCTTACTTAAAAAGGGAATATTTTTTAAATGCATTTATATTTAAAAGCTTAAATAAATAATCAGCAAAGTGCCCCCATTGTTTAATTTTTAAATCGATTTAATTGTCAGAATAATCGATTAATAAAGTGGTTGCTAGTTGCCGCCCTGATAATCGGTCCCAGATGGCTTCAGCTGGCTTTTTCTCCCCACATGCAGGCTGCTTCACGAACACATGCTGCAGCCATCCTCTGCACACGGACAGCGAGCTGGAGGAGAGGGACGCGCTGGGCGTGAGGAAGGCCGCCCAGAGGAGACTCCAGGCCGAACTGGGAATCCCCATGGAGCAGGTGGGAGTCGCTGGCTGGAAGAGGATTACAGGGGATTGGAGTCACGTCTTCTCTGACAATCTTCTCTGGTTCTTCAGGTGCCGCCAGAGGAGATGACGTACCTGACACGAATCCACTACAAAGCGCAGTCCGACGGGGTGTGGGGAGAACACGAGATCGATTATATACTCTTCATGCAGAAGGTGGGTCGACTCTAATCAGCGCTCCTGCTGGAAGGACAGTGATGCTCGAGTTTTTGGAAAGTGCTTAATTTCTGTGTAAAGTCTTGATTATCAAACAGCACACTTTGATAGTAAAGTGCACTACAATGTTTGATTAAAAGCCTAGGTTTGGAAAACATTATTTGCAGGTGAAACCAGATATTTTCATTACACATTATAAGACAGACTTCTTTTTTTTTCTCACTGTCTGAAGTTAAATCAGACTTTGAATGGACATCAACAGTAACAAATGTCTTTTGTTTTAGTTCATTTATATTTTTATTGACAAAGTGTGACGCTGTTACCTTGAAAGAAAAAGTGCTTGAATTATACAAACCACGACTGTCCTTTGTGTCATTCGAGTGCGTTTCATTTCGATTCTGACGACTTTTCTCAACATTTCCGGCAGGACGTGGAGTTGAGTCCAGACCCCAACGAGATAAAGAGCCACTGCTACGTGAGCAAAGAGGAGCTCAAAGCCATGCTGGACAAGGCCGAGCGGAAGGAGCTGGACGTGACGCCTTGGTTCGGCCTCATCGCAAACACTTTCCTCTTCACGTGGTGGGACAACCTGCACAACCTGAAACAGTTCATGGATCACAGCAACATCCACCGCATGTGACCACGGAGACGGGGCTCGTATACGCAACCGCGTTCGGGAGGTGTCCAAGAACTCCGAGGCTGAGCGCCGGGAGTCCCGAATCTAATCTGCTGTTGCCCGTGGCGACGGCGTTTTGCTTCAGGAGAAGGATTGAGGAACTGAGTCGGTCTAGACAGAAAGTAGTGCTGGCACGCTGAACAACGAGTGAATACAAAACCGCTAATGTTTTTGTTATAAGAACGCAATGTAGCTGTCACCTAATCAAAAGTAGATTATTTTTGTATGAAAATGTTCAAGTGCCTGATTAATGGCGTCAGTAGCTGTAATAAATCTCTTGTCTTGGTCTACAGTGATGTTAGTGAACAAGATGTGTCCTTGTACATTTTTACACAATTAAATGATTATGAGCACTGAGAGTGAACTACTTTCACTTTTAAGCATTTTTAAGAACATGTCACCCCTACTTTAGTCTTTCGGCAAGGTGAAATTAGTATGTAAGGAATTTCAATGGGTAGAATCATAGTATGTTGTCTAGAAGTTGATGAATTTCAGTAATTCAGTTCAAAATCAACATAGTTAAATATTGAATAATCAAGTTTTTATTACTTTCTTCTGCTCAAACTTGAAGCAGAAGAAAAGGCTTAACCTGCAACCACATGGGACAATTCGCCTTCCCTCCGTACTGATTTTGATTTTATTGAAAGATGTTTTTCCAAATGGTCGTCTTTCCATTAAGCAAATTTATTTTCGAAATGTCAAACTGCACAATTTTATGGTAAATTGAGATGCGTGGAAGAGATGAGCTTGTGGCACTTTCTTTAGTTAAGCCTTTTTAACCACTTTACGAAAATAACTTAAGACTTTCTATTTTATTGACTACCTGGTAACTATCCTGATTTGGTGAGGCTGTCGTGCCACCTTCTCACCACTAGGTGGTAGCAGCGTACATCTCAGGCATAGAGTCGACACAAAGAAGAAAAAACATTTTGTTTATAATTTTAAGTTTTATTAGCAAGCAGGACGCTCTAAGGCACATAGTCCACTATTGATTTAAGTGCAAAGCAGCTGGAATAGAACAGCAAAAAGCTGGCATATGAACATTATATGGTCAAAAAGTTACATTTAAACTAATGACAAAATAAAAACACAAGATGTAAACATGTGGTGCCATTTTCAAAACTCACTGATGTTGAGAGCACTTGCATATATAATACTGATATTATGTTACTTCATGTCTGAGACAAATCTAGTGGATCGTCAATATGGAGAAAGCAAAACATAATGGCAAAATATTGTTAGAACAATATAAATCTTCATACTGCTGGTTAATTATGACATGGAAGTACATAGACAAACATGCAGACTACAGCTATTGACTGTGGTTTTCATTCTAGTTCTTGATTATAGAAGTGTTACACATTTGATATTGCATGATTTAACATAGAAAATGATGGAATTATGCATTATGCACAGTAATTTTGTTTAAGCTCTAAAAAGACAACTTTTATCTCCCAAAAATGTGTTTTTTGGTCTCTCTTTTGGTCTCTTGAGTGTTCTCATCAGAAACCATCGATTAAACTCAATGCAAACCCAAAACATAAAACTGAAACGTTTTCATGAAGAACAGAGGAGTAGAACAATCGTCTCTTGTTTAAAATAAGAACATATTGAGACCATGAGAGACACCGTCAAACGTACCCACAAAGTGTTCTCCCATATGTTTTTCCCACCACAAAACAAATATGCAGGTTAATATCTAAAGTTAAAATGTAACATATGCCTAAAATTTTAAATTTAAGAAAAAAGTTATCTTTAATGTCATCGTGAGCTTGAGAAAGCGTTACCATTTTTGGGCATTGATGTCACATGATGACACATATACTACACCAGTCTAAGGAAAGACAATCGGATTATAAAATTAAGCATTGTTTCACTTGTTTTTTTTGTATTTTTTTGTATTTTAGATATAAAAAAGAAAATAAAAATTTCCCACTCGAAAAAATAGAGCATCATCAAAGTTAATTTTCTTATTTTAAAGCAAAAATAAAACTACCTTTATTTTATTTTCATTTAGTTTCCGATGAGGAAATGCAACAAACAAGACATACACAGACGAATTGTGCTTTGCAAAATTATTAATATCCTGGACTATGTGGGAACAGCTCCACACAGTTGACACTTAATTATTTATTGAATTTCCCTTTGGGATCGATAAAGTATTTTTGAATTGGGAAGCAAGCAATGAAGAAAGGGCCACAAATAAGTTTGACGAGGAACAGCTCAATCTGATGATGCATCTTTGGCACAATTATAATGACATTGTCATCCAACATCAGTGTCTGACCTCACAAATGCAAAAGAAATAAAAAATCCCATATAATCTATGGCACTTTCCAAAGGAAGGTGAAACAGCATCAAATGTGGGCCATCATCATGTTAATGCCGATGAATTCAGAATGGGACTGAAGTTCATAAAGGAATGCGTTTCAATACTTTTGACAATATAGATTAAACTACCATGCAAAGTCAAATCTTAAAGTGCAAATTTAAGAAATTTAAATCTGGGCTTGTCCAGATGTCTCCTGCTTTCCATATAGAGCAGATACCAGGATTCTTTTATATTTATCTATTTATTTTTTTACTTATAAAATCAACGAACTAACCTGGATGCTGTCGACAGCTGGCTCGATTGACACTTTAGTGCACACTAACATGACAGTGCTGTCGGTTATATAGAGCTGCATGAGATGAAAAGAGGAATCCGTCGGGTTTCTTTATGGCATGGCGGGGGTCTCCGCCGGGGCAGGACTCGTCTTCGGTGGGTTCAGCTTCATGGTGCAGAAAAAGTCCACCAGCTGAGCCGGCACTTCGGCCAAAACGCTCTTCGCCAGCGCCTCACGAGGAGCCTAACACATAAAAACAGGAGATTTAGTTTTTAGAAAGCCAAAACAAAGAGCAAACTGATTTGTTTTGTTATTTAGAGGCTGATATAGTAGAAGGCAGGGAGAGAGAGTGACCAGAAGGACACCATGTAGACGGAGGCAGCTGAAAAGAAGATTTATAATTGATTTTTGTTTTAATGATTTCATTACCAGTCTTGTTTTAAATACTGTAGAACAAGAAGAGAGGCCTGTTAGCCACCACAAGCTAATTCCTTTTGTAGCATCAAAACCTCATTGCGTAGAAAAAGCAATGGTTATGCAACTGAATCTATAACTATCTCCGTTTCAGCATGAGCAAGAGTCTCAAGTAAATGTTAGTAAATGTTAAGAGACAGAAGAGAGATCAGAAGGAGGAAATCCCTCTCTCTAACCTTTCAAGCGTTTGCTTAGTGAGAAACTTTTTAGATCCAAAGTTAACACTTGTTCTGACCGATCAGATCAAACCCTTGAAAACATGAAGCTTTATCGGGGTTTCACCAGCACAAATTTCAGACTTCATTAGACCGTTATGAATGAAATTTAAGTCCTGTGTTTCCACAGAAATGTATGGATTTCATCCAGCCAACTTAAAAACATAATGACAAACACAAAAATGCTAGCAAGCTAACTGGTTTGGTGGGTTCAGATATCTAACCTAGCTAGTCATTCAGCTAACTAACTTTGTTAGAAGACAATTCATACATTTCTCCACTAAAGTATATGAATTTTGTCCAGCTAGCTTAAAAATAATATGTTAGCTAGCCAGCAAAAAAGATAGCTAGCCAGGTTACCAGGGTTTGGTGGGTTTAGATATTTAACTTGTTAATTAGTACATTTTCCAACTGAGTTAGTTAACTAGAAAGTTAGCCAACAAACTTATGTTAGCAGTTAGTTACTGGTAACCTCAACCATTCAGTGGCACGCCATGTGGATGTCTGAATAACACTGGTGTCGTTCTGTTGTAAAATTTAAACAAAACAGATAAACTGTAAATTCAGCATTTTTTTTTTAAATTGTAGGCTTTGAACCCTTTTAGCCAAATTATAAAGAGCGATTGTGAAAATATGCAGCAACAATGCCTTCAATATTTTTTATCCTCCCATAGAGGGCCAGGTTTCTGATGATGGGACTCAGCAATGAATTGTGACATATTTAACTATGGGACATAAAATCCAAGGAAAACACACTGAGGCTTGTTGTTGTGAGGTGCGTAAACATTTTTTCTAGGCTGCTAACTAAGTTCTGTCTACAGGTCAGTTCAGGTACATCTCTTCACGTCAGTGCTAGAAGTCAAGAGACGAACTCGGAGTTTTCCATCTGTGATCAGATCAGCCAAAACAAATAAAAGCATTGCTGAACATGACTTGAGGCAGTTGTTTATAAACATAATGACATAATTTATGACAGGCATGTGTACCCCTAAGACGGACTTGGATCTTGGGGAGGCTTCAGTTTGCGTAAACTGAAGAAGGAGGTTACTTGCTGAGGCAACTCGGCTAATACGCTTTGAGCAAGAGCCTGGCAGGGCGCCTGAAAGAAAGAGGAATAAACAATGTAAGCACAAGAACTAAGTGAGCTCTTTGCTGAGGGCCTTGACCTCCATTGATCTGACGTATCAGATGCTGCTTAGGGACTTTGCTCTGCTCTGACACGACTCCTATTTTGAATCGAAATAAAAAAATGACCAAGTGAAATGCATGCAGATTATATAGCAATGAGTTAGCTTCCTTAAACACCGCTCCCTATTCCATCTCCTACAAAGCAGAGAGAAACAGAAAGAAGTTTGGTGAACTGGACTTGACGAACTCACGTTCTGAAAATTCCTGTACGGGACAAACTGGACGATGTCCCTCATGGCGGCCTCGCCAGCCACAGAACGCAGGCGGCCGTCGTCTCCGTCCAGGAACTCCATGGCGCTGAAGTCCGCCGCTCCCACGCCGACGATGATGATGGACATGGGCAGCCGCGAGGCGTTGACGATGGCGTCGCGCGTCTGATCCATGTCGGTGATGATTCCGTCGGTGATGATCAGCAGAACGAAGTATTGCTGCAGGAGGAGAACAAGTCAGTAATCTCATAACATCATAAACAGAGAAACAATGCGCTATGCTACGGATATGTTGCTGTGGATATATCCGTTCACTGGGAAGATTAAATAGGAAACTGGCCCGTAAACACAGACGTAGTGCAGAGAGAAGGGACTGAAGAACATATGCAAATGCAAATTTTTGAACAAATTCACGCACTCATCATGGACATGAATGACACACATGAGTCTAAAGATTCCCATGTTTTATATATCGAGTTATTTTTTTTAAACTTCAGCTATGAAAAAAAGCAATTTGTTCTGACTGAGCAGCTCAGTCTGGCGGTTTGTATCATTTTGTAAAACGATACATACAAAATGAAACATTTTATGCCACAAATTTTGTACATAACAAAATGATACATTTTGTACATATAAAGTGATACATAAGTGATACACACAGTCTGATAAGTGAACACCCACATACATACACTATGTATAAATATATGGATGATAAATTGTTCCAAAAAGCATAGCAATAAAGAATAGTAATGTTTTGCCATAATCTTCAATTAATATTTTCATAATAATGCAAGCTTGCCCTCTCAAAGACTAATAAACTTTAATTTTGTACAGAACACTCCACACTGGAACTGGAACATTTGCATATGAAAATAAAACAATAAACTAAATGGATTTAAAAGAGCACACATAACCGAAACCATAAATAAAAATTGATTACGAAGTCTCTGTGAACAAAATTGTCCTTCGAAAAATGTTAGTCATACAAACGCAATCAATGGATTAATTGTTTATTTGCTTACTGCGATGGACTTAACTTTGACTAGGTTGCAACATTTTGCAGTCATGCCAAATGAACTGGTATAGAGCTTTTAAATTGGTTGGTTTCCTAGTGTGCACCAAGTGTTTAAGTGTGCGTACAGCAAGTATGTGTGAAAACCAGTTTTAATGTGTGATTTTGATCACTGTAATGTTCAAACACCCAGAAAAGTTAAAGATAAAGAACCAATAGTCCGTCTTCTGATTCTGCCACCTCTCGTAAAAGACAAAAGGTTTTTTGCGTTAGAATGTATGTTTTTTGGGGGGGATTTTTGCATCACGTGATCAATAACTGGATGTTACTTCTGGTGGAAAAAACGAAAAGGACGACATGAATTGATAGTAGGATCATTTTTTTGACAACATATGGCGTGAACAAAGTTATTCAAAGGTGATTTGAATTAATTTCACTTAATTTAATTCTTTCTGAAAGAAAAGTATTTTTCTGACATTAGTGGAATGTCGACAAACTTTTGCGCACATTTGTAATGGAAATCTGGCTACTGATGTATAGTTACGTTATCCTGAAAAATACCACACAAAAACATTTTAAATCATAACAAACATATCCATGACGATTTTGTATGTCATGGTGACAGAACCGCAAGTAAATCCTCAAAAGTATACATAAATTAAAAAGCTTTTCTCGTTACGTGTTTTTGCTACTGCTTAGTATTTATCAGGAAATGTCTGGTAACCATATATAGATTTTGACCTGTCATTTTGATGTTTTATCACTTTGTTTGTGTTGCCTTGACAACAGTGGTGAATCCACTGGGAACGGGGTTTCATGTTTGATAGTTCCCACGGTGGGAACCTTTACCAAATAAAGAAATCAGGACACTATGAATACTCACGGATGCAGTGGTCTGTTGGATGGCTTGTTTAGCGAAACAAGCTACATGACTGATGATGGGGGAGAAGTTGGTGGGGCCGTAGAGTTTGACCTGCGGGAGACACGCCCTGTAGGCCTGCACCACCCCTTCTACACCTGCACCATGACAGCAGATCAAACTAGCATCAGTACAACAAAAACTGACACCTCCAGTAGCAGCTGCGTTTCGGAGATAAGCTGACACACCTGCACAAAACGGATTGGAGGGGTTGAAGTTGAGAGGAAACTCGTGGGAGACCTGTAAAAGGAGATCATGTGTTTCAAACCTTCGGTCGATAAGAAAGCCTCGGTTCAGGCGTTTTGGAGAGATGGGGAGTGTCATGTCGCAACATGAGCTTTACCTGCCATGTGGGTGGAATCTGGGCTCCGAAGCCAAACGCCGGGAACATTTTATCACTGAGAAACGAGACAAATTGAACCGGTGAAACGGGTAAAAAATAAATAAATAAAAAAATTTTAAAAACACATTCTCGCTGAAATTCTTTCATGTAACTTGGACAACGCCACAGCTGCTGATGTAATGCATTGAGAGCAATGGACAATGTTTATAGGCTATTTAAAATAAATGAAAACATGTCTCTACCTGTCGTAGTCCTGAATGACGTTGCCCACGGACCAGATAGCAGAGAGGTACTCGTTAACGCCCTGAGGGCTGATGTAATGTAGGGACTGAGGACTCTTGGGATCTCCGTTGGAGCCGGTGAAGTCCACAGCCACCTGTTGGACCAACATGGATGCATAAAAACAGCAGAGCCCCAGTTGCAGTCAGAGACGACACTTATATATTTTCACACTGATTTGAAGCTTTTATCGATTGTGAGGGTGAAATGATAAAACACGCAAAACCTTCATACATTTTCAAACTAAGAAACTGGGTGCACAGGTTCAGGCTTTCTGCAGGTTTCAAATCAGGTGGTTGTAAAACAACCTTTTCACCAAAGAGACTCTTTAATCAGTCTTTGCCATCATTGTTATTGGTGCAAAATACAACATATAATAAACAAACAATGCTTAGCCTGGTGGGGGCCCAAGAAAAGCCTGGTGGCCTGCCAGGCTTATAAAACACTGGGAAACTGTACAGCTCTGTATGTGCCACTTTGCATCATTTTGATCCACAATAGTCGCAAAGCAGTTTATTTTCAATATCAGCTGGGAAAAAGAACAGTTTAATAGAATCATTGAAAGCCTAAAATGAATCAGACAAGTTTGACTGAAGCTGAAACTCACAGTGAAGTTGATCTGACAGCCTCCCATGATGTAATCCAGGAACGTATACTCCTTTACGACCTGCAGAGAAAAGAATCTGTCAAACAGAAATCTGAACGTTGCCTGCATTCATGCAATGGACCAGAAACAAAGCAGATACCTCGCAACGCTTCACGCTCACAACACCAGAGTTCTTGTAGCCTTTCTTCTTCTGCTTCTTTTTGCTGTTGATACACTCAAACTCGGCCTGTGGAACAAGACGACGCTGGTGAATTCATCTCAAGAGAGCAATGGAGGACAATTCATACTTAAGGAAAAAATACCTGGAGATTTTCATATTAATGAAGGATGATCAAATGAAATGAACAAAACTGATTTCTTTTGAGAACAGACTTTAGGTGGATCTGCTGCTACATGGCTTTCTTTTCTTTAGTGCTTTCAATTACAGCCGTCAGACTTGTCCTACAACAGGCTGCAACATTCCAATCCATCACGATGGTATTTCAGAACAATACGATGACATAAAATGAGAGCAAAAGGCATGGATGCTTTATGTGTTGGTTGCTACGATGGATTACATGCGACTCACTCGCACACAAGGTCATACCGGAGAAGACCGCGAAGCTTCCTGGAGCCGCTTCATCGTGGTTTCAAAGGATCCGATGAGATCGTGAGAGCCGTCATCATCGTAGTCGTAGCACTCCACCTGGAAAACGTTGGAATTGAGCTGTGGCTGCGCTGGACAGCAAGACAATATGTCACAACGCCGTGAAAGTATTCTTAATCCTCAAAGTATTTTACTGAGACTTTATGTGGCAGACCAACAAAAAGCCACATAATTGTAAAGCAGAAGAACAAAATAAAAGTGTGGGGTGTATTTATATTGAGTCCCCTTTTACTATGATATGTCCAGATGAAATCCAACTATTTACTCCGTCTGGAACAACCGAAAACCTACAAAAACACGATACGACAATATTTATCAGCTAAGAAGCCCCATGCTGACTTTGGAAGAGCTGCAGAAATCCACAGCTCAGGTTAGAACATCTGTTTAAAAGAAAGCTGTTACTTGTGTATGGAAGACAATTTCCTTTGTGACAAATAAAAGCCAAACAAGAAGTCAAAATGATCAATTTTAAAGTCATAATTATGAGACAGAAAGATCTGATTACGAGAAACTGGAGCAAGACCACGTTACTTTTTACCTCATAAATTTGACTTTTTAAAAGTTGAAATGACAACTTCCCATTTCATATTTATGACTTTATGTTTCATTATTCTGACCTGACAAGTCAAAATTATGACTTTTCATCTCAAAATTATGACTTTGAAAGTCAAACAATTTGTGCTAGTCTGTCACATAAAATCTCAGCACATCACAGTTTGTGGTTGAAACATGACAAAATGTGAACACGTTTGCAAGGTGGTGCATTTGTTCCCAATGCATCCCCCAGAAAACTAACCATGTCACAAGACTACAACAAAAAATTGGCAGCAGCATCGACACAAAGTGATACGTCAAAGCAAAAATCTGACCAACTCTCTAATTAAGTTGCTTTTGTTCAGGTCTGCAGGGAAATGTGTGATTTGTTGTTAGGCGAGGTGGCTCTCAGAAAGCGAAACACACAGATGAAACAAATGTGCAAGAATTAAAATGACTCTTAGAAACAGGACATGGAGACAGTGCAAACAAGGACAGTTGTGTCTCACACAAATGTATCAACTTGATTGACGACACAAAGTCAGGAACGACACTTGTAGTGTTCCAGTGTACTTCGTTCACTCTCACACCTCAGCCAGTAGGTAACAAGAAAGATGAGAAAATACACACAAAATAACTCACTTGTCCCGCAAACTGCCTCCTTCCTGAAACGCTCGCTTCAGAGGTTAAAGAAATACACAACATCAAGCTAACAAGCGCTAACATCTTTGCACGCTCTGAGGTAAAGAAAAAAAAAAGGAATGTGACTGAAGACGAGATTTATCACAAGGTTAGAGGATGAAAACCACATTTACCTTAATTGGTTTCTCCATGTCTCCCCCACACAGAGACTGCAGGGGAACTCGAAACGGCCTCCACGTCGGGTTCAAGTTATTCTTCACCACCTGAAAACAAAGTTGGCGGAAATCACACAAATGCAGATTTCTGCGTCCACAAAATTGATCTCCAGTGATATTTAACAGTTTGGTTTTGCAATATTTAGATCGTAGTGCTCTAAAGCACAACAGCAGCTGAAGCAGCTGATGGAGCACGGCGGCCCTGATGGTCCCCGGTGGTTTTTGCCGTGCAAAGAGTTGGAACTGACCGAGCAGCCAGACAGAGAAGTGGAAAGGAAAGCTGCATTTGTTGGGTTATTTTTTTTTTAAAGTAGGGTTTAAATTAACATGTAGAACCAGCGTTCGAGCTTCCTCGAGGAAGCTTGATCCAGCATGCAACAGTATGAAAGGTTTATGGTGTAACAGTCACATCTTTCCATTCAGATGATAAAAAGTGAAAATCAATTACTCAGACCCTCAGAGCTTAGATATTTGAGGTTCCCAAGCTGCATTTTCTTTAGACTATTTTAAATATGCTCACCAAGTGGATTTTCTAAATAATTTAGTCGCATTCCACAGAAAAGTCTGTGGACTATAACAATACTCCTTCGCTAATTTTGTGTCAGAAATCGAACTGCATTCATATTCTAGACTTTCAGACTTAATATTGGCATAAAAATGGAGCAGTAGCAACAATGATACACATCTCTGTTGTAACTTAACATACAATAATGGGCTATAAAGCTATAAAGCATGCTAACTATCAAAACCTCAAGAAAGAAAAGAAGTGCTTTTATACAACCAGAAGCCGTAGAGATGGTGTTACCTCTGTCCTGTGAGCCAGCTGCCACCCGGTTTCTGTCTGCTTGTATAACTCCAAATAAGGATCAGACTTCCCAAAGAAATCCTACAGGAGGAAATAAACAGCAGACCAATAAAATGCAACCAAATGTTGGGAAATTGAAAGCATGCAGCACAAACAGAAATACCCTTACCTTGTTATCCAGCTTTCTTGCCTCCATCTCAAAATACGCCGCCCGATTGTCTTTTATTTCCTCCGCACTGATCTACAACACAAAATGCAGATGCATTGAACAGAGGAGTTCAAAACAGAAAATGCTCTTCCTGCTGCCTTTGCTGAACCTTACAGTGATCGTTCCCTTCCCAGCTGGCTTGTTGTTCTTCAGCGCCAGCGGCCGGGTCAGTTTCTGACTGGACACAACCTAAGTGTGGTTCAAAGGAGGGGGGGAGATAAGAAAATTAATCAAGAGATTCAGTCGGCAGAACAGATGATGTGTAAAACAGTGGGCTGGGCAAATGACATCCACAACAGCATGGATGAGTGAACATCAGAGGCCACATGACAAGAGTCCTTATCAGCAATGGTTTACCAGAGATAAAATAGCAGCGACTACTGCTAAACTTGTTTTGTTTCAGAAAAGGTAACCTCACCTGACCCAGGGTGCACTCCAGTTCCCCCAGAAAGTCGTCATCGTTCAAATCCACAGTCTTGTTATCGATGTCGTAAATCCCAAACTTCAGCTTCTGGACTATTTCGAAGTAGTAGTCGATGACAAACTTCTTGGCAAACTTCGGACTGAGGCAATTCTGAACTTTCTCTGTGCGTCCCACCTGTCGGGAAAGACAGGACGCAGGGGAGAAGCGTTCCAAGTGTTAACAAGGCCATGAAGAGCAAATGTTGACCTGTAAGTCAGCGACTTAATAATTAATGCAACACTGATAATAGCATTGACGACATTGAACTCACATGGAGATATGGAGGAATTTAAAGGTGCAGAACTCAATATAACATACAAACAATGAAATACACAATTGCCCTTCAATTGCGTAACACTTCTGGCTCCATTTCACACTGGATGTGTATTGGAAGTTAAGGAGAATTAGGAGTTGACCTCCTGGAAAAATCAGAGAAGCCTTGATCTCAATATCTGCTCCATTTCAGATGAACTATTAGTTAAATTGTTTGTTCTGGACAGAGAACAAACAATTCTCTGTTTGTTCTCTGTCCAAACAGAGAACAAACAGAGATAATAACGCTGTTGAAGATGGCGATATAAGATTTAAAATGAGCGCACATTTTAGTCAGATTGCGGTCTGGATTTTGGGTCGCTGCAAATACCTCTTGTGACGTTATCGGCCTAAATACGATGTGAAAATAGCTGGTTTTGGTTCTTCTGTGCACGTTTTGGTAACTTTGCAGAGGAAATCCACACTTCAACAACAAGCTGAGTTTTTAGTGTCTGCATATTTGTTAGTGATAAGAAAACAACACCACAGCACTAGATTTGGACTTAAAATTCATTTTTGAGTCATGTCATATTTTTGTTATACGTGTTGATTCTGTCTGTTTTTTGTTTTTGTTTTCTACTATGCAAAATTAAGTCTATAAAATGTAGATGATCAAATAATTACTGACATATGATGTTTAACCAAATATTTAACAGTTGGTATATGAGAGGCTTACAGTGATTCAGATACATAATGGCATCTATGTAGAAAGTTAATGGTTATATATTAACATCCATAGTCCATAGCAGTGTAGTGCATTGCATCATGAAGGCTTTCTTTTCCCCACCACTATTACTAAAAGTAGCAATATTCAACACACTTAGCCTGAATTTAAAAGCAAAAGCAGTCCACGCTGCTCGTGTTGCTGACCTCATACCACTTGGAGTCAGAGCTAGACATCAGAAGGACGCAGAGGGGGTCCGACTTGGAGCCGATGTCTTTGTCCAGGAGGTTCTCGCAGGACACGGTGAGCTCCACCTTGGTCACACACTGGGCAGCCATGTTCCTGCTAACAAGAGGTAGAAACCACACAGGCAGCCAAATTACGCGACGCCGAGGACTATGTCGCCAACAAAAATATTGAGGTCGCAGAAGGAAAACGAGGTTTTTTTGTTGTTGTTGTGTAGGCAATGTTTCGTCTTTCAGCTCGACTTCGGGTGTCGTCCCTGTAGATGGGGAACACACCCAGCCCGTCTCCACCCACCGCACCGACGAACCCGCTACGGATAACACTGGCAGCTAACGCTAATGCAGCTAACACTGCGTCAGTTCAAAAACTGTTTTTGACGTACGCTGCGCAGCCGCTAATGATAACAGACGTGGGACGGACGGTGAAAAGTTAATGCTTACGTAAAAAAAAAGAAGTAATACCGCTAACTTAGGCCAACAGCCAAACAAGACGCATACAATTATTAATAACTCAGTTAGCTGGGTTACGACTTCCGCCTATTCAGGAGAAAAATTTAATCCAAGCTTACCCTCGGAAACAACTTCCACGTTAATAATTGAATCTTAATCTGGTCCTTCTGCCTTGCAGCAGGGTAATTATTCCCCCCACTACTGGTTTAGAAGAAGCTACGCCCAGCTATGACCCAATAGTGGGTTTTTTTTCTTTCTGGAGATGAACGGCGAGGTTTCTTGGAGGGAGCCCGGAGAGGCGGAGCAGCTGCTGCAGTCAGAGTCAGCGTCCAGTCTGTTCACAGCCACATGCTTTCCATTCACTGGATTTGATCTTAATGAAAGTGTAACTAAAGAATAGTGAAAGCGGGGGAAACAATTACGCTCTTTATGTTCGCGAGTAATATTGTTTTTTTTCCTTTTAAACCATAAAAACACAACCCTTTGGACCGGGCCGTATTTTGTCACATTCCAAGTTTCCATGTCAAGTCATGGAAAAACTGCTCTGCTCCAGTGACATCGATCACAGCGTCATCCCCACTGTGAAGGAAGGTGTTGGTAGAATAATGCTGTGGGAATGCCTTTCCTCAGCTCGGAGTTCTGAGTTTCAATTCAGAGCATATCCAAAGGGTACTGATCCGTAGAAGTTTGAATACAAATGTACCCAAAACTTTATATAAAAAAAAAAAAAGTAACGTCTTTACATTACATCAGCAGTGTTAATTCAGTCAAAAAAAAAATCCAGATGGTGTTGTGCGTCTGATCCAGCCTCCCAATTCTTTAGGAACATTCAGAGAATACATTCTTGGTCTTCGGGTCATTCTGCAAACTATTCCAGGCATGATGTCGGCATATGTAGTTGCTATTTTTCAATCTGAATTGAGGTTGACGGGCAAAAATGAATTTGAGCATTTAATGGTTGATTTTTTGACCTTTTGTCATCAAGACTATCCTCATGCAATAAAAGATTAGTTCCTTTTTAGACTGTTTTCACAATTTCACAAGGAAAACCAATTGCAGAAATAAACTAGACACAAACGCTTCAAAATTATTTTATTAACCTGTAAAATGCTTTTTATAGTTGGTATTTTGGCAAATGTAAAACTGAAAAACAGACATCCAGCAAACAAAATCATATAGTATTTACATGTTATATAGTAATGTTTTATTGAGGCATGGATTGAAAGGCTATCAGGAAATTGACTATGGATGTTAATATATAAAGACTAACTTTCTACATAAATGTATGTATCTGAATCACTGTAAGCCTCTCACATACCAATTGTTAAATATGTGGTTAAACATCACAATATGTCAGTGATTATTTGATCTCCATTTTATAGACTTAATTTTGCATAGTAGATAAAAACAAAAAACACAGGCAGAATCAACACATATAACAAAGATATGACACATGACTCAAAAATGATTTTTTACATATACTAAATAAGACATGTATACAGGGGTTCCCTAGTTGGACACTTGTTAAGACAAAGTGAACGTCTTCTATTATGAGCATATGTTTAGTATGTAAAACATTTCCTCTATTAGGTCTCCCTGATTATGCTAATAAAGAACCAGTCCACTCACGTAGAAGCACCAAGTGATCAGTAAAATTAAGCATAAATTTGATTCAGTACAAATCATTATTAATAGTGACATATAGATGATCCATTCTGTAAACATTTGACAAGCTTTCACTTTGAAGTCTAAAACCTATTTACATTTTCTGGGACAGCACAACGTATGAAGACACACAAGGAAGTAACTGCAGTAAAATGGGGATCAAGGAGAAAAAGTTTATATCATCTGTGTGTATGTATGTATATCTATCTATCTATCTATCTATCTATATATATATATATATATATATATATATATATATACAGAGAGAGAAACAACAAATAAACATTTTACTTATAGAAACAATAGTTCTCAATGTGGCCCTTTTTAAAAAATTACAGCGAAAGTAAAACAAAGGTTACAAACCTAATGTAGTCATTAATTAAAGTAAAAATAACTACTTTTTACTCAATTTATTTGGTTTTTTTAACTAAAATAATTTAATACATCTTATGAAAAAATAAAGTAAGTATTTCTGTGCTGGTTTCTCTGTAGTAGCGCCACCTTCAGCTTACTGTGTCTGCTACTCGGAGATGAGACAAGATACTGTTTGCTTCTTCATACAGCAAAAACAGTCTTTAATGGTTTCTGAAGGGCTAATTTGATTTAACAAACTGTAATCATGGCAAAGAAAACACAGTGGAAGAAAGATATGGAGTGATGCACCTCCACTCTGACACAGGCAGAATAAAGGTGGGTTGTAGTTGCAGGTTAAAGATCAGTGCAGGAGTACTGTAAGATTGTGTCAGCAAACATGTGTAATTCCATAAAATGTCTAGTTTAACGAACCTAAACCTGGTAATTGTGAGTATTATATAAATACTCACAACGTGTTAACATACTGCAACATGTCCATACCTCAGCATAAACCATGCTAGGTTAGGTTCATAACACTGACGCGCCTTAAAGAGTCTTCAGAGTTGAAGGGGACTCCTCATTTTTTAGGAGGAAGTTTGGTTCTCAGCATGGCTCACTCGGGGGCGCCGATGCTCGGAGCTCAGAGGGAGGATCGTTGCTGTGAGGCGGGCTCAGTTTCATGGAATTGAAGAAACCTGCCACCTGGCCCGGCACTTCTGCCAGGACGGACTGAGCAAGGGCTTCCTGCGGACCCTGGAGAAAGGAGAAACAGGGAGGGTAACCATGGAGGAAGGACAAATATGTCGGCTTGATATACGCGATGTGGAAAAAAAGCAAACAAATAAGCAGCTACAGAAAGGCTTGGGGTTAGCATTGCCATTCATAAAGTTGAAACCAGGTATTTACAAAAAAGATTAATTGACATTACCATAATACGGCTTTCAGAATTTTGTTAAAAATCATATTATCTTTCGTGAAATACTGAATTTAGCACTGGAATGAAAATTTGGGCCAATATAAATTTCTGATGTTATGGCAGAAAACCGATTTTTTCAAATATTATGCATAATTTTTTTCAGACACTTTTGACACAGTGTGAAAGTGAACACAACACCTAAACTGTTACTCATGCTTTAGTGAAATATCCCATAATCCCGTGCTATATCACATGATCAAACCAGTACCACATGGCTGACCCCCTCCCATCCTGAAACACATATGGCAACAAGAGGGAGAAAAACATTGGTTGTTAATCAAACAATCAGGCCAGTCTTACTGATTGGATCGATGCATACAAGTTAAAAAATTACTAACATTGGCCGATACCGATCTTTATGTCGATATATTGTGCATCTCCAAGTGAATTTTCAAAAAGTAAGAGAAAAACAATTATAGTAACCCTCACCCACATCAAATTTTAAAAAAAGTCTGACTTAAGAATATGTCTTTTTCTACACTGTATGAAAATATCTGGTTGCAACTTTAATTCTTCTAATAAATGCAGCTTCACAGAGATCCAAAACTTGATGATGGCTAGGTAGCTAATTTTGCAAATACTGTTATAAACAGACAGCACATGATTACATGCCAACTGGTTTGGATCAAAAGTTGAGAAACGACAGATTATTACAATGTGCAAGGGGCAAAATGCAGAGGAGAGAGGAGGAAAACAAGTTGGGAAAACAGGATAGGATAATCGTACATGTCTAGGAAGGTCAGAGGTCGTTGGGGGGCTTCAGGTCAAATAAATTGAAGAAGGAGGCCACTTGGTCAGGCAATTCTGCCAGTACGCTTTGTGCGAGTGCTGCAGTGCCTGCCTGAAATTAGATGTGCGACACTTAAAACATCGTCCACAGTGGAACACGTCTGCATGGTGGGGCGCGCCAGAGCTTACATTTTGGAACTGCCTGAAGGGCACGAACTGCACAATGTCCCTCATGGCCGCTTCGCCTGTGGCCGAGCGCAGGACTCCGTCGTCTCCGTCCAGAAACTCCATGGCGCTGAAGTCCGCCGCTCCCACGCCGACGACGATGATGGACATGGGCAGCCGCGAGGCGTTGACGATGGCGTTGCGCGTCTGATCCATGTCGGTGATGATTCCGTCGGTGATGATCAGCAGGACGAAGTATTGCTGCAGGAGATGGGAGACAACGCAGAGGATTTATGGTGAGATTAAATTAATAGGACATTATTATGTGTTTTCCAGGCATATGGTGCCATTCTGTAGCATAATCAAGTCACTATGTTCACTTCAGCTGTTAAAATATGCTACATATCAAATATGTAAAAAAAAAAATTCTACTTTGTAATTTAACATCTTAAAATTGGGTCTCTGTTTCTTTAAGAAACTCCTGCTCTTTCTGAAACTCCACCTTCAGGAAGTTGTTACAACATGGCCTAACCCAGAGGTGTCAAACTCCAGTCCTTAAGCGCCACTGACCTGCAACTTTTAGATGTGCCTCTGATGCACCACACCTGAATAGCATAATTAGGTCATTAGCAAGACTCTGGAGAACTGATCTACACAAGGAGGAGGTAATTAAGCCATTTCATTCCAGCGGTTTGTACTAGTGGCACATCTAAAAACTGCAGGACAGTGGTCCTTGAAGACTGGAGTTTGACACTTGTGGTCGAACCTGTTAGCAACATTTTTACCAGCGATGCACTGCTCAACACTGCAGGTGTGTTTTTGATGAGGGAAGAACATTATAACATGATATACATTTCAATAAAGTCAATTTAATACAAAATTGTGTAATTTGACATAATGAAAGAGGACATTAGTACACACAATTTTTCAAAAACCTCTGAAGACAATGTTCATGTTGGTCAAGCATGTCGAATCTCTAGAAAATATTTTTAATTTTGAAGTTCAGCCCCAATAAGCCTTTCAACTATTGCAATTAATCAAACAGTTTTTGCAACTCACTGAGGCGGTTTGCTGCTGTAAGGCCTCTCTGCCAAAATGGGCCACGTGATTGATGATTGGAGAGAAGTTTGTTGGACCGTAGAGCCTCACCTGAGGCAGACACTGCTGATAGGCAAGGACCACGCCCTCTATGCCTACGAAACCAAACGAAAACGGCACCGAAATCATATGGGTCACACAAACAATCTGGATGTCCTATTTCTACACATCACCGTGTAAATGTAAAACGTCAAGAAATAAAGATGAAGTTCTCTCCTGTGAGACATTAAAGTTTCACTAGGTCTTACCTGCACAGAATGGATTTGAGGGGTTGAAGTTGATGGGGAACTCATGGCTGACCTGCAGAGGAGCAACTATTATGTCAAACGAACGTGTCTGGACAAGGTACACTGATTCAGGGAGAACTTTAAAAAAAAAAAAAGTATAAAACAGCTAAAATCAATCACCTGCCAGGTTGGAGGAAGCTGAGCACCAAAACCAAAGGCAGGGAACATCTGGTCACTGTGGGAAGGAAGTTACATAAGTAAGAGTGTTGGTAATAGGGAGTTAACCAACATGGACGACTGAGACACACACTTTCCCCCAGTCACACTGCAGTGAGTTTCCCCATGAGTTTTCTTAAGGACTTCATTCAGAAGGAAGCTGGGTTTGGTTCACCTCTGCTGTAAATCGGTTATTTGTTCCATTATTTCATGCCAAACTGAGCACACAAGGAAGTTTGCCCGTGCGTTTGGAAAGTATGAGGAGAACCTGAGGGACTGCAGTTACTACAGCTGTCGTATAAGCCAGTGTTAACTTTTTCTAACCTCTGCTGCAACGAGCTGCTCTAGTTGGACCCAATAACTGGACGAACTTTACTTCCTCACATTTATTCCCTATAGCAGCAAATATAATTCTTTATGTCATCTCACCAGCCACTTTATTAGATACACCTACTACTAGTACCAGGGTTGGCTCCCTTTAGCCTGAAGGACCAAATCTACAACAGAATGGCTAAAGATTGAGAAACAAGGTGTTGCAGTAATGGTCAAAGCGCAGATCCTTAACCTGACTTGTGCAAACAATTTTCGGTCCTCATTTTCTTTATTGAATATTTTTATTTAAAACCTGAATAGGTTTACCTCATTAACACCATGCATTCATCTTATCTTTTTACCTGTCATAGTCCCGGATGACGTTACCGACCGCCCAGATCGCTGCCAGATATTCGTTGTAGCCTTGAGGGTTGATGTAGTGTAAAGATCCGGGTAATTTGGGATCCCCATTAGAGCCCGTGAAATCGATAGCAATCTGAGGCAGAGCATAAACAATATCACCGTTACAAGTTGTCTTTTACAAATCACACAAACATGGGAAAACACAATGGGAAGTTTTGTCAATATTTGTTAGATCTGAAATGATTTTCAGTAGATTGTAGTACTCACCGTGAAGTTAATCTGACAGCCGCCCATTATGTAATTCAGAAATGTGTACTCCTTTATTATCTGTAAGCAAATAAGACCATAATCATAACAGAAAACTGCATCTTTCATTTAAGATATTCATACTTCTCCTAATTCAGTTTTAAGGAAGGAATGGAGGTAGAAAGCCAGGAAAGAAGAAGTGAAGGAAGGAAAGAAGGGTACAGGAATTAAGGAAAAAAGAAACAATATTTGGAGGATGGACTTGAGGAACGGAAGAGGGAAGAACACAACAGAGAAAAGTTGGAAATAGACTATGAGGTGAGATATATGGAGTACTATATAAAACAGCTGCAAAGTGTTAAAAAAATTAAAACACTTTAAATTGAATTAAATTTCTTAAATTTAATATGATTTTAAAATTTAATTTAAAAATTACATTTTTTTAAATGTATCCAGACCTGAAAAACTCGACTTCGCCCCTTACTAAGAAACCTTAAAGTCGCACGTAGTTGTCAAGTAGGCAGAAAAGACTGCGTGGTTTTCAAAACTTTTTGCATGCGTCAATGCGAAAGATGGGCATCTGTACGTTTGTCATATTAGTTATGTTGTTCTAAAACATGTTAAGACAAATAAATCAGCTATTAACACAGTATTCCAACAATGATGATACAAAGTAGTGCCCCCCCCAAAAAAAGACCACTTTGCTGCAAACAGCAGGACTGCCACCAGTGTGGGTCACCAGCACTGAAAATTATAGATGGGTATTTTTTGACAGGTGTAATGTAACACACACACATCCTGTCATTTATCAGCAGTAAAATTGAGCTCCTCTACTTTGCAGTCTTTCATAATTCAGCAGAATGACAGAAGCAGAATAAACTATTTATAGGCCGAGTGAAAGTGAAATGGATCTCTTCCTGTAAAGATTCCTTCTCACTTGTATTCCTGAACAGAATCAGATCTCCTCATTAAAATTAGTTGGACTCATATATGTATAAAAATGCTTCCCCATTTTATTTTATGTCACACTTGTCGAGTTGAAATGCCCACATGTGTTTCAGTCGGAAAGTCCAACCTTCTTTATGGATTATGATGGCTTTAAAAATCACATATTGATTTGCTTGCTTTATGAAGGAAATGTCTTATGAAATAGTTACAAATACCTGGCATTGTTTTATGATGATAATTCCAGAGTTTTTGTATCCTTTCTTCTTCTGCTTCTTCTTGCTGTTGATGCATTCGAACTCAGCCTGAGGATAAGAGACTCAAACCAGTCAGGTTTCAACAGCACCTTTCGTTTACTAAGCGTTTTTGTAACGCATCGTGAAAAAACAAAAGGTTTAAACTGAACTCACAGCGTATGACTGACACGCCTGCTGTATCTGACAGAGTGTCGTGAGGAAGGAGCCGATGAAATCATGCGAGCCGCTGCTGTTGTAGTCATAGCAATCAATCTGGGAGACACAAGAGGGTCGGGAGAACCAGGAAAAAGTCTCACTAGTCTTTATTATCGTCAATTAAAGCACGCAGGAGGCAGAGCAGATGAGGCAAGAGCATGAGTGTGATGCATTCAATGTGACACTTTGATAGTGAAAACCTCTAGCAGAGAGACTCACACACACACATCCAGTGTTGATGTGGAGAAAACAGAAGAGCTTTACACACAGTATGAAGCGACCAGCAAAGATCAGACAAGCTAGGAGAAGCTACAGCCTACAGAAATCCACAGCTAAGAAAGCTGATGGCTCATCCATCTTAACAGAGAATTCTACCTATGGAGAAACTGATCCATTGGTTTTCTTACCAATTTAGCCACATAGCTAGCAGGTAAAACAAAAGAGCTGGAGATGTTCAATTTTTACGTCAAAACAAAACTAGATTGAGGTAATAAAGTTCGTTGAATTTTTGCTTTTAAAAAGAAAGATTTAAGGTTTTCTTCAGTTTCTGATTTTTTTGTCCTCTGTGTATTTCGAGGCACCGCCCAAACGACAAACGGGGCCAGACGTCTGGAACTGAAAAGAAAATTTGGTATCCGAAAAGTAGCTATTTTTTTCTGTTTCAAATCTTTCTGTTTTAATTTTATTTAATTATTTCCAGGTTGAAATTTGTTTTATTTGTTTTATTTTATGGCCAGAATATAATTCCATTATACAGATTAAGTATCAGCATCCTTTGGATTTTTTCCATGTGTTATGACCAACACAATGTAGTGTGAAATGGTGCAGCAGTAGAAATAATGGAAAATTACAATTTTTTTAAAAGAAAAAAATGTGTAGACTCAAAAAAAGCTAGCAAACCTAGAAGGTTAGCAACTTGCTCAAAATAGCCACAGTCACAGAATGCAACGAAGATGTCTGAGCATGATTCTGAAAAATAAACTACATACAGTAGAATATAGAAGATTAACTAGCCACAACAAAATTTAAGATCTGTGATTAACATATTTAAGGCCAATTCAGATTTTTTAAATTAATTTAAGACATTTTAAGGATGCAAGGACACAATGGCAAAAAGAAAAAAAAAATTGCTCTCTGGCTGTGAAAAGCTAGTAGAGACATAAATGAAAAGAGCTGCTATGGTAATTTTAGCAAAAGTTGTTCTACAAAGTATTTACTCAGAGTACATGTCAAACTGAGAAGTGTGTACAATTTTCCATTCATGTCCTACATTGTGTTGGGTCTCGTACAATACTGACGAAATGTGGAAAAATTCAAAGGGTGTGAGTGCCTTAGCGCCGCACTTTACCCAATATGAAATTTCCAAATTGAAAAAAATTCATGAATGACTGACCCAAACCACAGCATCATCTCATCACAGACTAAAACCAGGTGGGTTCAACAATGGACCAGTCTCCTCAGAAGCAGGTGTGTTCCTTTAAGACGGATGAAGATGCATTGTGGACTTCAGCCGGTCCGGTCACAGACACCGCATCCTTCAAGTGATATGCACTCACTCTGCTAACAGTTAACTCACTTGTTGTGCTGCCTGGAAAGCATCTGTTCCACATAAGTGTGCTTTAATGGAGTTAGGAAATGGACATAAAACAAACACGCATTTCTTTATTTGTAGCAAGAAGATTCAACATAGAACATGTCCAGGGGACTTGATTTTACTCAAGGAGCCTCAGACATTAGGAGATTCTAGCCATTAGCTTCTTATCTTTAGAAATAGTGCTGGAGGTTGTAGTGTGTGTACCTTTATAGATTTTTCCACGTCACCGTTGCAGAGGGACTGAATCGGGATTCTGAATGGCTTCCATATGGGGTTTAGGTTGCATTTAACCACCTGAACCAAAGAAATGGTATTAGAAAAACTATCAGAGCTGCAATGTTTGCACACTTTAAACTTAAAAGTAAATTGTTAATCATCACAAACAGCACTTTGTGTTTGTACCTCAGTCCTGTGGGCCAGCTGCCACCCAGTTTCTGTCTCCTTGTAAAACTCCAGGAAAGGGTCGGACTTGCCGAAAAAGTCCTGGGAAAAAAAACAAAAAAAACAAATCACAGTTAACTTTTTTTTTTTTTAACCGTATATGTTTTGCATTCAAGATGAAAAAAGTATTTGTAAATATGTTTTATCCAGAGCTTATGAAGTGGGAGTTTTAGTTTCACCTGATTCAAATACTGTAAAACCTTTTTTTTAAATCTCCTATTAAGCTCCTTTTTTAGATTAATTATTTAATTTAAAAAATAAACAACAGATCAACTGAATCTATTGATGCCAAGTCGAGCAGAAAGTGCTAAACTTTTAAATGTTGATGTTAGAAGTATTTTTTATTTTTAGCTTCAGATGCATCCTTTACTACAGATGATCAAGAATTTAATTATGGAATATTATTTTATATTTTATTTCCTTTAGGAAATAAAATGTTCATTTTCATATTTTAAAAATAATCAAATGAGTTGCAAGCTGCTAACATTGAATAAAAAATGCCTTGAATGCAAGTAAGCTTGTAGAATGAGCCAATTTTTTTTATCCGATTAATCGTCAGAATAATCAATAGATCAATCTACAACCAAAATAATTGTTAGCAACATCCCAAATAATTACTACATCAAGTGAGTTGTTTTGATTTTTTTTGCAACATTTTTGTGCACCAGGATCTAATCATGAAGGTCATGATGATGTGACGACTCGTCAATCATCTGCCTTCAATGATTCAATATTGACAAAGCGATTTGGTCAAGAGTTTGAAAATTCAGCAGCAGAGTAATCTGACCAATCAGCGAGCAGATCAGTCATCCAAACCTTTTTGTCCAATGACCTGGCAGCAACTTCCAACGCCACCATCCTGTTGTCGTTCCTCTCCTCCGCACAAATCTAGAAATTGTGAAAAGAAATGGCACCAAGTAAAGTAAAATAAACCAGAAAAATAATTCACACCCCTTGACCTTTTCCACATCCCCCAACCAGAAGCTTCAATAGATCTCATTGAGGTGTTTATTTATTCAGTTTATGAATCTTTTACTTTTGATCTCTATTGAACTACTTAAGGAAGACATTTTACAGAGTAAAATGTCTTGTGTCTGAGTTTAGTCTTGAACTTGAGCTGTTCAAACTGAAACTAAAATATCAATGTTAAATAAATAGTATTTGTAATGTAGAGATTTAGCTTTGTGTGTGTGTGTCTTTGTAGAAAGTCAGAATTTTGTCTCCAGTTCATTTGATTTGTTTTGGTATCAAGCAACCAAAACTCTTCTTGGGATAAATGAACTGAATTTCCACAATAAAATGACAATAAAAGTACCAGTAACATTTTGTAGATCTTATTATCCTCAGTGTGTTGTAAACTATGTGTTTTATTTATATATATTGTTATTGTTTGTTTTTTGCATTTTCTGCAAACATTAACATTCCATTGAAGAAAATGCATTCAACTCCTTTTTTTTTCTTTTTTTGGCAAAAGTTGTGTTTTTAGGATCTGAAAATGGTGCTTTTTTTTTTTAAAATGTCAACAAATTGCCCAAATTATAAATTGTCTTTTTCCAAAAGGTCAAGTAACATAAGCTGCTCCAAACATGTTTTATTTTGTCCAGACGGCAGAAATGGCCCACTTGTACTGTAGCGGTTGAGCAATGCTCTAAAAGCAACAGAGGTGAAGTACTTGATAAGTTTCTATCAATCAAATCAGCTCACTGTTATCGTTCCTTTCCCTGCTGGTGTCTTGTCTCTCTTCACAAGAGGTTTTGTCAGTTTTTTCGAGGACACAATCTGAGAACAGAGAAAGTCGTCTTAGTAAGAGTTGCTACAAACTCTAGCTTAAACCAGAAATCTCTACGTTTTAACAAAACAAACTAGACGCATGAAGCTCCATAAGTAGCTGACATTTTCTTTCTGACCTGTCCCAAGGTGCACTCAAACTGTCCCAGGAAATCCGCTTCTTCTGTAGAGCAGTTTTCACTGTCGATATCATACACTTCAAATCTGAGTTTCTGCACCATCTCGAAGTAGTAGTCGAGGACAATGCTCTTGGAAAACTTGGGATTAAGGCAGTTCTGGATTTTCTCTGTTCGCCCAACCTGGCGCAAAAAAAAGCTGCGTCACATTACATGTCCAGATATTCTCCGACAGCAACGCAACAAAGAACAGAAATAGCCGAGCGCTCACCTCGTACCAGTGAGGACCCGAGGAGTTCAACTGGAGCACGCACATGGGGTCGGACTTGGAGAAGGCGTCCATGTCCAGCAGATTATCGCAGGCGATGCTGAGCGCCACCTTGGTGACGCAGTCTGTGGCCTTGGGTTGCACCGCTTCAAATGACGCCATCATTGTCCGACCTTCAGGTACATCCCCAAAAAAAACAAACAAAAAAAACATGCATGCCAAGAATGACCGGGGATTAGCAGGTAACCATCTGATCTTCCCTTTTTACCCACCAATAAAATGAGCTGATGCTTCAGTCTCTGGTCAGTACAACAGTTTATGTGCAACAAAAATTCTGACAATTTTAGCGGGGGTGGGAAAGCAAACTTGCAAGTGCAATTCTCTGACCGCAAAAATAATAAAAATGAAACTAAGCATGAGGCAGGGAGCGTACACTAATTGCACCGATTGACTGCACCTTTGCGTGTTGGCTTTGTTCAATGCTGCGGCTTCTGGTCATAATTTTGCACCGTCTCTGAGCCGTTGTTTAAGAAGGCAATGAAGGAGAAATACTCTTCAAGATGAGCAATTGTTTTGCGTCATCAGTCAGGAAAGTGATAGAACATTCCGACTGAAGTAAACTACAGAGCATGGATGGTATTGCGAATTTGCCTCATCACAAACCAAAAGAGGAAAGTCTCCACACCTCCCCGTTTAAAAGACCTACAGCTCTTTCAATGGCTCTCTTGACAAGCATTAAGCCCTACATGATGGCAAGTTGCTCAGGAGGTGGGAAAGGGAAAAGCCTTTTCTGACCCGCCTTCAAAAAGTCTAAGCCAGACCTAATGGGACTCTACTCTTCTGTGTTTCAGCAACAGAATTTCCACATGCGTGTCCTGTGACAGAAAGAAAGGATAAACATCCAAAGATCGTGTGGAAGAAGCCCATGGGGCTTCCTGTCAGGTACGGTAGGGGTTCTGTAATGCTGTGGGTCTGCTTCTCTTCCATAGAAATGCTACTAGAGGTGAAATGACAAACTCTTTACAGGAATAAAGGAATGTCAACAGCTTCTGATCATATTTATAACATCACCAATGGTAGTCTACATGAGACGAAATACTTGACATATCTGAGCAGTTGCTGAGAGGTTTAATGTTTTACTTTCAGTTAGTAATGCCATTATTATTATTATTATTATTATAAATTTGAACCTTTTTGACAGGCAGAGATGCCTACAAACAGGATTTAGCCAATGAGAACAGAAAGAACTAAAAAAAAGTTTCAAAAGCACAAATACCACAGAACAGCTTCATATAGAAAAATTTACTTTAACTAGACGCATATGAAAGGGCGTAGTCGGTAAAAAAGTGACAGCATTTTCCTATGAAAGTCCAAGAAACGGAACTCCACTCAGTTTGCTCTGGTTAATATCAGGTATGTAGAAGCAAAGCGGACATTTAGCAACTATAGCCAGATAAACATTAACACCGTACGAGCTCAAATGGCTCCTGAGACTCGACTGGAAAGTAAGCAGCTAGCGGTGAGACCTCAGACATGACGGGATATTTACTGGAAACTGTCCGCTATTTTCCAGTCGGTTTGAGCCTCGTTCCTTCAAAGCGGGCGGTGCCATTAGAAAAGCGCTCATTTCAGCGCTGCTTTTTTTCTTTATATATATATTATATGGTGAACGAAAACCCAGTTAATGTCAGACGTTCGCTTGGGTAACAACCTACCTTTCCTCTGAGCGTCTGTCAGTCCGTCCTCCCCGGGAGCCCAGCAGAAAGACACCGAGGCTAAGCTAGCTGCAGGATGGGCGGGTTCTCCTGTCATCGACGGAACCAGAAACACTTTGACACCGGGCCGCTGCTCCGCCTTCCAGTCGACACATCTCGTCCAAAACCCACCAAACACAAGACGACAGCGCACACAATTCACGGCTTGCATGACAGATACATGTTCTCGCTCGCACTCGTTTGAATAGCCGGCGTTTCACGTGACGCGCGCGCTGCACAGGTGCGTAAATTAGAGTTATATGGGCGGAGGGTAAAAGGGGGACTAAGGGGGGCTTTTCCAGACACATTAAAATTATTTTTCATTATTTGTTATATTTCCATCCTGAAATATAATCTGTATTAGCAACTTTGCAAAAGTACAGTTATTTTTATTATTAGCAACTGGGCTAAAAGGAAGGCTTAGAGCATTTAGATTCATCTCAAAGGATCAACAATGTTTATTTAAAATATTTGTTTGTCTTATTTTGTTTGTTTTCGTTTAATGGTTCTCTCTTTAATCCTCTTAAAAGTACAAAAATAAAATATGACTGAAAAAAAATCACACGAACAGAAATGACAAAAACTATATATGTATATCAACATTTATTTTCATCTCGAGTAAAATAACTCCGGCTCGAGTTAGCCTGTCTTCAAAGCTATTTAAGCCTGAAATAGTGCCTCAATGCTAAACATGCTGCAGCAAGCACAGACGTAGCGGCTTTAGGAGATTCATGTGAAAGTCCTGTAGCAGCCTGTTCTGTCTCCAAACCCCGGTTCAATTGAGTTTCATAAATCCTTCTTTTAATTTACTCCAAAACGGCAGAATGCACAAAGATTCCTGTTTCACACTCACAGTCAGACTCCTTGCACTGGCACTTACTCTTATTTAAAGATACAGGGCTGGACAATATGGCTGAACAAAAAAAATAAATAAATAAAACTTTCATATCAGTCAATATGAATAATTATTGATTAGTTTTTTTGTTTGTTTTATCCACTTTTCTTTCATCTTGTACTAATTTTCTCCTTTAACTCCACACTGCAGCTAAGAGGCCAAACCCGAAACTGCACATGCAAATTAATCTGGCTGTTGATCGGTAACCAAAGAGCAAGTTAGTTAATTGATGCCCAAGGTCGCGGCTGAAGCGTTCCCTCTGCCTTCAAACTCCCGTCCAGAACTGCTCAGCATTCTGGACGTGAGTTTGGTGAAATTATTTGGAATTCTGTCGGACGTATTATCTATTGATATTGATCGCGTGTCTGTTATTGATTTACTGCTCAGCCCCACAAATACAGAAAAGCTTCTGCAGCATTCACATGCACATATTCAGAGAAGTATGCAAGCATCATTGTAAGAAAAGAAACAGAAAACACACACATTAAAAACAATAAAAGAAATGTAAACAGATGCATTGAGGATGGAGGACAGGGTGTCTGAGTTATTGTAAATGCTTGCAGATGTCACAACCCTTTGCTTACGTCATGAATTGATTTAAGCTCAGTCACAGAGGTAGGCGTTGTGTTTGTCTTTGCAGGTTTTTATGAAAAACTGGAGGAGATGCAGGGAGGTGGTTCCCAAACCACACGTTTGGGGAATCACACGCTTTGACTCTCCCCATTAGGACGGCCGAAGACGGTCGGCGGCTTCAGCTTGTAAGCGTTGAAGAAGGACGACACTTGGTCAGGAAGCTCTGCCAGGACGGCCTGGGCGAGGGCCAAGCCGTTTCCCTGCAACAAAGCAACGGCACAACAACGATGGGGAATCATCACAAACTGACCCGGCGGAATCCAGAGGTTTTAAACACGCGACCGCTCATGTTTCGGTTCGCAAAAGCATTCATGAGCTTTGAGCTGTTTCCACATTTTGGGGCAAAAATCATCTCAAAATCCATACATGCATGGATTTTATGTGTGGAAGCTGTGGCTCTTCTTATCTTTGGCTGAAAATGATTTAAAAAAAAACAAATTTTTGAAAAACAGAGATATAATAAAAAAGGTTGTTTTTTTTTACCCCCAATAAACAATTGCATTGAATTTCTGCCAATGAATGACTACAAAAGTACCAAGAATACTTTTTTGGAAATCTTTGTTTTGACATTACTTTCCATAAATATCAAATTCCAATATATTTGTCTACTGTCTGTCTGTAAAGTTTTAATTTTATTTCCTTAAAAAAAGAAAGAACAACTAAACATTTAAATAAAATGTTACTTTTAAAAGATATTTTCAGGATTGCAAATATTTATGATAAATTGTAAATTGTCTTTTAAAAACGACAAAAAAATAAAGTTGTGGCTCTAAACTTGTTTTTCTTGCTCGACTGAGGGCAAAAAGGACTTTTCGGATCATGGATGTAAAGGTTCTGACTCGCCGCTTACATGGAAATGTCTGAAAGGCACAAACTGGACGATGTCTCTGGCGGCTGCGTCCCCTGTGGGGGACAGCAGCAGTTTGTCGTCGCTGTCCAGGAACTCCATGGCGCCGAAGTCTGCGCCGCCGACGCCCACTATGATGATGGACATGGGCAGGTGGGACGCCGCCACGATGGCGGCGCGCGTCTGGTCCATGTCTGTGATCACGCCGTCTGTGAGGATGAGCAGCACAAAGTATTGCTGCGCATGGACAGAAATAAAGGGACAGGACAGAGATGAATAGCTTCAAACTTATTTGGGGATGTTTTTCCAGTTTATTTTACACATTTTTCTTTTGGCTTTAATGAATACTTGGCTTGTGGGAAATCAGAAAATCCATGAATCAGAGATAAATTTGATACATTTTTGTTGTATTTTAAACAGGGAGCATGATGTAAAATGGACTTCTTTGAACTTTACATAATTTTCTTATGTTATTCCTTCATCAGAAACATTCCTGGAGCGCTGCCTTGATTCATTCAAGCATGTTCAGCTGTGGAAAACACCCGGTGGGACCTGGTATCGCCTTTGATGACAAAACTCCTCCTCTGAGCAAAGTTTCCACGCGACCAAGCTTCCACATTACACAGCAATCCTGTCCCACTCCTTCAGACTAGCCAGCAGCAATTAGCAAACAACTGGTGGGACTGCACCAGTTGAGCTCATCGTACGAGCTACTTCTCAGTGGCATGCTGGTAAAAATGTTGTTAAAGAGTTAATAGAGGAGCCATGTTGTAAAGACTTCCAGGAGGTGGAGTCTCGGAAAGAGCAGGAGTTTTTAAAGAGACAACGACCCAATTTCAATGCGTGAAAACACAAGATAAAATCTATTTTAAGTCATATTTGATATATATAGTTTTTTTAAAAAACAATTGATGTTACCACAGTTGCTTGATTGTGCTTATTACATGCCTAGAAAACATATAGCACTGCCCCTTTAAAGTATCAAAATGGCTGCCTACCGACGCGGTGTTCTGTTGGAGAGCTTGTCTGGCGAAGCAGGCCACATGGTTGATGATTGGAGAGAAGTTGGTTGGACCCCACAGCTTCACCTGAGGCAGACACTGCCGGTAGGCCTGCACCACTCCCTCTATCCCTGCAGCACACACACACACACACACACACACACACACACACACACACACACACACACACACACACACTCTCAGAAACATCTCCAGGTAAAAGCCAGCACAGCTGCGATCGAAACTCGACGAAGGGTTTACCTTCACAGAAGGGATTTGCTGGATCGAAGTTGATGGGAAACTCGTGAGAAACCTGTCAGCATGAGTCGGCAGAAGATTAAAAACGACATGACATGGTTGTCATGTCGCACAGACACACGAAGAAAGAATGGAGATCAAGGGAGTCCAAAGTGAGTCAAGATTACATTTTGACTTCTTATTTTTAATCAGGGGAAAATTATGACAGACAAATTAAAATCTTATGTTGGCTCAAGCAGAGAGTACCTGAAAAACTTTTTTTTTAATTAATTAGATCTCCATAAAAAGTAGATCTGGGTGCTTTTAATAAATTTATTCAACTTGGCTATGTACTTTTCAATAAAAGTGACTGAAGTCTTCTTTTCATTAATAAGAATTGAAAAAAAAAAGTTACATAACTTTCAGTCGAGCTCTTTGTAAAGTGGATCACTTTTCTTGTTCTATATTTTGGATCTGCAACAATTTACACATCCCTTTCCAACACCAAAATCTTTGTGCAGATAAAATAAACAGATCTTTTTTCTCCCGTACGTTTTTGATCTGTGACTCCTTGTGTCCTGATGGTTTTGGCTCAAAAAGTTTGGACACCCCTGATATTGAATGTGTTTCGCAAGAGAAGAGCTCTGATGGCTTCATAAACTCAGCTAATGGAAATCCTGAAGATTGTTAAATGGAGATAAAACATTCTGCTACATCTGAAAAGTGGTTTTATTTTATAAAACATGAAATATTCGGTAAGATTGTCAGGTTTAATAGTGGGGTTTTCTAGTTGTTGTTTTTTTTAATATACATACCTGCCATAATGGAGGGATCTCAGCTCCAAATCCAAACACTGGAAACATCTTTGAACTAAACATAAATAAAAGTCACAGTTAACATTCATACAGTAAAATCTAGAGGCAGCAAAGTCATTTATCCACATTACAAACTGCTGCACTGGAAACACAAATGGTTTTTACATTTCGTCACATTAAAACCACATGCTTTAATGCATTTTATTGAGATTTTGTGTCATGGATTATCACAAAGTGGTTCACAGGTGTGCAACAGAAAGCAATATCTGCATGGTTTTCTACAATATACAGTTTTCTTTCTAATATAACGACTTAAAAGTTCTTTTCTTTTAACCAAAAGTAATTTTGTTCCCTCCTAAAAAGTATTTTGAAAAGATAGAGGTGAACACAAGTTTCCAAGTTTTCCCACAGAGCCAGAAAGTCTGTACTTTGACTAGGTCATTCTAAGCTATGGTCTAAACCAGGGCTTCCCAAACCTCTACAGACAATGCTACAAAATATGTAAACAAAATAAAGATATTAACTTTAGGAATGTCTTTTTCCCGTCCCGCTCACTTTCCTCTGGCGTTCTGAGGGCCCGTAGCGCCGACTGGTGGACGCTCAGTTTGTTCCAATTTGATGTCACATTATCCAGGTCACCTTGTTTCTCATCTCTGCGTCTCTATACGGCTTGTAGAAAACTACAAACGCCACTTCTTACCTTTCTTATAAAAGCCTGTGTTCTTTATTTTACATACGATTGCAATAAAATCCACGTGTGACAAAATGTGAAAAGGTTGAGGATGTAACAATACTCTTGCAACAAACTCTATGGCATATAAGGCTGTCGTGTGTAAACTGGAAACTTCTTCCCCACACTGTGATTTTGTCTATGCCAAGCAGAAACAAGTTTATTAACAGTGGTTACATTTAAGGATGATATGTAGTTTACCTGTTGTAGTCTTGGATGACGTTGCCTACGGCCCAGATGGCCTGCAGGTATTCATTGTAGCCGTCAGGGCTGATGTAGTGAAGGGACTGAGGGGACAGGGGGTCGCCGTTAGAGCCTGTAAAGTCAATGGCAATCTGGGGCGCCACAGAGAGAGACAGGGAGAGAGAGAACGCAAAATTAAAAGAGGATTCTACAAGACAAGACCGAGGAGTTTATGCCAAACCCACCGTAAAGTTGATCTGACATCCTCCCATCACATAATCCAGGAAGCTATATTCCTTCTCCACCTGAAAGATGTAACGTCACATTAACCGCATCCACAAAAATGAGACGTATGGAGAAAAAAAAGAAAAGCAGCACGGTAAGATTTGTAAAACGTACATTGACAAGAGTAACTGGGAGTCGTCTGAAATGCGACGCTCGGACTCTTAAAACTTGTTCAGACCTGATCGCACCTCTGTGCGGTTTTAGCAATTATGAAAAACTTTGTGTGGAGTTACAAAGGCTCTTCTGGAGGCCACCAAATAAGTTCCCTACTCCTGAACCACAGTGATGATACAAATAAGCTACCATCATTTCAGCATAATGTTTTATGGAATATTTGTTTTAGGGACGCACCAATATGAAAATTCAGGTCAATATCATTGTCTGACATTCATATTGGGCATACTTTAGATTTCACCTCCCTTTTGACATATTCACCTATATTTTCTATATATTATATGTTTTTTTTTTTTTTTTTCATTGTTACCTGGCAGCGTTTTATGCAAACGATCCCAGAGTTTTTATATTTTTTGCTTCTCGACTTTCGGGAGTTAACGCATTCAAATTCCGCCTGGAGATGAAAAGAGACGACAAATTAATCTTTGTAAACCATAAATGGTCCCAAAACTAAAATGCCTGGACAGTCTTACCGGTGACAGGTGCGTTCCCGCGAGCATCTCTGCTAACGAGGCTCTAAAGCTCCCAATGAGGTCGTGCGAGCCGTTCACATGGTGGTCATAGCAATCCACCTGAGCAGAAGAAGAAGAAGAAGAAGAAGAAGAAGGCTTTCCTCAAAAAGAAACTTCATCATATTAAGTTTTAGCGTTATGCACGCTTCATCATCTTATAAGCAGCAGCATCACCTCAGATGAGTTCAAATGAAAAAAGAAAAATGGGGAAAAGGCCCACCTTCACGCAGTCATCCACGAATCATGCATATGCTTGTTCAGCTGGGCGACAAATGCTGCCGCTTTTTAGGCTTTGGTAGCGTTACACAACGAAAACAAAACAGAAAAGAAAGTGCAATACAGCATGAGTTAGTAGCAAGTAAGAGAAACAAGGCCTTAAATAGCAGACATATTTTTGTTCAGAGGTTTAGGTCTTTAAATTAAGAAAATGTATTAGTTCATGTTATTATGGAGCACTTTCAAACAACAAACACAAATAATCAAGATGGGAAGTAAGCAAACCTGCTTTTAAATCCTAATATTTTACATATTTTGCAACAAAAATACATCGCAAATAAGCAAATTGGAAGACTGAAGATTGAATAAAAACCATAAGGACGATAAGTTCATGTTCTATGCCACAATCCAACACTGACAAATACAACCTTTACTTTGATGATATTTATCATGTGAAGGAAAATAGGTTGAGAAGTAATTAGCAAAACTGCCTGTGTCATGATAAATGCATTTAATTTATGATGAAAAATATAAGCTTTGCCTTTTTAGGATGATGAGATCACTTGAAATCTCGTTTTCCTTCTAAGTAGTGATGTGGAGATGAGGAGACGCAACAACCCGACATTTTTTTTCTTTTTTTTTTGGAAGACTACATGATCTGGAGAGAAAAATGATGAACGCTCATTCGTGAACATCTATGCCAAAGGTGTCAGAAAATGTTGATCCTAGTGTAAAACGTTAGAAATAACTTAGCAGGTTGCTTAGTTTTGCCGTCACGGTAAAATGGAAGAGAAAAATGTACCTTTATTAGTTTTTCCACATCTCCCCCACAGAGGGCTCGCAACGAAACACGGAAAGGTCTCCATACTGGGTTCAGGTTGTTGTGAACAACCTGAACAAACAAGAACAAACGCACCCGAAGTGAGCAACGGCATCCGTCCCGCGGGTGCATGAGATCCAAATAAACACCTTTACCTCTGTCCTGTGAGCCAGCTGCCAACCCGTTTCTGTCTGCTTGTAGAATTCCAGGAACGGGTCGGACCACCAGAGAAACTGAACAACAATGGAGCCATTTTATCACGTACAGGACAAAATATGACGGCTCGAGTAATATGAAACTCCAAAACGAAAACATTTGTACCTTTTTGTCAAGCCTTCTCGCTGACACTTCAAAGTTTGCCACTCTTGTGTCCGTTATTTCTTCAGCACATATCTACAATTCAGTTGACACAGTGGCACAAGCTTATTTGTAATTTGACTTACTGTTTTGGTCACATTCCAGTACAGTGAAGTGTATTATAAAGCATGTTTTAGATTGTTGGATGAGCACCGGGTCCACATACAGTAATAGTCCCGTGGCCTGCAGGTCTCCTGTCCTTCAGCAGCAGCTGTCGGGTCATTTGCCTGTTGGAAACTATCTGGATACAAATAACAAAAACAACTCTGTTGCTTTGAAAAAGAAAAATAAACAGATTTTTTTTCCCCACACATAACTGGAACTCACCTGACCAAGTGTACTCTCCAGTTCCCCCAAGAAATCATCATCACTCAAGTCATACGTACTATTGTCGATGTCATACACGCAAAACTTGAGCTTCTGCACCATCTCAAAGTAGTAGTCAACGACAAACCTCCTGGCAAACTTTGGGTTTAGGCAGTTCAGGATCATCTCTGTGCGCCCAAACTGATGGAGAAAGATGAATCACGTCACGTCGCATCGCTCAGGGTGAATTCGCCATGAGAATGTGGATTACCATCTCCCACCATCACCCAACACAGACCTCGTACCAGTGGGAGCCAGAAGTGCTGATGTAAAGGGCGCACAGGGGGTCCGACTTTGAGAAGACGTCCATGTCCATCAGGTTTTCACAGCTAATGGTCAGCTCCACCTTGGTGGCCAGGTGAGTGGCCCCGGGAGCTGAGGCAGCTGCTGAGGCCATTCCCCCTGGACGTGTTGAGAGGGCAATCTGCTGTTAAAACAGACAAACAAGGAGAATTTCATTGTTTTTCTGGGTCTCGAACCAGTGACAGACTGAGGTCTCCTACATGCGTTGCCGCTCTGCGCATCACGCCCTATAAATTTAGGTTGGTTAACTGATGGCTGATTGCAAGTGCACACCATATATTTTCAATTAAAAACATTTTTAAATTGAAAACCATGTGTTATCTTCTTTTCTTTGCATAATTATGCACCATATCTTTGTTGTAAAAACATTTTAAAAATTCCTCAAAATACACTTAAGTACATAATTTTTTTCTGCAAATTACATGGTTAGGAAACTTGTTGCACAATAGTGTTGCCAAAAATTATTTTCCCCCAGTGGCAGTACTACATGAATGCAAAACAACAACAACAACAACACTATATTTACTCTAAAAACACAAAGAATGGACATCATTGACACATCAGGAAAGTGACTTTGTTTGAGGACTTGAGCTGATCTTTGGGTACAAACAGTGCCTGTCTCTGTAAAGGTTCCATCAAACTGTAGCATCATTCATACAGACTTCATAAACACTGTCATCACTTGTGCTGTACCGACACTGCAGTCCCTCCAGAGGGGTGTGGCAACCAACCAGAACACGTTACAATCACTTACAGCGTCTACTCCTTAGTATATGGAGACTTACTCACATTAATTTACCTGTTCAGCACCCGATATAACAGCTCTTGATTCAGCAGCTTTTTTCTGCTTCTGGCCGAGTGATGAAAACTAAAGTTTATCTGACAACGACAGCTGGCCGAGACGGTGTGGGTGGGGCCAACAGCTGATCTTTACTCTGATTGGTCAGTTTATAACCACATTAAACCTATCGAACCCGATGACTGGAAAATTAGGAAAGGTGGGCATTTTATTGCAGCGATGTAGAGAAACTACGATAGAAATGTTTTTTGGGGGGTTTGGACGAATTAGCTTATTATTCAGTTTTAATAACAGCCCGGAACTCGTGAGGTGTTCGCTTGTTTCTCATCGGTAGCAGAGGGACGAGCACAGGCTGTGGTCAACGGAGTGCATTCAAGAGCAGCAACATTTTGTTTGGTTGTAATTCAACTCAAAACGTCTCACCTGCTGCCGTATTTAAATTGAACAACAGTCAGTAATGCATGTGAAGTTGCATTTAGATACATATTCAGTGAAACCAAGGTTGCTATACTTAACAGCCCGAGTTAGTTTTCGGGATATTTGTGTTTTCAACCAATTAACAACGTCGAGAAAGCATTTGTGCTCTTGAACAACCGCCGTTCGCCTCTGGTCGCTGCTGCCTCCGCTGACATTAAGCCGTGTAGTTCCTGCTCGCTGGACATTTGGGACTGACAGATGATGGCTGGGAGGGTTTTAACGCGGTTTGTGAGCAGGAGTTTGCTGGAAGTTGCAGTCGGCGCTAAAGGCGGAAGGATCGGGGGCTCGAACCGCTTCTTCGGGACAAGAGCCAGCTGGACAGCCGGTTCTCTTGGTGTAAATATTCTATGCTTTTTTTGTGTGTGTGTCTCTGCCTGCTCAGCTGGCAACCTGTTTTAGGTTGCCAGTTTCTCTCACGGGGCTGATTGTGCAGTGATGGGAGGATGGAAGTAGGTCAAAGTTCACCAGGGCTCTCTAATCGTGTTTGGCACCTGATAAGTCCAGGAAGCAATAACAAGAAGTTCAGAAGTGAATGGCAATACTTCCTTTTTCCAAGAGAAAACCTAACTTTATTTTCCAGTGAAAATATAGAATTGGGATGTTGTTACTTTAGGTCAGCAAGGAGACCAACCAGTAAAACACAAAACGCAACATCTTGTCCTAACAGGTCTGACCTGTTCTTGTCCACAGAGTAGAAGAGCATCATTCCTGCTGGGGATCCCGGTACTGTCTGGTCTAAGTTACCAAGCTTTCCGTAACCTGCAAAGTCCAGCTGTGGTCTGCGCTTTAGATAAAGGTAAACAGCCACACTGGGTTGGACGTGGAGAGAGATGGAAACAAAATTTAAGTGACCTTGGAGTTCAATAGACTCTGTGCTTTTCAGACGCAGCAGGTGTTGCACTGTAACAAGCAGGGTGTGATGTTTTGTGTCTGGGCAGATGAGATCCTGGAGCAGGCGGACTACCTGTACAGCTGTGCAGACACGGAGAAGCTCTACCAGCTGCTGCTGCAGCACAGGGACAGGTGAGCCGGTGTTAATCTATCACACTGGAACTGCAGCCACTCATTTTCAGGAAAATTTCAAAAAACAAGCATTCAATTGAAAGATTTGTTATTTTTTCTTTCGGTGTTTTTAGGGTGATTCAATACAAGAAGTTTATAACACCCAGATAAGATACAAAATTCAGGACTTTTTTTCAGAAAGTGTGAATATTACACAGAAAAAAAATGATGCAGAAATATTACGGCCTGCATATTCATGGGGAAGACTGATTGCTAATTTGACGGTCATTGGCACCGGCCACACACAAAAAAAACAAGACAAAAAGGCTAATTCATATGCTTAGTATTTGCTGCATTAAAGCAGATCAAAAAGTTCAGTGGAAGGAAAAAAAGTGCTAACAAGAAAGGGGTACCTGCAAACGTGAGAAGAGCCACCTCACTCAGACGTATCCAGTATACAGGAAACATCGTCTGTTTTTCTTGGATTGAAGTTGAAGTCATTCAAACAACATCAGAAGGAATCTGGTTTGGGTGGACCAAAAGTTGGGATTTTTTTTTTTTTTTCTGGCCAGTGTGGGGCTCGTCATGCAGGTTGTGTCCTTCCATGCAGCGAGGATGCAGAGTTCCTGTGGAGGCTGGCCCGGGCGTCTCGGGACCTGTCCCTCCTGCCCGACACAGACGCCGGGAGGAAGAAGCAGCTGACATTTGAGGCCTTTGAATATGCAAAGCGGGCTCTGGAGAGAGACGACAAATGTTTCGCTGCACACAAAGTAAGTCGGCTGTTTTCACCGCAAGAAGAGGAACTGGTGCAACAATCATACCCATTATGTGTTTTTAAAAAAAATAACGTTCGGCAGTGTATTCAGAGTATGAAGTGCGCTTGATTTTTGTTGTTTTTTTTCCCTTCCTTTCCCTTACCTCAGTGGTACGCCATTTGCCTCAGCGACACCGGGGAATTTGAGGGAGTCAAGGTTAAAATAGGAAATTCATACATCATCCGGGAGCATCTGGAGGTGAGAACATCCGGGTCGCCGTCTTAAAACAAAAGCTGTACATTTATTCATTTTCTTCTTCCTCCCAGAGGTCTGTTGAGCTCAACCCTAAAGATGCCACATCCTTACACATTCTGGGTTACTGGTGAGCCTTTTCTTCTTCTTCTTCTTTTTTTATTGTACATCTACCCCAATCGTTTTAGCATTAATTAACTAAGTCTTAATTATATTTTCAACTGTCAAAGGGTTCTCAAAGACGCCTTACATTCACGTGATGATGAGATAAGATGTATTGGAATACCAGGCTACTGGTTGGTGGCTAGTAGTGCCTTTTTGCTCCTTCCTATTCTCCTTTATTGCGTTCGAGTTTGACACGTTAAAGTATGAAACACCAGAAATTGACGGCGATTCAGTGACCAGTGCCAGTTCACGTGTCTCCGAGACTTCAGACCATGTGATAGTTTCTGAAGCATTTCAATCCAGGTGGAGGTGATGCTCTAGTGAAATCTCATCCAAGATCGTTTCTCCTTTCTTAGGTGTTTTGCTTTTGCAGAGTTGCCGTGGTATCAGCGCAAAGTGGCCGCTGTGATTTTCTCCACACCGCCTACGTCCACGTATGAGGAGGTTGGACACTTTCCTTAATCAGTCACAGATCTTTGATCTCTATGAATGCTAGTTTTACTTGTGTTTTCCAGGCTTTGGAGTTCTTCCTAAAGGCAGAGCAAGGTACCACAGCTTGTGCTCTAATCATTGCACAGCTCCTGCTGCGTTTAGCTGAGATTAATAATAATAATAATTCAGGAACATTCTAAGCTTAAGCAATGTCTCCTGTAATCGCTGCTTTGTACAGTCGACCCAAACTTCTACAGTAAAAACCTCCTGATGTTGGGAAAGACGTACATGGCCATGAATGACAAGGAGAAAGCGCTTCACTGGCTGACCAGAGCTAAAGAGTATCCCGTACACACACTGGAAGACAAAGAGGTATTAACACACACAGCTACCGAAGTATCTTGTAAAAGTATTCACACTCCTTGAATGTTTAAAACCTAAATCCAAAGGAGAATCTGTAGCAAGAGTAGATAAGACAGGTATTCTCGCATAATTTGGAATGAAACATGGTTCTACAGAGTGTTAACTCACGGGACGCTGAAAACATTTGCAAACCAAAGTCGTCGAGAGTCACTTCAGAACTTTGGTTTGCAACATTGTGTTTTGGTTTCACAAAATGCCAAACCACGTCTGCTTTTCCTTCCTCTTCAGTTTTGTACAACACTGTATTCGTTTGTTGCATGAACTCCCACATAGTTCAAGGGACATGAACAGGCGAGGCGTTATTCAAGCGGTCTGTACTGAATGTTGCCATTGTGATGGCGTAAACATACCAGTGTGTGTTCCTCGGCAGGTCCATAAAGAGGCAGTGGAGCTCCTGAATCAGCTTTGATGACCTTCTGTCCACTTCTGCTCCGCGTGCCACAGGAGGCCTTTGGACTCGAATCGAGACAACGAATGAAGAATCTCACTGAGATGTATTGGTATACCAGTTGCTTTAAAGCAATAAAGACAAAAAAAAAAAATACGTAACTTGAGCTTGAATTTTTGTATGTGCAACTGTTTCCTCAAGCGAAATAAGGCATTAATACCACAATTAGAAACCTAATTCTGTTAAGATTTTTGTACTTTTGTAATCTTTTCAAAAGTGTTTTATTTTCATCTTCTAAAATCTACCAGTTGTGTCTGGTGTGATTCATTAACAATAAAACTATGACTTGACTGCCATTCGTCCATCTGTTTGCTGCACACTGCTGGTGAAAAACGAGTACTACACCATCCTCATTCTTTCAAGACTAAGTCATTTGCTTTGGAAATATTTCCCCACATGATCAAAGTTTGGAAATTAAAAAGCATCGACAATATAACTCTATTGAAGAGATTGAAGCTGCAGCAGGTAACAAAAGGCTAGCTGATGGAGCTGATAGCCTGACTAATTAAAGCTCGACTTACTTCTCAGTCTAAAATGAATTGAATAAAATGTAAATTTTTAATAGAACTGATGCTTTTCTTTCTTTCTGAAATGCACTCAAACATTTCTATGTGAACAGTGGCAGTTTCTAATGTCACGCTAGCAATACAAAACCAGAGTCCCAGTCAGTGATGTGCATAGTTGGACACTAGGAGGTGCTAGAGCACCTGACCTTTTCCCTCGAGAAAAAAACAAAACAAGGGTCTTTCTGAAATAGTGTATTGCTATTGATCTGTAATAGGTGAATATAAATCATGTTTAAGCTTTGCCATTAAAAAAAAAAATCTAAACATTTCTATGGCAACAGTCCCCTTATTTTCCCCCCACTTGAAAACTTTCCCCCCAAAATGTCTGTGCACACCATTGCCGCCAGCATTGTTTAATCGCTATGTGCAACTAAAAAAAAAAGAGTGAGCTTATTGAAAATTAGGCACATGAATTTTTAAAACTAGTTGACAGAGGAGTTGTGCTGTGAAACTGTCCCTTGTCCCCACAAAAAGCCAAGCCAGCGACGGTTTATTCACTTATTTATTCGTATCTCATAAATCCATCTCTCTCCGTTTAAAATGGATGAAATCAGATTAGAAATGAATCTTCT